AGGCATCATTTACAAAAAATGATAGCTTTTTTTGTAAATGTTTGTGTAAAAAATTCGAATTTTTTTTACAGGCATACAATTACGACAATTTTATTATGGTATTTTAAATTAGACTGGGTGTGTGTTTGACCTGGAATATTTCAGGTGTCTTACGTTAAAACACTCAGATTGGCAATGTTGACCACGTTGAAATTCTCTTCAAGAGAAAGGATATCAGGCAAAGTATAAAAGAAACGAGAAAAAAATATTCTTCAGAGAAAGAAAAATTGTTCATTTAAAGTATAAGCTTTAAAAATTATTAAACAGACGAAACTAATTGTTTATAAAAGAAACAATGACACATTTACAGTGAAAGTACGCAAATATTAAAAAAAAATTCACCTTAATCGGTTAAAAAGAGATTTTAGTTTAACTTTCAAGAGAGATTAAATATGCAGAAAATAGAGAATTCAATTGTTTAAGCTACGGAAATAATTACTAAATAAAGTGAATAAATAATTTTTAGAATCAGCAGATGAGAAATCTACGATAAGAACACTTTCTTTCATAAAAAAAATTATTAAATCCATTTTTCTTAAAAAATAGAAAAAGAGAAAGATAAATAAACGCACTGATAAAATAATTTATCCGATAATTATTAAAATTTATTGAATTTAAATAAAGTAGTAAACGCTAGATTAATGTTTATTCAATTATCTTTATAAATAATCATGATCATGGATTAATTAATTTCAGATTTTGGTTTTTTCTAATTATTCGTCATTAAGACTTCTACATTAATAAATGTATTTCTTATCTTTAGTTGTGACCAGTTTTTATAATTAACTGTAAACTGATAAAGAATTTATCAAATATTAATGAATCTCATTCGTACCATTAAAAGATTATTCATCAACTATTAGTATAAAGTTTATCATTAAAGTCAGTCATTCATTCAACTTCAAAAAATAGTCAATATTTTGTTATTTTCATTCATTTATTTTAAGAGATTAAAAATAAATAGTAATCTATTGATTCAAGAAAGTATCATAAATACCAAAAAAAAAACATTTTGATATTAAATTACGAATTAAATCTTAAACTTTCTACTTAATTTATAGATTCTTCTATAACTGTTGATAATAAACATAGCTTTTTCTACAAAGTTCTGTTCCAAGTACTTTTACCAATTATTTATATACAGACATACATAACTTTAGTACAAATTTACATCTTTCAAGTAAATAAATAATTAACAATTACGTATAAATTATCTATCAATTGATTCTATTTATACTTATGTATAATTATTAACAGTAATAATGTTATCAACAATAATAATAATGATCTATGTCTGATTACAAGAATGACAAGATCGCCAATTAAACAAATTAATGTAATGAGTAACACATTGCAATCGAGAAATATAACTTATAAAATACCTTTAACAATATTTAAAGAATTTTTATACAGAAATTTCAATTGAATTCATGATTTAAAGTGTGAAAACATTTTTAACATATTTCATACTAATCTTCAGTAAAAAGAAGTATTCAGTAAATTACGAAAAAATATTTTTTTACAATCATTTAAGCAAATCCATTCTTTTATTACAAAATTACTTTCTCAGTAAACATACAAAACAACTCATCAATTATTTAGATTATTCCCAAATGAGATATCTGTACATCTGACAAAGGTGAAAGCAAATGAAAAATGTAATAATTGAGAACATCCAAGTACAGATTAAGTCTCACGTAGCTAGAGTGCTATTTATTGAAAAAGACAAGGTCGAAGATCATGGACGCATATCCATATATTCTTTGTCTATTATCTTTCTTTCTCTTTTGCTGTCGATAGACGTTAGTCCAGTACTTGCACGTGAATTGCATAAGTTAATCTTTATCTTCTGACTACCTACTTTCTATCTGAGGTGACTCTCAGGGTAGATGAGATTGTAACAATCTATACACGTAGAAAAGATGTTACGTAAAGTAGTGTAAAATCCATCACATATTTTTATGAGAGCTTCAATTAAAATTTATTGTACCCTTAAAAATTAATCAATTTTTCTTATTAATAAAAAATAATTAGCTTATTATTCCTGGTATCAATTGCAATAAAATATAAGATTTATCCATACATAATGACTGGTTTGATTTTTCTGATAAAAAAATATAGCTTATGTTAGATCTTAGATATTGAAAAAAATTTAGTGTTGATATATGTGGTGTATAGGGTAATGATCGTTCGGTCAATTGATGGATAATTAATACACGCTCTCTTTTACGCAATATATTATACGTGTATATAATTTTTTATATATATCCATAGATATAAAATAACTCAATTGCATCGCCTATACTTGATCTTATACAATAATTTTATTTTCAATTAAAAATCATTTATTTCCGCTTATAAAATTTCTCTTGCAATGTAAACATAATGACTTTCTTTCTTTCTCTTGACGACATTCTATAACCACTATGTATTGCAATTTAACACATAAATTCATTTACATATATATCGAAAAACTTTGCCAATAACAAATTTATAATCTGTTATTTGTAGTGAAAAGAAGTCTACGGAAATGAAAAATGTGAGTGACACTTGTGTAAAATAGAGATGAGTCACTGTGCAGATGTATCACACTAATGTTTATGTAAATAAAACTTGATCATGTAAAACTTGATCTGCTAGAAAACGAGTCAAAGTAAAAATCACTTTCGCTATGACTCCTCTCGCCACAAAAGCAGTATTTCAACAAAGTTATGAATTTCGTTTCTTCTTTTTTGGTTTTTTTGCATGCGTTTTCTGAAACGTTACCAAGCGAGTGTGTTCCAATGTGAATATTCATGTCTACACTTTTCTACACCACGTGGCACCACATATCAGCCATAAATGTCCACATCTACTTATCAGGCATTACATGCTCGAATCACTCAACGTAAATATAATTGGTATCAATGCTTAATTAAAGAAAAGTTGCTTTTAAATACTGAATTTATGTAGTAGAATAATGAAATAGTATGATGGATTAATAATAGAATATTATGATGGTATGAGTATAAAATTACATAATAGCAATTGTATGGCTACTTTAGCATTTATGTGCAATATATATATGTATACAAAATTTAATAGATTGAGAGTATAGTCCTTGATCCTTTCTATTCGGGAATCCGTGAGTGGCATTCGAAGAGATAAAGTAAACCACATTAATACGAAGTACTTGAATGTCTGTCAACATCAAATGATTGCACAATTTTGTCGTCCTATATTAATTCGCCTCTGTAATATTGTTGTCTGACATAATATATTTATGGAGCTTGAAAGGACAATTGGAGAGCTTAGTAGAAAAAGTCACATTAACATTAAATACCAATAAATATTTTTTTAAAACGTTTTGATAAGCAGGACATTGATGGTTGGAAAATAATAAACGTATTCCATTAATTGTTATAAAATGTGTCCGAAATAAAAATAATACAATCATAAAAAAATTACTCCTATTAATGTTGAAGAAAAAAACAGCAGTTGCTACATAAAAAGATTTATTAGAATGCAAAAAGTTTTATGGGAACATGATAAATGAAATCAATTATCTGTTTAAATTTATGAATAATAATTGAATGATTAAGTATATTGAGAATGCTAATAAAAATACTAGGTAAGTAGAATTGTTTAACATTAAAAATTTTCATGATATAATTCTACTAAAGTGTTAAATAAATTTTATTAATTTTTTTAGAATATTTAATTACTTCCTGATGAAAAAGTTCTGTCAGTTTTTATTCCCTTCAATCATTTTTTTACTGATCAAATGGTTCGTATTAAATTTAAAGTGTTTTTATGTATTATAATTAGTTTTTGTTCAGTTGAGTATATTTGTCTTGTTTATTTTCGCGATTTTTTGGATTAATAATCAGAAGGACTAAGATAATGTAATAAAATTAAATCTCTAAAAAGATATTAGTGAGACTGAAAATGATTTCGAATCGTGTAAATAATTAAAAATGTTGTAATGTTTTAATTATTGATGTGAAACGAACTTATGTCTGAATAATCTCCTTTTGCCTTCTTTAATTGTGTTTTGATAGAAAGAAAAAAAATAGCAAATGTAATTTTAATTTGCGATCATAACAATTATCAATCAAAACATAACTTATTTTTTTTTTATTCAAGTTACTATTATAATCTTTTAGTGACACGCAACTATTTAAACTTTCTTAATTATTAATTTCTTCATGCATTTTATGTGCTAAAATTTATGTAATTTTTTGTGATATAACAGTTACATGCAACAATAAATTTTATTAATAATATTTTATTATTTTCGTAATATGTGTGATCTGCGGACAACATCAATAAATACAGCAAATTCAATTTATTTTATCACATAATTATTATTCTGAGAATTATGTTCTAAATAAAATATTTCTATTATTGCTTCTATATATTTTTCTAATGATTGAAAAAAACAAAGATAATTTAATTAGTATATTTCAGTTTTTTATTATTTTTTTTTTGAATTTTACTTTTTCAACTTAACAGAAAGAAAAAAGTTTCAATGAAAAACATATTTTAAATATTCAAATCTGTATTAAAAATTTTCCTAAGAATATCAGCTTTTGCTTATAAATGATATTCATTTAAAAAAAATTTTAATCCACAAATTCTTATTCTTTACTTGAAAAATCAAAATATCTTGACTCACGTTTCTATCTTCATACACCATCAATTCCCAAGCTTCTTAATAAAATAAAATAAGAAAACTTGAAAAAGTGTTGAATAATTCTCTCAAATTTAAGCCATAATTAATGAATGCACGAAAAAAAAGTAGAAGTAGAAATGTATAATTGCCTGAGGCGCGCATTCTGATTATACGTATCCCTTCTTCATCATAGTGAGCATTTTTAAAGGCCACCGTGATGATGTAGCTTCAGATGCTTCTCTATTTTTTAAATCAGAAGTAAGAGCTGATCCAAACGGAGAAGAGGTAAGGTAAGTAAACATCATCTTCAAATATATATATAGAAGAGTTAACGAATCAAGGTGTCTTCTTCATCATCATCTTCATCAAAGACATAAACAAATCCAAACTAACATTTGAAAGTTAAAATTTTTTCCATCGCACGCGTATATGTCTCTTTCCTTCCCCTTGTGTATTCAGACCAATACAAGTGGCTTACTCACGCGTTGGGGTCTCCTTCACTATCGTCCGCAAACGAGTCTCGCACCTCGACTGGCACGCATCCAAGTCTCTGGTTCAATCAACAAGTTTGCGTGAGTTTGTTTGTAGATCACTTAGTTTTGTTCATTTGTAAGTAAAGAACCATTACATTTCATGTTATTTAATAGCTTTTACCAAAGTTATAAAACTCTGCTCTAAATAAAATCATCATTTATATTCTCACGTCTCTCACATGTTTGGTTTCACATCATTTGCTCAGAGAAAATCAAAACACTTCAAATTCATTTGTACGAAAAGTTTTTATCTTCTAGTTTAACCTTTAAAATAACCAAATGCTTCATTGATCACCTTCACTTAATGTCAAAGTAAAGTGATAGAAATCTATTTAAATACAAACATTGTTTCAGACACAAACAATTAAGATGAAGCTAGTCTGGATTCTGAGTGGGTTGTTCATCACACTAAATACAGTACAGAGTAGAACGATTGTAAAAAGGGAATCAGGAGACATCACACCACTCAATGAGGTAACAATATTATTAATTATTAATTGTCACTATTGTTATTCTTAATTGCCAATACAGTAATTAAATAAAAATGTATCTAGACGCGATGTGAGAGTTGAAATTGCAAAATGTAAGCATTGAAGAGTGTAAGTTGAGAGTGAAAGTAACTTGCATTGGTCCAGACCTTTCGAACTTGTTATACGATGATGTATTTTTGTTGGTTGAATTATCATAATGTCAGTGTAAATTAAATGAATCAGTTTAAAACAATAACATCTTTTCTGTATATGAGTCATATGTAAATTACAATTTCTCCAAAAAAAAAAACGAGTTATTTTTGATGATTTTACATGGTGTATATTAGTAAGCATTGGTATTCTACTGTCTTTTGAATTTCGCAAGAGATGAATAACACAGTACTACTAACATCTAAGTTATGTAAAGAAATTTCAAGAAGACACTACTTTCTTTAAAAATTTTGATCTTCTAAACGTTGCTACAGAGGTTACGTTACTGACAATTTATCATTATTTCCCTTTTTCTAACATTTCACTTCAAATTCACTTTAATATCATTAACAAATGAATGGGATTCTTCTTCAGATATATGTACTAGAAACTGAAGATCCAGCACTCAAAGATGAGGAAGCACATGGTGACAGGGAAAAAAGAAAAATCGGAGTAGTCAAGCTTGGAGTATCTAATGGCATTATTAATTTTGTATTTGGTGTAAGTAAACTGTTCTTTTAATTGACACATTTTATTCTATGATGACATGTAATAAAGGGATATTTAGTATGCAATGTCAGTGCAGCGATAGTATCACTTAAAAGATTTAAAAAGTTCTTTGATATTTCCATCACGCATTATGTTGTTTTCAATGTAGTTTGTAAGTAAATATCTATTGCATTTACTCATTTTTTTAAGTACACATAGTTTTACCTCTATTTCTTAATATTTGAATATTTCAACATCAAGTCATACATGCCATCACATAAATCACGTCTATACACATTTTAGTGTCTAAAAAAAAGTATATGTACTTTAATGAAAAATGTAATTTTCTTTTTAATTTTATTCAATTTGTAACAATACAAAAATATTTAAGCAGACAATTGATTTAAGATTTAAAAAAAATAGAAAGTTTAAGTTGAAAAATGGGTTCAGATTGATTAAAATTCCATTATTTCAGCAAAGATAGAGTTATTTTCAAATTTTTGCATAATTTCTTGAGTAATACGAATATCAATAGTGCATAATTCTACCATTAAAATGATATTATTTCTCATAAATTAAATGTGATGGAAAAAATATGATGTAACTTTTAGGATTAATAGCCTAGACTGACCTTAAAATCAGATTATATTTTGGCAAAAAAAATGAATTTCTCTCATTGATTCTAACCGTTTGTTAACGACATTATTCATACTAAAATATGATGGAATATTGTTAATAACTGTTATTTTAATTATCCAGAAAATAGATTCTTTACTCGATGCCAAAACGAAAGCATTGGGAGTTCTTGATGAATCAAACAAGGCCAAAAATGCAATTTATGGAATAGATCCTAATCAATCAGCAACAGGTGCATTCATTAGTGATATTCTAGGAAAGAAACTTCAAGCAAGTACTGCTGGTATTGGACCACTTATTAATAGTGCGACGACATTTATTTCATCGAAAGGCCAAGGACTTTTTGGTGCCCTCACTTCTAAAATTGGACCTTTGAGTTCATTGTCTGGAGGCTTATCTGGAGGTAATTATTATATTCATCAATTCAATTTTTTTCTGATCAATACATTCTAGGACAAACGGACTTAATAATTAATTTTTTATGTAGGTTCCGGAGGCGATAATTCTGGAGGCGGTGGTGGAAGTGGTGGAATTCTTAGTTTACTAACCAGTCTAAGTGGTAGCAGTAGCAGTGGTCTGAGTGGTGGTAGTGGTGGCAAAAGCAATGGCGATGATGATAATGGTATTAAAGAACATTCATCAGACAGTAGTGCTGGTGCAGGAGGGGGAATAACCCTCGGGTCATTTCCAAGTGTTGGCGGAGGGGTAGGATATTGAGAAATTGCGTTAAATAAATATCTAAATGATGCAGATGATAATATATAATTATGTCATATTTAATTTATACATATAAATAGCATCGCCAAGTACCTCCCCCTTATGCATAACTCGTGTCAACTTGAAATGTATTTTCGATTTTTTTGGAAATTAGTAAAACATTAGTTGGGGATTAGTTCAAAAATGCATTCGAGCAGGGTAATTAATAGTAAAGATGGAAATAATTATGAATTAATTTTATTTTATATTTGAATAAATTGTAAATTATATTTATATATTACAATGAAAATTCTCTTGAATGATTATAAATAATAATATAATCATTTGTAAATAAATCCAGAACAAAAATGTTGACAATCAAGTATTCACAATGTATATTTATTATGTAAATAGCTGATTTTTTGTTTTGTTTTATGTGCAGTAAATTTTATACAGAAATAATGACGGCAAGTTGTTATTAATAAATGTGCAAAATAAATTTATATAAATTTCAACATATTTCTACATTCTTTATTCTAGTAGCACAAGTAGTTTGAAGTAATCTTGCCTTTAATTATCCTTTGATCCCTTGGTCACTGAATAATTATCATTTTTTTATATAATTAATTGTAAAAAAAAAATTTATATTATACATCAGTAAACTAACTTCATAATGGAGTTTATACATGTTTTAAGGGGGAGGAACGAGTTGTAGAATTATTATATCACAATTGACTTCATGAAATCGTTTGATGTAAAAGAAACATTTTTATCTCCAGCCAACACCAGCGGAATCTGAAGATATCCCCGAGTTCGACAGAGAAAGAGTCTCTTTAGCTGTTCCTGCTGAAGCGTTTGGCACAGGTTTTAATATCGTAACTGGCATAACCAAAATCCTCAATAAATTCATTCTCGTAAGTTTGTTAAATTCCTTCAATTTTCAAATTTTCCTTTTAAAAATATACTTTCTTACAGAACTCAGCACATCGAGCAGAAAGTGTACTAGAAGTATTCAAACCAATTTTTAGGGGTGCATTTGCCATCAAGGGTCTTCCATCAGACAAGAATAATAATAATAATAATATAGATAACCATTTAAAACTAAGATGACCAATAAGACTATCAATCAAAATTTAGTATATAAAAGTTATAAACCAAAACTTTATGCTCAAATAGAATAATTTTGTTAGAATTATGTAGCTACAAAAAACCAAGCTGAAAATACAACAGACTTTTTTTTTAAGAAAAAAACATATTTTTATTTAAAACTTATAAACACGTCTAATCATAAGTGACCTTTTTAAATGGAAGTAGTTCAGTAACAATTAAGTCAATAAATTATAAACCTAGAAACCTTCATTAAGAGAAAAACCAAGTAAATGAGAGCATTTGAATATTGATTAAGATTATTGAGTCTGCGAACAAAAAACAAATATCACAATATAATATAAATTATTATTATTCGTATTATTCTTGTCATGACTTTGATGACATTGATCACTTAATTCTGGCCCTCAAGGTTTATTAAGAAGAAAAACAAAAATTGGGAAAATAACTCGTCATTACCGAATAAATGTTGAAATAAGGCCTGACCAATCAATGTGGACCATGCGTGCGTATCGTTTGGACGTGATTTCTTAAAGAAATAATAAAAAAATGCTGACGACCTTGAAGGTTAGTAAACCCAAGTAAGTATAACGTGTAGCTCATCTTACTAGTGTCAGTTTTGCCGTCCAGCATGGAACAGCAAGCATTCAAGTCAAGAGCTTTATTCTTAGTACATTCCATTGACTAGTAATTTGTATTGAGGACAAATTAATAAGTATTAGTTTTTTTAAATTCAATTTACAGACGAAAAGAAAACACAGGGAAAAAAGAAAGAAGAGATAATTGAATTAATAACTACTACAGTCAATTGCTTGGTTTATATCATTCACACGAATCATTTCGACATAGGTAAGTGTTATATTTTAATATCATAAATGTATTAGTAGTATATATGGTATCAAGTAATTCAAGTGATTGGTTTTATTATTTTACTTTTCAGATATCATACGAAGGAAGTTCATTATTACTACAAATCATGCAAGGTACTTAGTTTATTAGTCTGCTTTTTTATTTTATGTAATATAAGATTTATGGTATTATATTATATAGACATGGTGTACATTGTCGAAAGTTTCAGATAAAACTTAGCAGACTGAAACGTATAATACAAAGGTATATTAAACAGGGTAATTGGGCCAATTGTTAGACCCATTTGTTGGAAGTTGGTTTAACAGTATGAAATTTCCGGTTATGATATAGTCTACTGATGTTTATAATTCAGTATTAATATTTTAAGATAAAAGTCTCTTTACTTGCATTGAAATATTGTACAGAGATTTCTTACTTTTACTTTTGTTTGGTTCATACAGCATACATATAACATTTCTCTTTTCAACAACCAATATTTAACGATTACATTCATGAAGCTGTGGAGAGAAAGAAGAATAATAAGTTATATCGTAGGAATTGTTTGAGAAAATATTAATCACTTAATCAGTTAAAAAATTTATATTTTAAATCTTTAGTATTATAGCATCAGTAACTTTCGTAACTTTACTTTCATGAGGTTCACGAGAAAACTATTATGTAAAATTATCATGTGGTCCGCCAAAGAGTTGACTGACGCACGCGTTGTTTTATTTCATCACATTTTTTTTGCAGTTATTAGTGAAATGTATAACGTCAATGTTTATGTAAATATTAGTATAAATATTTAAAAAATTCATAGTTAAAAATTTAGCATAAGCAACTCATGAATAAAAATGATGATTGGTATTGTGTAAAGATTGATCACCAGGACATCACAAAAAGTCCTGGAGATACATTAAGATTACAAAATTGTTACAAGGATTCTCCGTGTCATCTACTGTCAGTAGGTCTAATGATTATTACATGTCGTTATATTTGTATGTGATTATAAAAAGAGTTGAAAGATAATTATCATTATTATTAATATAGGCTTCATTTTTTAATGATTGAAGAGTGTACTTAAAAAGAGAATTGAAACAAGTAGTAATTTTTTCATTCATTATTAAATAATAATTTATTTTTGAATTAATAATCCAAGTTATAAGTAAATATTATTATTTTAATTAATATTTTATTTGAGAACGGTCCATTTTATTGATTAACAAAATAATTATTCGAACAGTAGAATTCAAAAATTCCTGATGAAGATCATGATAAAAATAATAAACAATTATTAAAGATTACTTTTGAATATTCCTAATAATCATTGATGAGCAATCATAAATTATTATTAATAAAAATCAAAATAATTTATCTGGTAATTACTTTCAACTTCAGAATCATAACCAAATGTCACATCAAAAATCAATATGTCAACAATCAATCATCAACAAACGTTTAACTTGATATTTTCTATCAAACAAAGCAATATTTATTCACTATTACAAAATTCTTCTTTCTCTGTACATTGAGCTCTTATAATTTCGCACTAATTCTTATTATGACACTTTTATAATAATTGGATTAGCGTGATCAGACTCAATTATTACAGGTACTAGAGCAAAACATTTCAAATTTTAACAGACCCATATTTTCACGTTAAAATTATTATGTGCCAAACTATAAAACATTACTATCTTATCTATTACGATATGTTAAATCATTTTTAAAATCTAAATTTTCTAATGGCACGCAATGAAAAGAAAATTTATGATTGCCGAAGTTAATCTCCAACTTACGTGCGCGTAATCGCCATAATCGATGGAAATCTCGGTCGCGGAAATGTCGCGGAAGTTGCGTATAGAAAGCTGACACTAAACGGAGAATTTATCTTTGCATACAGTGAAATGTAAGGTTATATGCTCGAATATATTTTATTCAGACTATTTTTGTGATAATATCCATTCGAGAAATGTTTTAATAGTTAAGTAACATTACGTAGCACAGGAGGATTCGACAAGACTGTCTGAGTTTATTTAATACTTTTATAAAAAATTTATTATAAGATAAGTATATAGTGTTGTTTACAGTGAATAATTTATCTGGGCTAAACTACGTACCAATCATTATTATGTCAATACCGGAAGTGTTAATTAATACAAGAAATTCAAATTTTAAAATTAATTCTGATATAATCAAATGATAGTTTTAATTGTCCTGATCGATTAATCAGTTTTCAATTAAATTTTTTTTTGTTATTTTTTTCCAATCTAAAATCAAATAAATACAAATTAGTAGTTCTATGGTTTGTTGTTTATTGTAGTGAAGCCATTGATTATTTTTGGATATAAATTTGCCGGGTAATGTGTACCTTTCATCAAATAATAAAAGGTTAAAATCAAACATACAATAATTACTGTTTACTCTGACTTATTACTGTTATTGTTTCAAGAGTACGTAATTTAAAGTCATCAAATAAATTTTCTTATTTCATTTTGTTTGAATAATTATCAAATTAAATGAAATTAAAAATACAATTTTAATTTCAGTAATCGGATATATTGTTAATTCAATTATTAATATTTATAAAAATTTATAAAGTTTGTTATAAATATTTTTTATAATAAATTAGAATGATTTACTTAATTTTATTTTTTAATAAACAAAGAAATTGAAGTCAGCATATCTTTTTGCAAAACAAGTCATTAAAGAATTATATTATTGAAAATTCAAATTATGTTTGTTTGTCAAATATTCTTAATGGCATTTAATAATCATAGGTTAAGAATATTTTAATTATAAAAAATTATAAGTAAGCTACAATTATTAGATCATTAATCTTAATTGTCTCCAAAACATAAAATTGCATAACAGTTCTAATGAAGATTATAATTTATATTATTACAGTATATTTATTCATGCAAATTATATTTAATTTATATGAATGTAATTTTCAAGAATGAACAATAATTGTAAGTTATTAAAATTAACTTACTGTTGCATAGTTTGTGAAAACAATTATTATGTATTCATAATGTAAATTACAATTAATATTCTTTTATATCTGTTAATTATTCAAAAATTATTAATGTTGATAAATTTTCTATTATATTTAATCTATTCATTTATGAATAATGCAAAACATTGTTTCTTTTTTGAACATATTTGTCTTGACTCACATGCTTTACTCTTTTCTTCACATCTATGAATGACTACAAAGTACAGTCATTTAATAGTATTATTAACATATGTATGGTTTAAATAAACAATCGTGATTTAAAAAGTGACAATAACTAACAATTATTACCAGAAACTACACAATGTAATTTAATGTTTTTGTATTCAGTTTCAATGACCATTGAGCTTTTACTTTCATGTCCCATATTATTATCATTGAATAATAACAAGAATTTTTCTAAAATAAATGAACGTTCACATTACATACTACAATTAACAATGATTAAATATTGTGAAAGCTGTTTAAAACTATTGCTTCATGTAAAAGATCTAATTAACTCAATGTGTAAATTCTGGTTTAACTTTATTCTCTCTCTATTCAAATAAAACTGGGTGGCATTGAATTTACTTTTCCCTACATTTTCTCTTTCTTTCGTTGAGTTTTTATTTTCAATTCCGTTTGAATCAATCAAAAAGAATTACACTAAAATCGAAAATACTTTGACAAATTAATTAGAGTGCAGTTAGATACAAACTATTAAGTAAATAAACTCTGAAAAATTAAAAGTACTTATTAGAATATTTATTATGCTATCGTATTGTTTCTTAAATAAACCAAATGCTACATTTAACAAGTTAATTATCTAATTGAAGTAAATAATAACTTGTAATAATTTAATATTATATTTACAGTGATGGAGAAATTAATATTGGTCTTCATGTTGCTTGGACTGGGTTCAATAGACAATGGAAGCTCTGAAGTTTATTCCAATACTGATGTCTCATGGAATGATCCCAGTCGAGTTTACCAACGAGTTAAATTAAAACGAGAAAATGAAGTAGATCATTTCAGTGATGATGAATTACTTTTAAAAAAGATGCTAACTGATACAACTATTCCAGTTGATATTGAAAAGATGAGTATTATTGCAGATAGAATTATCTCAGACGCTGATGTAAGTGAAGAAACTAAGAGAGTTGTCAGACAAGTAAAAAAGCAAAGACCTGGATTCTTCTGGACTCTCTTCCGAGTCTTCTTTGAAGTGAGTAAACTATAAGAATTTCAAATGTCTCATTTTTATCGTTTAATGACTTCAATTAATATGTCATCACATCAATAAAAATATTTTTATCATCTTAATCTATAAATATGTTCAATAAATTAATAAATAATTCAAATTTTTTAAACGTTTAGACACTTAACGAGACTCGATCAGTAATAATACAAATCAACGACATTGTTACTGCAAATGTTGTTGAGCGAACGACTCCTAGACCAACAACATTAAAAGCTGATATCAGTGAAGAGGATTCAACAACTACTTCAACGCCTTTCAAATTAACACGGCAATTTCTCCAAGATTTTACTCGTAAAAATATTAGAGGCTTAGTGAGGCTTTTTAATATTGAATGGAAAGATGCACTTAATGTAAATATTAATAATTATTTTTCATTACATAATTTTATTTTTAAATGCAATATAAAATTTTTTTTTTTTATTTTTGCAGCAATCACAAAGTAATATCAAACAATTCCAAAAAGAATTATCTCGAAGTGTTGAACCATTTTTAGCAGATAATCCAGATGTTTATTGATATTTTGGATTATATTAGGTGTATCATGTTTATAAAACTTGATTGTTGTTAAAATCTTTAACTAGAATTAATTATTTTTTATTTTAGAACATAAGATAAATGTATTAATAGGCTTAGATTTGTTGATTTTGAGTAAATAGTAGAGTTCATTTCAATAAGAATAGATTGTTAGAACTGAAAAAATTGAATTTTATTATTAGAAATTATTTAATATTTTAATGTATTATAATCTGTAAATTGTACGCTAGTGGTGTTAAATATCATGACAACTGACTTAAGTTAAATTCTTTTCATGAATATTTGTATTTCAAATTATTTTTTATCAACAAAAAAAGGTCAAAATTTACATTGATTATTAAGAATATTACGTTGAATACTTGTCAGCTATAACAAGATTAATTTTTTTATGAATTAATTTCATCAGAGGTAGTTTTTTTGCCAACTTTCATGTGATCTGAAAAAAAACTTACACCTTATGAAATTGCATCCAAGTTTTACATATTCTAAATTATGTCTTGTGTTAGTATTTTTATTGTTAGAAAAAAAATAGTATTTACAAGCATCATTTAAATATTTTCCAACTAAATATTAGGTTTATTAATTAGATATTTATTCACATCTGAGAAATCAAGACTTCTTAGAAAATTTTTATTTATTCATATTTGCTATCTAGAAAGTGTTAGATGTACAAAAAGTCTGTTTGATGATTCTCTTTTATTACTACAGCGGGAAATGTAATTGTGTTTGAAAAATTCTATAAGATGACACGTATTCTATAATAACACCAGAGTTCAATGATTTCCGTATAAATGCTGATTTTTACGCAATATAATAACCTACATAGAATTCAAATCGCCTACACACTCCATACGATCATCACTGAAAAACTATATTCAATATATGAAGAGAAAGCGAGATTAAACTATTGGTTTGTAAATTTTGCGTAGGCTATTTTGACCAATGAATCCCTTATATATAGAAGCCAAGTGTCCAATTCCCACTAAAAATTGTACTATCGTGTTTCGAGGAACATATCTGTGTTAAGTTGACTAGAAAAGTTTTTCAAACTGGCTATGATCATCTTGTTCAAAATATTGTTGTTTATAATAATTGTTAATTGGTCAAAGGGACAGAATGTTGTGTTTGATTATGGTAAAGAGAGACGTGCTTCACCACGAACTCGCCCAGGATCTCCAGGAAATTCCAACACAATAGATAATATTTTTCAGGTACATTTATAATTAAGTTATAACATTTCATTGTTTCATATTAATTATGTACATGTTTGTAATTTAATTTTTATTGATCTAGATCCCAATAGCAGTAATTCAAGGTACTTCAGCTGCTGCACAATCTTGGTCCCCTGAAAATGGAGATACAATCAATAAAGTTTTTAACGTTAGTGTTTAATATTCTTCTAAATTAAATCTTTTATTAAAATAAACATGAAAGATTCAAGTATTTTTTCTGAAACTAATATAATTTATTAAAATTCTGATTATCATTCTACAGATACCAGTACAAACTCTTCAAGCCATCAGTACTCTAATTAAAGACCGTATGCCTCAAAATTCAAATAATATTCAAAACAAATTAATTTACCAAAATCATCAATATCAAGAGAATGTTACGAACCGCAAAAGACATATTCATCAGAACAATTGGACTTGGGCTTCAATGTGGTCAAATTTATTTTTTGGAGAACACCGTGATTCAGGTTACCCATTACATGGCATAAAAAAGAAGAAACGTAAAATGAAAAAGGGTTTACATCATGGAAGCCATGGAATATTAGCAAGTCATGGGAATCATTTTCACGGTCATGGACAGCATAACCATGGCCATGGTCTTTTATCCATGCATCAAAGTAAGATAAATATCCCTACACATTATTTAACTTATATTGTCTATTTATAAATTTATAATTTATATAGTTTATAAAATAAATAAATAATTTTATATTAAATTTTAGGACCTCAAGACGTACTTGGAAGTGATGGTAATGTTTATCAAGTCACTGAAATTGTTGATGATGTTCCACCTCCTGGGAGACCTTTTACGCAGTCAGACCGCATTCAAAATAAAATTGCTCCAAAATTTTATGATTAATTCTCAAGAGCCATAAAAATTCTAAATATAAGCATGCATGTTAAGGTAGCTTTCAATCTTCAGTTTTTTAATTGCAAATTTTATGTCTAATTAGAAACATTCTTTTATGCTAGTGCTAAATCAAAATAAACTTATATTTCATTTTAACATAAATTAACACAATTGTTTATACTAGTTTATAAATAATTATTTTTATAATCAATGTTAATAGCCTCTAGTAAGCTTCGAGAATGTTTCTAATTAATAATATAAATGATTTAATGACACATCATATTTTGATTGTTGATAAAATATTTAAAAAAATATGTAATTTCCAAACGTTGTTTTAAAAAGTATTTCCATAGTAAAGTTCACTTGAATTCAAGAACAATTGAACAGAAAAGTAAACAATAGACCACCAAGAAATATAAATATGTTAAATAAAAACTTAAAAATAATATTTATCAATTCACTGACCAGCTAATTCATCATAATCATACACGTGCACTCTGTATAATATTCACGTACTATTTATATGTTTTCATTTCCCTTGCTAATGATTGTACGTCAATGACCCATAGTATTAAGCTGAATATTGGTATATCGTCTAAAAAAGATTAAATATTTTTATTTCCAATTTCAACATTATAATTGATCAGTAAATTGAGCAATAACCATCAACCGTACAAAAAATTACAAAAATTTTACCTCTAAAGTATAAAAAAAAGACCAATCGAAAAAAATTATTATAAGTAACGAGTACTGAAGCGGAATTATTTTATTTCTTGAGGTTTCTTTTAAATCTAATGATAGTAAACTGAACTCTAGACTATTCAATAATTAAAATTAAAAAACATCCATTCATTTGCTTTAGTATCAACTCAATAGTTCACCACAAACAACACAATAACTTTTTATAAGATAGTTCACCCCACTCGAAGAATCTGAAATCCCTTCTCTTTGCGATGAGTCGCAGTGCGAAAAACATTAATACTTGTGCCGACCATAATATCTTACTTCCATCGCTGACTTGAGCCTGCAACAACGCCGAGTCATTCTCTTTTCAAAAGCTGTGAAAATGCTCAAGAGTAACATTTTTATTGTGACATTAGTGGCTTTTATAACTGTATCGAAAGTTGAATCATATCCGGCAATGTCTGATAGTACTTCAAAGAAAGAAGAAAAACCAGATTCTTTATTTGGTGTAAGTTAATGTACTTGGGTACTTCAAGACTTTCACTGCAAATTAATTTATTCTTGTTTTCATCACGTTTGGTTTCATAATTTTTTTAAAAATTCATTTCGTACTGGAACGTTATATATAAAGAAAAAGGAAAGATTATTATATTAAAGTCTTTATTTCGCTTTTGTCAATGTTTAGTTGCCTTTTTTGGAGTTTAAAAATGGTGGTGTACGAGTAAATTTTGCTGGATATCATGCCGAAGCTGGTTTAGGAGGTCTTCTAGGAGCTCCTGGTACATCAGGAGGACTTTATGCTGGTGCTGGAACTCCATCAGGTGCTCATGCATCAGCTGATCTTGGTGGCTTTTTAAATGGCCAAAGAAGTACTGGTAAGTTTGTATTTTAATGTTTTTTAAACAGAGTAAAATAAATTTGCACAATTATTGGTTTACTAAGACCAGGTATGAACGTTCTATTCAATTCTAACTCGGTTTATTATCATAATGGACTATTTTTTATTCACTTCTTTAAATTCTGATTCATCTATTTGAATTTTTAAGATGCCAATAATTTTATTTTCGTTAAAATTCAATTATTTATTAATTAAAATAATTTAATACATTGTTTTGATTTTTTAGGTGGCCTTCTTGGGGCTAGAGCAGGATTGGGTAATGGAGGTCCAGAAGTTGGAGCAGGACTTGGCGGAAATCTTGATGGAACAGATCCTTCTAAAAGTGGTGGTCAATTATATGCTGGAAATAGTGTTACAGGAACAACAAAAATATCTTTCGGAGGATCACCAGTTAATAGGAGTAATGTTCAGAACGTCCTTAAAAAAGATAATGTAATGTGAAATAAATAATGAGAATAGATTCTAGTCACCATTAGTCATTATTATATTTGTTGGTACAAATATGTTGAATAAAAATATTATTATCTAAATTCTAGCCTGAAGATTTAATCAAAAATTCTAAGGCCAAAAATGATGTGAATGTTAATAATAATGCTGAGTTTAAACGACGAGAGATTGATGTTAATGATGCTAATATTAATGTTATCGATCCAGCACTATCGACACCAAGTATTATTATTTCCAATGAGATTAAAACATCTAATTGTTTAAATGAATAGTCATCATTTTTTTTAATTCATTTTTTTTAGTTGCTTCTGACGTGTCTACTTATACTTATGCAAACCGTCGTTGTCGAAGAAAAAGACTTTGTAATAATTTACGAAAAGTAGTCATTCAACAACAACTTCCTTTTTCTCAAGTACCTGTAAATTTTGCTGAAGATGACAGAATTGTTCCACCGTTTGCATTCAATCCAGAAAAAGTTGTTGATAATGTCAAGCTAGGTGGACTTGATACTGCGAATAGTGGACACAAAAACACTGTTATTCATCCTGGACCAGCACCAGTTGTTCCCAATGTCGCTGGATTAACACCTAATGTATATGGATCAGGACCAACCATAGGAAAACCTAAACCTGGTACACTTTTTGATGACATCTTTAATGTAAGTTGATTTATTCAATGTCACAATTGTTTTTTTCTTTGTTCACTTTTTAACATTTATATCATGCGTCTAGATTCCAATATCCGTATTGACTGCAGTAAACCAGTTGCTGAACAACAAAGCAGGTTGATTAATTCTACGAATACTCTCGATCATTAAATTTTTACGTCATCGGATGCCTCCAAGGACTTACTTCTTTAATGCACTATTTTTTACCAGATTTTTTATTAAGTCAAATCCATAATTATTTTAAATCTATTATTTTCAATATTCAAAGGTAACACAAACAGAATTCAACTAATATTTACTTGACTAGTTGTAAAATAGTTTTAAATTGAAAAATTCTTTATTGAGAATATTTCAGTACTTTTACTAGTGCAAAATTCTCCAAAAGGAATTAACTTGCCAGTCAGAACTTTTTTATTTTCAATAATAAATCAACTTCAATGATAGAAAAGTATATTAACTATTTAGGAAGACATTTTGATTGAAATTATTAGATTTTATTTTTTATTCAAAGTAATACATTATATTTTGAAAAAAGTTTAGAATATCAAATGCTCAAAAATACTTTAGGTACACTGGAATAATAACTGTATCAGCTATACTCATGCCAAGAAATATTTAAAAAATTACTCAAGAATTAATTAATAATAAATAAGTTTTATGCCCATGAAATTAACTTTTTTAAATTTAAATGAATTATTTTTTTATTGGTCTTAAGAAATGATTATATGTAAAGGCAATATGATTGATTGATTGATTAGTTCCAACTAAATCACTTTTATCATTAATCATACAATTAAGTAATGAAAATAATTAATAATGCTCAGTAAACTGCATTTTTTTATAAAAATAATTTGTTAAGTACTTATACACTACTGATATCAAGCATCACATATAATTCCCGTACAATTTCATTGTTTCATTCAGGTCTTGCATTAGATGAGTTGTGAAAAAGGTAAACGACAGGACTATTATTCATTTGATAGCATATAATATTCAATAAATAACATAACTAATTTTGTACTGACAATGTAAAAAGATTATTTAAATATATATCTATATATACAAACAATTTTGATAATTATTTATAATTTTTCTTTTGTGCTAATAACGAGTTTGTTATAATGGTGGTTGTTAAAGTATGTGTTGAAACCAAATTGCATGTGAAGAAGGAAGCGAAAGTTATAATAACAAAAAAGGATAAAAAGCCCAAGGATATTGTAAATACAAAAAAAAGTTAACCAGCTAAATATGATGAGACACGGAATGGGTTTAAGTAACGATAATAATGAAGACTTCAATGGATGATATCATTTGAACTTGTACAAGAAATGAAAAGAGAAAGTAAAAGCTATGGAGATGTTGCAATCTTTCAGCGATCGGTGAATAACGTTTAAAAAGAATCAGTCAGTGACTGTGAAGTGTTAAGTTAAGTCGTTATAGAGTGTAACATATTTTTAACCTACACTATATTTCATGTGAGAACGATTATTCGGACATTAATTTAGTATTTGGCATGCAGGAAAGAGTTTAAATATTTCTTATATTTTATGTAGATATATTGTTGAGTCTATGCAATGAATGACAAATATTTTGTCGTTTTTATTGTTATTGTTTTTCTGGGGTTAGACAATCACGTGTTGGCTAAACCTACTCAAGACCTTACAAAGACAACATTGGATTCGTCACAAGAGAAGTTGAATAACACCAAAGTAAACATACCAACCAAATGGGAACGAGGAATGGTAATAAAAATATTTCATTTCTTTACATGGAATAAAATGATTATTTTAAATTACAACAATTATTTAAATGATCAAAAATAATTTTTTCTGTTTTATTATTAATTTAATAGATTCAGACATTTTTTGAATATTTTTTTGTGAAAGCTTTGAAACTTTCTTTTCAGTGAAATTCAAATGAAGCGAATAAAGATTCTCTGCGATTGTTCAAGCAAATATTTATTCATTATAAGTAACATGAAAGAAATTTTATCCCTGTACATCCTTTTAACTATTTTTGTAATAATTTTGAATATTGTTGTTGAAAAATTTTAATTAACACTAAATGCAATTTAAAAATGAAAAAATATAGACTCCTAAATTATCCTCGATTGTAGGATTTGTTAGGCCAAATTATGGATTCAATAAGATTTGGCAGAGGACGCTTAGTAAATTTTTTGTTGATGGCTAGAAATGAGATTGCGGAACGCGCGGAGGTAATTTTTTTTTATTTTCATTTCATCATGAAAGGTAAATGTACCAGAGGAAGGACATGTTCTAATTGAAAACTAGTTGTGTTTATATGATTAATTACTAGAATATTCTTTAATTCTTAAATGAATTAATTAGAATTTTTATCGTTATATCAACAATCTCAATTGCACTTTTTTATCCACAGTACATCCATTTTAAAAGTTTTAAAATAATTTTTACTCAAAATTCTTTGTAATTAACATTCAATTACAATTATAATTCATTAAGTAATCAAATTTAAATTTAAAAAAATACAAATAAAACTAAAATTTAAAGTAATTACCTTAAAAATTTGAATTGTTCAATTGTTTCACATTTTATCCTCCAATAGTGATTAATTGATAATTAGAATAGCATTTATAAAAGTATTTTATAAAAGAATAGAATTTTAAAATATTTCTCTAATTATTTGGTATCTTGATAGTGTAAATATTCATTGATTAATAATTAGTAGAATAAAGATCAAGGAGTGTCATTGAGATAATTGATATAGAGATTAAAGTTCATTGACTGCTAATTTAACTAACGTCAGAATTAATAACAATTTATCATAATAATACTATAGCTGGTAAAAAATTATTTTGCAATTCCTAAAAAACTTATTTTAATTTTTTTTTGTTAATTAACGATTGGTTGATGTTTTTTTTTTTCATTTTAAAAATTAAAATGGATAAAATATTAATATATAAACCACTACAATACTTAATGAAAATTTAATATTATATATTCGGATATTTATTAACCATTGACATCCTTTTCAATTATTTCTCAAAAAATTTATAAAATAATACTATCTCTATTGTTATTAAATTTTATAATAACTTCTAAAGTTTATTTTATTACGTTGATTATATTTTTTAATGTCCTACTACTGGTAGATTTATTAGACAATCGGAATCGATTAAATATCACTGCATAAACTAAGCACGTCACAAGCAATGTGTTAATTTAAACCTTTGTAACACACGATATTTTCGAAAGTCGTTGTGTCTCCGTGTAAATTTTATTTTTACATTTTTCTGAGAAATAAAAATCCTTGACGTCAAACAGCTTCTGTATATTTTGGCTCATTAGATATTTCCAAGAATAATATAAGTAATTGCATTGATTAATGATTTGACAGTCAATGTGAATAATTAAACATAAACATATTTGTTCAAGGAATTTACTAGTGATGCGGCAAACAAGCTAGTAGCTATATTAGCAGCAAGAGATGCAAAAAAAATAGCGCAAAAAGCAGGAAAAAGAAGTATAGTTGAAAGTTCAACAAGTACACGAATAAAAGTTGACCCTTTGGATTCTTTTTTACCTCCAAAAGCACGAGAGATTGCTCGCTTGGAGTCAGAATCTGGCCAATCATTGTTTGAAATTAAAAAACCAAAACCAATCCAAGGATTACTTGAGAATTTTTTAGCCCCAGTTCCATTGGTCGATAAAATAAAAGAAGAAGATAAATATGGAAATTCCGGTGACAAATTCATAGGCGTTGGACGAGCAATAGTTAACGGATTTGAGGGCTTCAGTAATTTTCTCAATGCTGTTGTTGATGTAAGTCAAGATGAATAATAATACCCTTTTTTCTATTCAGTATAAAATAATATTAATCATACTAACAACATCTATTACATGTTCAGATTCCGGTGAATGCTGCAAAAAAAACATCTCGAGGAATAACAGCGGCGCTCAATCAAATTGGCGGGAAACTCATAGGCCTTGAATAATATTGAAAATGATGTAGAAATATACGCAACTTGTTATTAATAATATTTATTATGAATTTATATCACGTTTGTATGTCTTGTAATAAATTTTAAGAAAATGTTATTTGAAGTATATTTTTCTTTTGCGAAATTCTTATCTACAGACTGATTTAATTATAAGAAACTAATGGACCATAAAATTACATGCTAAGAATTTTTATAGACCGTTAGTATTACATTTACTTTATGAATGATGAAAATTGAATTTGAAGGTCGTTCGTTTATTACTTTTTTATAGACGTAAATGAGAAGCTATATTTAAATGGGTTGAATTAAGTGTCAAATATTTTTTATTATATCATTCAATACATTATAAAATTTTAATTCTTTTCTAAATTAGATGGTAAAATGTTTTCTCAAAAAACTTTAAAAATTACGATTAAACGATTCACAGTAAAATTTTAATTAAAATCTCATTAAATAGATCTTTCAACAAATAATATATGGTAAAAGTAAATAAATTTCTGAAAAATTTGTTAAAGATTTGTTGAACGAAATGTTAATAAAACAGTACAAGATTACGCGTGTAAATTTGCCGCAAAAAAAATTTTGCGCCATCTGTATATTTATGCACTCAACTTTACACTTGAGTCAGGGAGCGTGACATCCATCCCCAATAAGATGTCAGTCAAAGGCATTTTTACAATCTTTTAAATTAAAATTTTTAAATGTATAATCTTACTTATTGTCAATCAAATTCTATGATGCCCAGATTTTTCATCTAATGATCATTTTAAAAATAAGCTTTATTCTTTTAATCTTTTAAAATTGGTTTTTTTTATTTTCAATCATTTAATATTCAATCAAATTATAAAAATTCTTCTTTTTTTAATGTTTATCATTTCGTTGAACAGTCAACTTAAGAAATTAGGACTGGTAAATTATCTTGCGTCGGTATAGTAAAAAAATAAAATTCAACTAGTGTCATTGTTTTCTGATAGATGACAGTAATTGCACTGTTTTCAATCAAAAATTCAAAATGCTTATACAAAGAAAAGTCTTTTTTCTGGCTCATGTAATGTCATGCGATTTCTGCTACATAAATAAGGATGTTTAGACTTATAATCTAATGATAATAATGAATGACAATTTAAAATAGCCATGTAACTTCAATGAAGATTATACGTGAAGTTACAAGAAAGAAACCAAGTCATCCAGTTTTTATAGCAGAAAATCCTGAACTGATAAAAAAGTTATCAGTAATAAAGAAGGAGCATTTTTTTTATATAATCGAACAAAAATATCATCTATTATCATGAATGTAGGAAGAGTGGTAATTTATTTATAATTTTATTTTCGGATATCCAATGATTGTATCAAACTCAATAGAGTTCAAACTTCATCACGGATTATGTCTACAAGTAATATGTTCATTTCTGTCTCACTTAAGTAAAAAAAATCAGTATTTATTATCGTTGATATCGTATTTCAATGGTAAGATAAAATAAGATATAACTCATATATACAATTTTGCATAAAAAATAATATCATTCAACAGGAAGGATGTACTCATTTCCTACCAACATTAATGGCCACAATTTATTTACTCAAAGCTGACTAGTGATTTATATTAAAATTTATTAATAAATTTATATTCATATTATATTTATATTTAAATTCAGGTAAATTGAGGTATTCATTACAAATACTGATTTATTTTTATAAAAACTTAAGTAATAAAACTTTTTTTTTTTCGTTGCACAAAAATTGTTTATGTTTATTAAAGAAGAGAATAATACTGACAGACATTATTTTTGAAGTTTTTCAACTTTTTAATAATTCAGTTTTCAAATTTTTTTCACTTGAATTACGTTGACATTAAGATCAAAATGTTATTATCATTAGATTATAAGTCTAAACATCCTTATTTATGTAGTAGGAATTGTATGACATCACATGAGCCAGAAAAAAGACTTTTCTTTGTATAAGCATTTTGAATTTTTGATTGAAAACAGAGCAATTACTTTCATCTATCAGAAAACAATGACACTAGTTGAATTTTATTTTTTTACTATACCGACGCAAGATAATTTACCAGTCCTAATTTCTTAAGTTGACTGTTCAACGAAATGATAAACATTAAAAAAAGAAGAATTTTTATAATTTGATTGAATATTAAATGATTGAAAATAAAAAAACCTAATTTTAAAAGATTAAAAGAATAAAGCTTATTTTTAAAATGATCATTAGATGAAAAATCTGGGCATCATAGAATTTGATTGACAATCAGTAAGATTATACATTTAAAAATTTAAATTTAAAAGATTGTAAAAATGCCTTTGACTGACATCTTATTGGGGACGGATGTCACGCTCCCGTTAAGGTGAAAACCGAAACCTGGAAACGGCGCCACTTATATATGAACCAGAAGTGCTTATATCGCATTGTTACTCTCATTCTTCTTTCTGTACAGTCTTCTCATTGTTACTCTCATTCTTCTTTCTGTACAGTCTTCTCATTGTTACTCTCATTCTTCTCTCTGTACCTAACAGGTATATATAATACATATGTACTCAAATGATTTGAGTCAAATCAGAAAAGATAGACGAATAAAATACCAGTCCCTATTCTCTGATATATATATATATAGTTTTTATTTTATTCACTTTCTCAGCTGCATAAAAATCTATTTTAATAGAAAATTTGCTGAAGTAAGTATACTTACTATAATTTATAAATTATATCATAAATGAACGACTAAATACAAAAAATATGCTGAACAATTGATAATAAGATTAACAAAATATTAGAATATTTTTTCCGTTAATAATAATGATAATTAATTTATACATTTGTTAACAATTCAATGATGAATGGATAACTCGAAAAAAAGATGGCGAAAATATGATCTAAATAAGGTTAATTAAAAGTACTTATTTGTTACAGTATCATCGGATAGACGACAAAAAATTTGGTGGATATAAAATATTTCCTTTTTATGACAATCATGGATTTGTCTATGATGAACTTACTAACATCACAAAACAAAGATGACAATGATGATAATGATTTCGATGTATTTTCCGAACAACTGAAATGTATTGATTTTTCTTCATTACTTGAACCCAATCATCTAGAAAATCCAGAATGGAGTGACACCAGGCTGAAAGAGATGAGTAAAGAATATAAATTTGCTATGAATGAATGGGATTCAAAGATTGCAAAAATTATGTTAACGAGATTTTTCAATTTTTATTTTACTGGAAGAACTCCATCTGATGATAATGTAATTGCCACGGTCCACGACTGTGTTTCTATTGCTCATGTCAAAGGTCATCGACTTTTTCGTCCTAGGTCTACTGGAAATATATATTACACAAAAAACACTTCTATGCCAACCTCCGTAACTTCAGAGATTCGAGGTATTTCGAAGAAAAAACCTGTGCCACCGAGACTCTCGGTTTTCCACGATTATATTAAAACAGCTGTAGATAAATTTAACACTACCTCCACGACAAATTCTTCAGAAAAAGAACTCCTTGGATTAGCAGGATTTTTAGCATTAACACTATGTCAATTTGCTACGAGAAATATAGAACACATTATGGAAACATTCAGAGATGTAGAGTATCGAAAAACTCTTGAATCAGTAGCAGGGTGGCGTAGTGACAAACCATTTGCTTTTCCCGTTAAAGAAGCCTTGGAAACTTGTTCTTCGTGTCTTAGACAATCTACACGAAAAACTCGAGCTTTATTTTGTGTATTAGCTGATGAAATGGCGAATACTTATGCACCTAATTTTCCAGAACCAGAAAATCGACGATATTTAGGTACTTCAGTCCTCTTTCATACTGGATATTATGGGTTAGGTATGATCAAAATGATAAAAGATGTTTGTGAATTACTAGAAGCACCTTGGAACAATATTCGTCCTCTAGTGACAGAACCGAAGACCAATTCATCGTGTGAATCTATTGATAGATTTATAAAGAATAACCTGAAAGATGGAGAACATGGATATGCCTGGGCACGAATTATTCATGAAGACTTCCTCCCAGAATACTCTTATAAGAATAATAACGAGCTATGCATCGTTATGATTGCTATTCTTGAGCACAAAAAAGGTCCTATTGTTTGGAATGCGAAATGGATAGATCGTAGACTTTTTTCTTTCCAATCCGTCAAAAAAAGAGCAAATGCTATTTATCAATTGAAACGGAATTTGAAAAAAAAAAAATCGACTGATTGCAACCATAGTTTAGCATTTTGCACATGTTGTCCGCTTTCTTCAAAAACAATAAAAATTCTGAAATATTTGATAGTTCAAATCGAAAAAAATAATGTGGATGGATTAAAGAAATTGCTGGAGAGTTTGAAGATTGGTAACTCTTCGAAAACTTCATCAGAGGACCCAACAAAATCGTAGTTTTTACGTACGATTATAGAAATAAAATCATTGAAATTTCCAGCGGAAGTGACACTGAAATAGCTGACAATATAAAAGTTACAATCATATAATTATATCCATAGCTTATTCAATGAAAATGTTTTTTTACGATAATCTTAATTATTTGCAATAAACTTTTGTAATCAATAATAATTATACAAATAAATGAGATTTATTTTAATAAAATAGAATTATCCATTTATAATTATTTATATTATTTTATTCGGCACGACTACTATACGGTTTCTATGACGCCGCAAAACAATACAATTCTTTGTTATCTCGCTTAGTTTTCAAGATATTGGAAGTTTCAACCTTACATGGGAACAATTTTGAATCACAACATTAGAGGTGTTTTTCAATGGCGGTCTTCGGTCGCACTACTTTATAATAGAAGAAATCACTCTGGTAGTAAGTTATAATATAATAAGTTACAGAAATTTTGCATATTAGAATTGTCTGATACTGTACTACGCATGTCGCTAGCGACTGTCGCTGCCATGTGCGAGCACCTTTATATTAGTGTTCTCTGCTTTTTCCTTCTAACCTCCATAACTAAAAACGTTATGGAGTGTTTGGTGTAGTTAGCAACGCCGGCACGCTGAACGATATTTTTTTATCTGAAAACTACACAAAAAGAATTATTTTTTTTACGTCAAAGTGAATTAAACAATACCTTTTCAAAATGGTAAGTCTTTTAAACTATTTTTTAAATTGTTTTTTTCATAAATTTCGTAATAATTTAATAGTAAACTACAAAGCTTTATCTACACAACTTCCGCATGTGAACTTTAGCATCATTGAAGAGAAATTTAAAACCAACAATTATTTATTATAGTCAATTCTATTCTAATTGCAAATTTATTATAATATTTATGAATTAATAACAAATAAAATTTTCATTTTTACATTTATTTTTAAAACTACTCTATGAGTAAACATTCGGATCAGTATCAGAGACGAGTTTGTTTGAAATTTTGATTCTTTTGAATTCGTTCTATAGATTTTTTCAATATTTTATAAACAATTATAATATTATAAATGTCAATAATAAATATAAAATTTCTAATTATTTTGTTTTTCTCTCCACAGACAATCGGAAAGAATAATAAGATGTTACAACACATCAACTATAGAGTAAGAATTATTCTTCAAGACAGTAGAACATTCATTGGCACATTCAAAGCCTTTGACAAGCATATGAATTTAATTCTCGCTGATTGCGAAGAATTTTGTAAAATTAAACCAAAAAATACTAAACAACCTGAACGCGAGAAAAAACGTGTGCTTGGTTTTGTTTTACTTCGCGGAGAGAATATTGTATCTTTGACTGTGGAAGGCCCACCACCTCCAGAAGAAGGTCTACCTCGTGTGCCTATTCCTGGTGCAGCTCCAGGCCCCGGAGTAGGTCGTGCTGTTGGTCGAGGCATGCCTGCTAATGTAGCTGGTGTTCCTGCTGGTTTACAAGGCCCTGTACGGGGCGTTGGAGGTCCTTCACAACAAATCATGACACCAGGAGGTCGTGGACAAGTATCAGCCCCACCACAAATGCATCCTGGTGCACCACCAAGAATGCCAGTTGGCGGGCCACCACCCGGTATGATGGGTCCACCCGGAATGATGGGTAAGCGTTAATTTTTTTCAAAGTTATGCACACGAAATGATCGAGCAATATAATTAATATTCACTTTTTGATTAAAGGTATGCCACCTGGAATGCCACCAATGGGACGTGGCGGACCGCCAATAGGACCACCCGGAATGCGTGGACCACCTCCAGGAATGATGCGTGGCGGTCCACCTCCTCGTCCGTATTAAATATTAAATTTAATAATAATATTAACTTCCATACCTTTCCAATATATCATTTCAAAATTTAATTATCGTTTTTTTCATCAATTTCTACCAAAATACCTTGAATTAATACTTTCATGAATGCAAAAATGATAATATAAATAAATTTATTCATTAAAGTACATAACTGCAGTGGAGCTATGTGAAAGACAATTTTATATTTCCTGTACAAATGTTAAGTTTTACTATAAACTCTTCCAGAAATGACTTTTCTTGAAAAATATTAAATAAATATTAAACTAGTTTAATATTGATCAAAATATCAACTATGAAAGTCTTTATATTTTTAACTAAGTAAAACACAAAATCGCCATAAATGTAAAAAATTGCAGTTTTATCTATCTATACAAGTATAAAAGATATAATATATACATATTGATTGTATATAAATAATATTTGATCAATTTATCTTTTTTTCATAAATTAATCAACAATTTATTTTGTCATTTATTCAGAATGGTGTATCTCATTGAGCTCTTCACCCATAGAGGTTATTATTTCTTCTTCATCTGCTTGTATTATGACAGTTTCTTCTTCCGTTTCAATGTAATTATAATCCTCCATATGAATATTTGCAGAATTAAGAGACGTAGGGTACGGTTGAACAGTTGTTTCAGGTATCGTTTCTTCAATTTGAATTTCACAAACGTTTTCTTCTTCAATGTAAAAAAAAAACATTAAAATTACAATCAATATTTTGAATAAAAACAATTTAATAAATAAAATAGAATTAACTTACCGTTAGTTTCAAAGTTATATATTTCTGTTTGAACATCTAGTATTTCTTGTTGCTCTTCATCAGCATCAGATTCAGCTATCATAACTATTTCATTATATGAAGAGTCCCTTTTGATTGGATTTTCTAAAGATTGAATTTCTAAACCATCTTCTAAGCATGTATCGCTGTTAGAAAAAATAATTTATTAATTTAGTAAATTATTGTATTGCTGACAATCAAATATATCAAACTTACTTAGTTTCGTTTTCTTCGCAACTTGCATTAGTATCCGTAAAAATAATATCTAAATTTTCTGGAGAAGGACTTAAACGTTCTTCGTGATAATCTTCTATTATATGATCAGTATCCATATCGGATGGAACAGTCTTAGTATTTGAATTAACAGCTATTTCTGAGTTTGTATGAGAAATGGTTAGTGAATTAGTTTTTTCAGGTACATCCTGTTGTATGTCAAACATAACTATATTGCTTGAATTAACGTTTGATTTAACAACTTCTACGTGAGATGAATTTACATTTAACATTGGCATCAAATTAACTATTTGATCACTATTATTCGATAATGATTTATGTGGTAGTAATGTCAATGATGTAGTTTCTGTTTTATTAAGATACAAATTTTTGCTATCCATAATTACTTTTCCTAATACTTCCTAAAATAATTTTATAACATTAAAAATTATTTAAAAATAGTATTAAAAATGTAGAAATTATACAAATAAATTACTTTTCCTGCTCGAGATATCGTAACACTTTGCGAAGGTACTTTTTGTACGACAATTACATTCCCTTTATTACTGAATTTTGAATTTGTAAATGTATTAACATCTATTGTATTATTTGAATTGACTTTTATTTCCTAAAATAAAACGTTACTGTTAATATATCGATAATTATTTAAATAACTTGTATACTACCTTTGTCATGGATTGATGATTAAAATTTTCACGAGGTAATTTTTTGTATGCCATCACCGGCGAATTAATTTGTATTGGAGGCCCTGGACCACTTGAAACTACTTTGTCTATTGAATTTATAATCGTTTCTTGTTTAGTATTACTTACAATCGAATTTGTGGGTCGACATTGTGATACATTCGGTAATTTTTCTATTATTTTCATTGAATTACTTTGAGTATTTTCAGAAGATATTACATTCGGATTATCTAAAATAATATAAATCATTAAAAAACATTTACCACGTAAAAAACAGAATCAATACTCTTACAAAATATTGACGCACTTAATTGTTTTCTAGTTATTTGATTATTAAAAACTTCTGTATCATTGTTAGGAATATCTATCCGGTAATCTGGCTGTAAATAGGTATCTAATTTGACATCAATGGCAGTGATATTTGTTTGAGGTATTGTGTCGCTATTATTCTTCAAATATTTTGAGCTAGTACTATAATTTCGATATTTGTTGTTAACCGAAACTGAACATACATTATCACTTACATAGTCAGCTTCATTAATCGAATCTTTAACTGTAGTTTCTGTACAAGTAACAGAATCTTTTTCTGATATTTTCTACAAAATTATTATTCATTATTATTACTATGCAAATACAATTTACAAAAAAAAATGTATCTACATACCCTTAACCAATTGTTAGGCAGTGGGGACGGTATATTTTGATGATGATAACTTATTTCATCATTATCATCAATTTTACTAACTTTATTATTCGGATATATTTTACTATTGGCAGTAATATCTATTGAATCTGGTGGTCTTTTTCTTTTTCTACCTCGAGTACTTCTTGGAGGATTAGACAATATATTTTTAGGTGGTAAATTTTCTTCTATATTTGATTCTTTAAAAGAATCCGTTTCATTTTTAACTAAAAAAAAAATTCTATTGTTATATTTGTAAAAAGATATTAGTAATCAATAGATTGTCTATCTTACTGATTTTATTTGAATTGAGTATTGACTCAGTATGTTTTTCATTCACTGGAGCTTTCTTTTCATTAGCCGCTGCTATGACTAACGACAGACTATTGGCTAATTCCGTAAATGCCGTTCGAGCTTCGAGTCTAGGAAGTAAAGGTATGGTTCTTCTTCCTTCTATTGCCCAATCGGTCCACGTGTTTGGACCATTCAATCTAGACAGTATACATATATATAAAAGGTTAATTTTATTCATGCATAAATTACATGAGATGGATGATTAGAATTTCCCTGCACAATTGATTTTTTTTATAAGTTGTGGCAAAACTACGAAGTAGCAACTTAAAATTTAAGGAATAATATACTAACTGTTCAGCTATAAATGATAATTTCTCATCATTCACAGCTCTCCTGACTTCAGCACGATGTCTTTCATTAGAAATATGAAGAACTTTTGCTAATTCGTCTAGCAGTCTTTTTTTATCTTCTGTAAATGGTCCTTGTGCTCGTAAAACCGATACCATATTCCCATATGCATCGAGCTCTATAAATTTTGATCAATAAATATAATAAATGAATAATTATCACCATTCCTTCGAGGTAAAGAATATAATTTGAGTGTATAAATATCCCTGAAAATGCTGAATATTATAATGTATAACCTTACCTAAACATCGCAAACATTTAATGCATTCATCTCGAGACATATCCATGCTCATTGTCCACATTTCTTTTCTTTATTTGAGATATAAATATTTATAGTTATCATCATTTATTCTACGTAGTTTGAGCATCCTCTAGAACATTGCAAATGTTTAAGCTCTAGTATGTTACTTCAGATTTAACCATTAAACTTATGTAGTTTTAAAGAAAGTAGTTAATAATATCAACTCCATTTGGCTTAATTATAATAAAAATAGAAATAGTTCAAAGAAAAGAATACCTTTAATACTTTTTTCACCTAATAAATAAGTGCAACCAATGTTTTAGTATTTTTATGAAATAATATGATATCTAAATGCACTGATAAGGATAAGAATAAATTTTTTCACATTTTAGTAATTTACAATATCACGTTAAGTTAAATAATACTTTTGTAAATGTTTAGTTCCTTAGAATTTTTAAATAAATGAATACAATTGTTAGGATGTAATTCAATTATACATACAGTACGAATGTTTTTACGTGTTCACTAACACATTTACATGAACATCGTGGTTAAATATTCAACTAGCCACCTGGTGAGACATTCAATAACTATCTTTTCAGACTTTACACACCTTAACCTCTTCATATATGTATATGTATGTACAACTTACACATGCATTTTATTTTTCAAATAATACAGCTGTGTGTGTTGCTGATGGGCGATTATGGAGTTGTGTACATTTTAAAAACAGTTGTTCAATTAATTTTAAATACTTTTATATTTTTAATTTATTTGAGGCATTCTAGAGTTTCTTATTTATTGTGCCTGAAAAACAATTTCATATATCTAGATAAAATGTTTAATATTTTAGAAACAATGAAAAAAAAAAAATACGCGGGAAAATAATATTAAAGGTTATTTATGTATTTGTCTTTGTTATGACAGTATGTATGATTAATTATTAACAATGAATGAAGAAAAAAATAAACAATTGTGTTTAACTTTTTTCCAAAAGTATACAGGTAAACTAATTAAATTCTTTCGTTTTTTATTTCGTACTCATTCAATTTAATTTTTTACTTTTTTTTTATTGAATTCAGGTAAAAATAAACAAGCCGGTTTCGATGAATCCTTATCTCTTTTACGTGATGTAGCTATTAAAAAAGGATTGGAAACTTCTGATATGAAAATTATTATTAAAACAATTACTGAAAAAGAGCTTCGTAAGTTGATGAAAATTTTTTATTTTAATTTATTTACATGAGTATTTGTAATAAAAAGTTTATATAAATTTATTATAACATTTAATACCATTGTATTAATAGGTGCTGGACTATGTGTACCTCTTATACAATGTCTTATACCAAAAAATAAAGTTTCTGATACTGCTTTAGAAACAGTGATCATTTATTGGTTTTCAAAATGTGATGATTTACCTGTCACTGTATCTACTACCATTCTGCAATGGTTTTGCGGACTTTGGGAGCATCAATTAGCTGATCGACAAATGATCAATACCTACTATGATTGCTTTTTTATGAATATGCTAAAAAAAGAAAAATTGGTAATTAATTTTTCAACGATTAAAATTTTTTTAATATATACATATATTGAAAAATATTTAATTTTTCTAGCAATCTCCGATATCACGATTAATTTATTTAATGACAAAACCAGATGACGTCACGAGAAGACAAGTTTTACGACTGCTCAAACTTCAGGAACAATATTCAAAGCCTCCAAAACACATATCTGCTCTTTTATCTTTATTTAAATCTTATAAACCAGAAATCGTTCCTGAACAAATACCATCTTTAAATATTGAAAGTGTCTGGAAACCTATACCTGAAATTCTTAGGCTAGGCTTTGAAGATGCTAAATCTCGTGGTACTGGTAGTGAAGTAAAAGCTTTGGAATATTTCGATTGGAATGCAATAAAAACTAAAGATGGTCCAAAAAGTTATCCACTTTTGCCATCAATAAGATATTTCCAAATGGGATCTTCTATTGAAAGAAATAAAGATGCTAAATTTTTATTTGATCTCAACAATATCGACGATATAGGAAAAAATCATTTTAACACTGAATTACCTTCTAATGCAACATCTTTATTGGCAAATATGGCTGGGTATCACTTTCTTACATTTTCCACTTTCGAATATCAGTGTAGATTTTCTTACAATTTGTATAATACACTTCGTCGGGCATTTATAATCGAAAGTAATAGATTTTCACATAATCAGAAAGTGCAGTTGCTTGATTTGACAACTGAGTTTTGTCGTTACATGCAGCAAGGAATTCCTGTGGTTGTTCGTTTCCTTCAGGAATATTTATTGTATGAAACAGGAGCATTCAGGGATAAACTTTTACTTTTAATGGAATGGTCTACTTTAATTTCTGTAATTGACCTGCAAGATATGTCAAGTTATCTTGAAACTATTTTTCTTGAATCTTCTCTAAAAGAAAAGTGCAAGTTAATTAATTCACTAGGAAAACTTGCTATAAATATGGTCAGTTACGTTATTTCAAGATTTCTACTAACAAATACATACTATTTACATATTATTCTAATAAACATTATCAGAATAATAAAAACAAAAGATTAACTGTATTCTGTAATTTGTATTTTGATTTGCAGTATGTTAATCAACGATTTGATAGAGAAAGACCGTTGAAACCATCGCCGTTTTTAGGACAAGAACCGATAAGTGAATTAACCGACATCATACCAATGATATTAAAAATAGCTGATTATTTGATTACTAAAGGATTAAATATTCATCAGAACCACTGTTTATTTCTGAGTGAAGCATTAAAGTTCTACGAAACTATCAACAAACTTGCCAAGTATTGTATACCGCCTATGTTAATTATAGCACCACCCGCTGTAATATATGGTGGTTTTTTGTCTAAATCTGCATCAATTTTATCGCGAGTCTGTGGATTACTTTTGGACTACAAAAATATTCATAATCATCTTGAGGAATTAAATTTACGAAAGAATTATATACCTGAGATAAAGTCATTACAAATATATGCTCAAGATATAGGGGATGCTTTATGGAATGATCAGGTTTGTTGTCAAGTTGTTTTATTTTTAAAATCAATACTTACAAAATTTATGTTGCAGATTTCGATTGGCCGTAGTAAAAGTTATTTATTTTCATCTTTAACGAGTCGGATGATTGAAAATATGCCAGAGAAAAAAAATCTTTTGTTGAATATCAACAATCACATTGCTATTTTATCTTACAAATGTATATTAAATGATACGGGTGTGGATATTAGTACAAAAGATGCAGCATTGTATCTTTCAAATATGTATTTTCCATTGGTTACTGAATTTATTTCGTCATTCCAAGAATTTCAAAGTGAAAATCAATTTCATGCATTGAAAAGCTAATAAAATTATGTCAATAAATTTTTTACTTCAAATATAATTATATTTTTAACATGAAAAGTCTTTTAACTACAAAATCGTCAGAGTTCAACTTTTATTTCCTCCAATTTACATGCATATTTTTTCATGTACATTTCACAGCAGTCTTGTATACACGTGTATTAGCAAGATATTACTATAACTGGCCGATAATTATTACTTCAATACTCACATAACAAGCAAATCATGTATTAATGATTCATGTAAATGATTTTTATTTAAATATCGACCAGACAGTACATCTAAGTTTATTTGTGTACGTTTATCTAAATATCTAAATGTTTTTCTATTTTACTTAAAATTACATAGATGCACCACCAACGTTTAATGATGTAGTGAAATTGCTTATGTTGAGTTATTTTTTTTTTCTTACAACCACATTACAATAATTGAAACTATTGTACTTGTGATAACGTAATAATGTACGTACTTGATATTGTATTATAAGATCGTACGAATATCGTAACTATCTACTTTGATTTATCACCATGCATTATTTTAATTTATGTAAATTAAAATGCATCTACGGTGTAAATATTAGTTTTCGAAAGTACAGATGTCTATCAATAAATGACGATGATAATTGTGCAAAATAAATCAAACTATAGTTATTCGTTATATTGTACGAATAAAGTTTATAAAAATGAAAATGATTTATAAATTTATTGCAGTATAAACTCACACACAGTCTTAGCGTATTTGTGAGTATTTAGTAATTACGAATTTTATTCAGTTTTTTCGTATTTTTTAAACACGATTATAATAGGTTCTTGTTACTTTGTTTTTGAAAAACTGTTCATTATTTTTGTTAATGTACCTAATTACAAGCGACAGTTTAAATGAGCTGCAACAATGTAATTTGAATCAATATGTCACATTTACATACTCTATTTAAAAAAAAAAAACTTATAGAAATCATAGATTCTTATGAAATAATTGACAATAAATATAATTAAATTTCATGGATTTCTCAGTTATTTTATATAAATTTATTAATTTCTATGAGCCTATTTTATAACTAGAGTATTAGAAAGAGTAAAAAGAAAATAATGAACAATTTGTTTCTTTCTGCTTAAAGTGCACATGCAGCTCATTAATTAAGAGATAAAAGAGAAAGAGAAAGTAATTTAGTTAGATGTTTAATTATGACATCGTACTTTCATTGATCATATAATTTGAAAGCCTGGTCCGCAGCTAATTCAATAATAATAAAAGTGTGGTGTTTTAAGACAAACTGTGAATTTTTTAGTGTACAATTAATTCATAACTAATCGCATTAGTGGATATACATATCATGAATGTCGGCATACATTATTTACGTTTATTTTTATTAATAATGCCAGTCATTTGTCAGTAACAAAACAAATTATTTGTAGAAGAATAATAAAAATAACTTATTTATTAATAGTTAGTAAAAGAACAAATAGTTGATGAATAAATAAAAGAATTGAGACTCAAAATACTTAACTCCAAATAGTGACATTAAATAACGTAATAATAATATAATAATAATAATAATAATGATAATAATGATAATATTAATAATATGAAGCACATATTTGTCGTATGGACATATGTCATATATATTCTCAATCCTTGTTGAAGTTGTTTTCCTTGTGATGATGGTTGTGCAATAGATTGTGTGTTCTATATCTTTGAAACTATTTCAATTCCCAACTTATCATGTGAGATCGATGAATATAAATTTATTCATTTTGTCATTTGTTTAGATCAATATTTACTTTTATGTTTAATTTTAACAAAAGATGATAATTTATCTAATTACGTTTAAAACTAAATTTTAAATGAATGCTTAATCTACATATTGTTACAAATGCTAGAGTAGAAACAAACCACTCTTTAACAATTAGACTAAATATTATCGCCAAAGTAAAGCAACTAAAATAGCAAACTTAGTATATAATTAAACAAAGATTTATTATTAATTGTTTTTCATGGTTTTTAGATTAACTTGAGCAACAGTATTGTTTCTACAATTTACCATTCAAGTGTTTTGATTAATGGATGATTGAAAAAAAACAATTAAATTAAAAACTGTGTTTAGTAACTTATTAAAAATCTGTAAACCTTTTTATAGTAATATACAAGTTTGCTTTTCAAATGGCTTTACTGAAAATTTTCAATATCCATCTTTGGCACAGTGTAGTAAGTGAAAGCAAAAAGAATAAATGAACAGAATAGAAAACTGATAGACACACGTTTTGTGATTAAAAGCGGCACAATTAAGCGCTATGTGTATACTGCAAAATATTTTGTATAGATAATTAATGATTAAAATATGTTTGTTTGGGCTTTGTAGGCAATGTTACGTTATTTTGTTCATAAAAACAATTTTTGATTATTAGTTATATGCTTTCTCTTTCTCTATGAACTTTTTTTCTGCACCAAACACTCGCACTGTCACGACTCATACGTGCGACATATTCAACGGAAAAATTTTAAAAACATTATTGCAGCATTTAATTATGCCTCACTTTACTGATTTTAAGAACACATTACTTATGTCATTCTATAGACACTGTCCAGCAGTATATATGCTGCTGTATAAAAAAAAGAGAGTAATAATCAATAAAAATTACTTTAAACATAAGTTCGTAGATAATTTGACATGATTAGCAGTGTTTTCCTTCACTAGCATCGCTGTCACACATTTCTTCGTGCTCTTCTTCATCTGTTATCATCTCTTCTGCTTCCATATCTACTTCATCCTCATTTTTTCTAAATCGTTTTATACTTTTACGTTTCTTGGCACTTAATGCCATTTCATCTTCTGGTGAACGTTTTTTACGAAATTCATAGACTAGTGGAAATATTTGTTCGATAGCTTCTCCTACTGCGGCTACACTAGGTGCTGGAAGTGACATTTTTAGGGTTAAAAATATTTGTGAAAATTTTTACAGACATTTTGTAAAAATTATTTAAGATTAATTTGAATAAAATATGTAACTAATACCTGTAATAGTAACACTGCCTGTCGAGAAGATTTTTAATGTGGCTCGTGGTTCTTTAAGCTTATAAGTTACGCCAGGATGTAATTCTGGCTCATAGCTATTGAAAATAATATTAATTTGAATTTGACCATAACCTTTAATTCTTGAAAATTACGATAAAATTAAAAATGATTTGTGAACTTACTCTGCATTCTCTTTATGGTGCATAGAAAAAGATGTGATTCTGATTGCCCAAGGCATTAAACAAGTGCCAAGGACATTAACAACTCGGAAATTATTGAACCGAACTTTAAATCCGAGTTTTTGGAGCGATCGTGCAATTCTGCGTGCTGCTATTTTAGCTTCCTCTTCAGTCTCAGCTCCAGTACATGTTACTTTTCCTGAAGACCATATAGAGGCAGTAGTGAGTGGCCTCCTAAGCTTCATGGTAATCATCTAGACATAAAGATTAATGGTATATAATTTCATGATATTTTCAGAAGAATTTATTAAAAACAGGTATTTCAATCTTACCCCATTTTCTTTTCGGTACTCAACATTGGAGCCATTAAGTGCAATTTCTCGTAAATTTAGATGGCATCTTACACTAAAACTACACACGACATTTCTTATGAGAATGTCAATTTCTGGTTGAGCTTCCACATCCTCAACAGGTTCAGAAGCAGGAGGTTTATAAATTTTGTCTTCATTTGCATTACACTTTCCAGTATCGTCTAATTTTTCAACACTTTCAACATGATTTATATTTCCATTTGTGAGACGTTTTATGCCATTCTTTTGAATAGCAGTTGCCATAATATTATGTGTTTGAAACTAAATAAATAAAAATTATGTGTGTTTATTGAAACTGAACAAAAATAATTTTATTCAAAATTATATATCAAATGAAATGATATACCTTACTTTCCAGCATGGGAAATTATTGTAAACAATTTGATCACGTTACAATATATCTAAAATATAGTTTACTGTTCCTGTGATTTGTCACTGCAAACATTTATCACACATTTTACATCACAACTAAAAATAAATTTAATCATTCAAATCTAGTTTGTGTCAAGAAATTATGATTCGAAACTACTATTTAGTAGATAAAATTTACATTTCTATTTATAATCAATCAAAAATCGATTAGTTTAACACGCGACAGTTTGAACTATAATTCATCAAATATCTTACACGACCAAGGAACTATCCAATTAATGTTAATTAAAATTAATTTTAAGTAATTGTAAAAATGTAAAATTTTAAAATAATCGATATCGTTTCATAATATAATGACCAAAAAAGGTTTGAATTTCAATAAATTGATATAAAATCTACGTGAAATGATTAATAAAAGATTTTTAAATATAAATCGCCGCTTACATGTCCTAGTACAGCAGAAAACAATTGAGAAATACTAAAAATTAGCCTAAATAACTTCATAGTAATATTTTTCATCAAAATTTCAATAACGTACCGTTGATTCCTTACATTATCTAAATTCTATTTGATTTAGTAATAATTTCTTTGTTGACAAGTACTGGAGTAAACGCAAACTTGACTCAATAACTATTACCATTGTTTGCGGCCATATTCACTAGACTATATATTAACTACCGTATATAATATGTATATAGGGATATAAACCTGTGGTAGTATGTACAACAATGTACGAATTGAATACATGTATAGATATATTCACTTATTACAGCTGTTCACAACCGATTGCAGTTGGTGGAAATGAAAGCAAACTTGACTAATGTATAATTCAAAAAAGAATACTAACTGTAAATACTTCACATAATTGATGACACGTGCGATTTACCACGTGTTTTGCAGTATCTTATCTAAAATTAATTTAAAATGAATCATCAATTCTTTCATGAAAATGCTCTTGTGTACGAATTTTCTGGAAATGGCACTAAATATTGTTTAGCATGTATTGTTGTTCATAAACTCAAGTACAGCATCGACACGTGTATAAAAAATGCAATTAATGAGATGTATATTTGATGTTTATTTACATTTTACATGAGATATAATTTTTAAAGAAGTTCTTACGCAAAAAATTGCATTCAATTTTGTATCTTTTAATTAACTTGAATATAAATGGACTTTTTTTGTCTCAATTTAACTGACATGCGCATTACCTGTAATAAAAAAAGATGATTTACAACCGAATGAAGAGAGATTTTACTTTATTTAAACACACGAATACATAGAATATTTTATTTTTGTTCTATTTATTGTGCAGTTGTATCATTGATATTGGGCTCTGAAATACTTGAGCTATTAGTCAAGAATCTAAAAATGAGTAATTTATCAAAACATATATGTATTTTGAAATAAATATCAGCTGATGACAAAAAAAAAACTACTTAAAGGCTGATTTTTAAATATCTGTGTCGCAGAAAACGACAGGAAGTGCCATCTAACGTTCATTATCCAATTAAGTTGATCAAACACCAATGATTGGACAAGTGTGCCAAATTTGTGGGAAAACGAGAAAAAAATTGTCGTACTTGGAGTATTTAATTTTAAACAGTTCTCGTAAACAATCATAATTTTTCTGAAGTTATTTTAATTCGTATAATAAATACAATTTTATAAAAAAGCTCATTAGAGTACTCTTAAATTAACTAATTGTCATAAATTGTCTCACTAATTATCTTCTACATATAGTTTATATGTTATACATATAAATATGTTGAACAATTTAAATTTCCTAAATGTAAGTTAGATTGTTGATGAATATTGAAATCCAGTTGCTTTTATTCAATGAATAATAAATAATTTAGTAGAACAAATAGAGCAATAGATATCAATTTAAAATAGATACTTCTTTTATAACATCTAACTGAAAACAGCATCAGAGAAATATCCTCCAACTCATCAAGCAAATTTATCAATCACCATTTTTGGTTGTAAAATTTATTGGAGGTTACTATGAGACATTTTTTTGATTTTTGCTATTAGATTAAATAGCAAAATAAATTAGTTTTTTAATTCAACGTTAAATTAATCAAGTTGTCAACTTTAACGTATTTCTAATTGGAAAAATATTAATTATTTAATATATAATCTTGGTTTAAGAGATTTTTTTACTTATCAAGAACTTGAATTCAGAAGAACTGTATCATATGATTCCGTAATACATATTAGTACAACCTGGTAACGGTATAAATTTTTTAAGTATGAAAGAACTTCATGGGGAAGGAGAAAATACTTGTTCCTGAATCCCCCACTAATCCTTACAAATCTCTCTTTCTCTTTCCAGAACTCTGTCTTGCTACCTTGATTGGAGGTGTGCTCGCCACTTGCTAGTATACGATCGTCACTCCTTATAACGCATCATTTTTTTCTTTTCATGTTCTCATCGTTGTTATTTCAATAGTTATTTACTATAATTTTATTCGCCGAGTTCATGGTTTTTATAAATACACTCAGTCTAATTGCTCTAATGGATCTGTATTAAGTTTTTATGTTTGTGTTTATGTTTACGCAGAGTTAAGTCAAAATAAGAAGTCAACAAAAATAGTTGTTAGAATATAGGATTTTGATTGAAGGTGAGTCAGCGATCAAAATAGAAATTGATCGATATTTTATTCACTTATAATATAAATATATTTTATTAATTGCTTGAATATTGATATATCATAGTTTTTATGCAGCACCGAAATTGGTGATGATCTTAGTGAAGTAATTGTGACGTATTTTAGAATAATTTCGTGGGCGTCATCAGAGAAATATTAAAATGAATAATTTCAGTTCAAATGATCCACCTACATTATAACCTTGAACTGAAAAATAAGTTTGTATAGATGCTGTGTATATTTTGATGTAATTTTAATTATTTTCCAATGATGTAGTCAACCAATTATTCTAGCCGGGATTTCCTGTAGATTTATTTAGAGAATTATATCATCATGAACCGGTTTCTGTTGATTCATTTACGAGGATAATTATTCGTCGATGACTCTTTAACCTTGTATAAAAAATTTAAATAGATATTGGGAAAGTTGGTGTCCGTATAAGTATTGAGGCAGGATATGAACCACAACAACTTGAACAATACAGAACTACTGACCCCAATTACACTGTTTATGTTCTTATAACAAGTACATTGATCTTCTGGATCATTCATAACGATGAGTTTCAGAAAGTTAATTATATTAATTTTGATCTCATAAGAAAAATCATGTTGTACATGTAGCTGATGATTTTTTGGCCCACTTCGGGCTTTCACAAGTTGACAGAACGAGGTTTCATAGATATCGCATCACAGCACACGACACTTCCTCAATTTGCCGGGAAAATCACGATGCTGCAATTAAATAGTTGTGTCTTTGTCATCTTTATTATATAATTTTCTTTATTTCTTTTTTTTTATTTCAGTAATCGGCTATTAAATCGCACCAACTATCGTTGTAGCAAATCGGGATTTCCCACTATCCGGGTGTTTACATTAAACATAAACACGAGATGAATAAAAAATACTTCTAACATTATAAAGCCGGTTCAACGTGGATATTTTTCAATATTTTTTTAATATTTATATGTTGAAGAGTGTCTGGTGAATTCTTTCAAACTCTCTGAATAGAAGTGTGAAATTACTTCAGGGTTAAATTGATGCAAACAAGTATCAGAGTGACAGGTATAAAAAGTTCATAATTACGTGTCAAATATCTAACTATTAAAATATATGAATATTTATATTTCAAATTTTTAACAAACAAAGAAATTTTTTTTTACACGAAATATTTTGCAATATTCTAAATGCTATGAAGTGACAACACTAAGTTTAGAAATAATTTTCTTTTACTTTCCAATATTTCATCAAAAAGTCAGTAAAAAGCAAACGGAATACAAAAAAAACGGGAGTTCTAATATTGAGATTTATTCATAACAATTGACTCTGAATTTGAGAAAATTGCTTTACATGTAAATGTATTTTGTACATAATGTAAATTTAAGATGTGTTTATATGTGAAGTAATATAAAATATTTTTATTAAATTCAATTGTTAATAAAAGCCAGGTATTAAGAGTAGAGCAAAAAAAAAATTACTTGATAATATTATATATGTAAAGTGTATGATTTATTTGTTGAATTCTTTTTTTCAGGATCGTAAAATGAGAAGATTAAGTTTTTTTCTACTGCTGTTGTACAGCATATTTGTGGCAGTAACAGCAGAACCGTATGTATAATAATGTTGTTAAAATAACAGTGTAGTAACGATCTTTGTTATATTCATCTTGAGCGTAAATAATCGTCTAACTTTATGATACAATACTTGTAGATACTACACGGTCGTTGCTCCAAAAGTGGTACGTCCCAATTCAGAATATCATGTGGCAGTCAGTACGACTGGTATATCGACACCAACGAGAATTATTGTGGAATTAGATGGTGAGCTGGATAATGGCGAAACATTTCAAGTATCTCATGAAGATGATGTTGAACCATATGCCACTCGAATATTTAAATTAGAGGTAATAAATCATTTTAAACATCATTCACAAATATTAGAAAGTCTTTTATATCATTCCTCATCAATGGATTATTTTTTATCTAAAGGTTGGTGATACCAGTCCTGGTCGTTACAAGTTGACAGCCAGAGGTATTTCTGGTTTGCTGTTCAGTAATTCTACAAACATTCAATATGTCCACAAAAGTTATTCAGTGTTCATACAAACGGATCGAGCAATTTACAAACCTGGGAGCAAAGTTTTGTTCCGATGTGTGGTTCTTGACTCAAGATTAAGACCGGTTCTTACTAGACAACTTGATGTTTACATTACGGTAAATAATTAAAGTCCATTTTCTTTTTCATATTCAATTACATAAGTTTGTATAATTTTTTAATTTATGGATGAAAATGATATATTGTTACATGGGATGTAATAATATTATTTTCTAAGTTTATGAATTTTATATACAAGCAATATTTTTCAACCAGTCTGGAATATTCGATATAGTCAAGTTATTATTTGCTAGAAAAATATCTATTAAATGTTTATCTTATATTTTTAAAGGATGTTTTTGTAGTAAAAATAGCAATATTTAACGGCAGAGGTAATAATATAAAGAACAAATATGTTATTATTATGTGACATTCTAACTTTAACAATGTCAATATTTTAAATCCCATTATTTTTATTGCATAAGAAACTTTCGGGATAACAATGAAGTAGTTTCAATGTTGAACTGGTGGAACTTTTCGTAGTAGATGAATTGTTATAATCAAACTCGGATTTTGTAATGTTTTTTTTCTCTTAGTGTAGCAGAGATAAATTCATAAAAATATTATTTTTATTCTATCATGTTGCATTCTTTCACGCTAACGTGTGGAGAACAAATTCAAGGAATTTTCAGAATATTTATTCTCCATTATCTTTCCGGATGTAATAAAATAAAACTATTTATAGATATTCATTTAATAAATTTAAGCTAATAAATATCGGAAAAATTTACTTAAAAAATTATTTAAAAAAACATTATTTTCAGTTGATGATCAATATAATTATTTTTTGAGATGTAGAATATAATATTAGGTCATAAAAAGTAATTAATATTTATTATTTTTCAAGTCATTAAATTAATATTTAAGTATTTTTTCTTAAAACAATGAAAAAATCTCAATAGTCAACTTAAAAAATAAGAATTATTCATTGTTATTTAATTATAATTATAAATCAATTGTGTTCGATTGTTATTTTATTAATATTTCTAATAATCAACATCTGATTATCATTAATATTCAATTTATTTAGGATGGAAATGGAAATCGAGTCAAACAATGGAATCGTCCACCAATCAGTCGAGGAGTTTTCAGTGGAGAACTGGAATTATCAGCATCTCCAGTCCTGGGAAATTGGAAAATTGTTGCTAATGTTGTTGATCAAACATTCGAAAAAGAATTCGAAGTAGCTGAATATGTTTTGCCGAAATTCCAAGTGTCTATCAATGCGCCAAAACATGCCACATTCAAAGAAGGCAAAATAGCAGCAACAATCAGTGCAAAATATACCTACGGAAAACCAGTGAAAGGTGAAGCCACTATTACAGCATATCCTGATATTTTTTCGGGCGTACTTCAACCTATCTACCAAGCACCGATTAGGAAAGTCATTCCCATTGATGGAAAAGTCACTATTGATTTCGATATCGCTAGTGAATTACAATTAACAGATGAATACGAAAGACCTATTGAATTGGAAGTGACTGTTGAGGAAGCATTGACTGGTCGTAGACAAAATACTTCAATGCAAATGACATTACATAAACACAAGTATACAATGGAACTTATTAAGACTTCAGAGTACTATAAACCTGGTTTAAAATACACCGCATTTGTAAGAAAATTCGATTTTACATTGCAAACATTTTACATTATACTGAGATAATATTGAGAAAATTTTTATAGATTAAATTAACGTATCATGACGGGTCACCAGTCCGTGACAACACAAATCCAGTTATTATTTCATACGGATATACATACAATCAATCAGCTTACACCAACATCACTAGAATGCTAGATAATAACGGTATGATACAATTGGATTTCTACCCACCTAAAAATACAAACAGTAGTACATCACCTTTAAATATCGAGGTATAAAAATAATTGACTAATTAGCAATGTAAATTTTTGTATATCATTAGAGTTAAAAAATTAATTAGATTTATTTGATAACAGGCAGAATATTTGAATTTGCATGAATGGTTCCCATCAACAAATCAAGCAATGTCACCTAGTAATACTTTTATTCAAGCATCAGTTAAAACTGACAAACCCAAAGTAAATCATGAAGTTGAGATTCTTGTCAATTCAACGGAACCGTTGAAATATCTAAGTTATGAAATATTAGGCCGTGGTGATATTCTGAATGCTGGTTCAATTCCAATCTCCAACGAACACGTTGCTTCATTTAGGTATTTTCTGATACACGTAGTCTTTTATAATTTTTGGAGTAGATTTAAATAATATATTTTTGTTTTTTTAGATTTTTGGCAACTTATGTGATGGCTCCCACTGCTCATGTTTTAGTTTATTATACAAAAGATGATGGTGAAATTGTAGCCGATTCTCTTGACATAGATTTAGAAGGTACTTTGCAAAATTTTGTAGATGTAAAAGTGTCATCTGAAGAAGCTAAGCCAGGTGAATTTGTCGATGTTACTATTCTTACTAAACCAAATTCTTATATTGGAGTTCTTGGAGTTGATCAAAGATCTTTATTATTGAAATCTGGCAACGATATTTCACTTGTAAGAATATTTTTTTAAATTATATTCATTCTCTCATATAGATTACTTTATTCTTTATATTATTCATGAATTAGGACCAAGTTTATAAAGAATTAAAATCATATGATATGGTAGAAGAGTCTCCATACTCTGATATGATGTTTGCACGCTCTTTCTGGCGACCAGGATCAGCTACTGCTCAGGATGTTTTCCAGGCAAGTTCATACTTTTAATCATTTATAGATTGCATATATAAGTACGATACTTTTGAATTCTTGTATTACAAGAATGTTTAAATCTATTTTATGAAATGAATGGTTTTTTTTACAGAAAACTGGTACTGTTGTACTCACTAATGCTTATATTCATGAAAACTTCCCGATACGTAAGTATTTTGTAACCATAAATATCACTAATTAATTTTTGAATTGCATCTTGCATTAAAAATCACTAACACAATCTTTCGAAACATCAACAACATTTGCAGTATTAAAAACTTATTTGAAAAAAGAAATCGAAGAGTCGAATTCAAAACCTGAAACAAATTGATTAAATAATGATTTAACAATAGTTATACTATGTATGTGTAGTATACTACAGATCTAGTTTTATGGAAGACACAATGTTGCCCCTGGCCCCAAGTGCAAGCAGTTTCGGTTCCGCCGGCGGTTCTCCATTAGAGAAGCCCAAAGTACGCAAGAACTTTCCTGAAACGTGGCTTTGGCAAACGCTTGATGCTGGGTAATGCCAACAAATTTATTAATCTATTAATTTCTTTACTATCTATATTACTGTATTTACTATAAAAATTATTCTCCACCAGTGTCGCTTTTGGGATATCTTCTTTACTGACTTCTTGTCCATTCACTCTCTCCTTAATAATTCGCTTTAAATGAACACGAGTTTTAAAGAAGCTTATTAACTTCATTCATTATCACAAAGTGACTAATAAAAAATAACTAGGTATCAAGTAAACTAATTATAAGTTAATGAATACATTAATAATCAGTGTGAGTATAATAAGAGTACATAATTCTACCATCTTTCATACGTGTGCAAGCAACTTTCGAAGATTGGATTACAGGACAATCCGGCTATTTGGAAGGTAGAGTACGAGGCTCGGCTCATGGGGCATCTACCTTGAAGCCAGACATTGGTCCCCCAGTTATACATAGACTTGTGACGAGACCTCCACTGGCAGGTCCTTACGCCTTCTCACGCATCCCAACTCCTGTATGGAATAAGCCCCGTGTTTTCCTTATGCATGACATCTCCGACACTTGGCTTTTCACAAACTTCTCTTCAGGGTATTTATTTATACACTTGTTCAAGTTCTGTCATTTTTTTTATTATTTTTTTTTAATTAATTTGTTGTTTTATATCACTTTGAACACGGTGTGTAAATACCATTCACTAATTTTTCCTTTTTATTCACTTGGTTTTATGTTGTGATAATAATTTTTGTGTTGAGCATTTTGATATGATTAATAGCTTTGTTTCAATTTAAATTAATATAGGTTGAATGGAGAAGCAAAAATACATCGAGCTGTACCAGATTCTATTACATCTTGGATATTAAGTGCATTCTCGATCGATCCTACTTATGGATTGGGTCTTATTAATGAACCGAGAAAGGTTTGGTCTAATTAATTTTTAAAACACATATTCTGCAATATGCTCATTAAAAATATTGAAGAATTTCACTATTTATAATTGGACTTTTGTTGTTGAATTTTATCAAATTCATGCTTTCAACTTTAATTTGAGTGATTATTAGCTTTGGATGAATGTTAAGAACTTGTTTTAGTTCAAAACATCTATCTATAAAATGCTCATTTATTTTTTATTTTCCTCTAATGTATTTCATCCTTTAATTTTTTTATTGAGTGTAGATAATACTATATTAAAAAAGAAAACTAGAATTTAATCTCATATGTATATTATTACAGTTGAAAGTTTTCAAACCATTCTTTATATCTGTTGATCTCCCATACTCTGTGATGCGAGGAGAGATTGTCGCGATACCTATTGTGGTATTCAATTACATGGATAAGGACGTTACAGCTGATGTTGTACTTGAACACGCTGGACAGTTTGAATTTGCTGAAGTATCAAATGAAGTTCATGACACCCCGAGTACGTTTATAATGATTTTAATACTAACTTTCAATTTTATTGACATTTTATATACTTACAAGAATTTTATTTACTCCAGAATTAGAACTTTTCCGTCAAAAGAAAGTCGATGTTAAAGCTAATTCTGGCAGCAGTGTATCATTCATGATTATACCAAGAGAACTGGGATATATTTCTATTAAGATACAAGCTACGAGTAAAGTTGCTGGAGACAGTGTTGAACATAAATTACTTGTAAAAGTAAGTTTTTTCTTGGAGATAATTTTTTTGTTATTTATTAAATTAAGTAAAAATAATTTAAATTATAGGCTGAAGGAGAAACGCAGTATAGAAATCGAGCTTTATTCATAGATTTGCGTGATAAAAGAAACTTAAAAACAAATATAACAGTCGATATACCGAAGAATGTTGTACCTGGTTCAGAATACATTGAAATTTCTGCAGTAGGAGATATTTTAGGGCCCAGCATACCTAACTTGGAGAACTTGATAAAATTACCATTTGGATGTGGTGAGCAAAATATGCTCAATCTTGTTCCAAACATAGTGATTTTAAACTATCTAAAGGTAAATATAAGAATACCTTTATTTTATTAAGGACTTTTCATTTCGAAATATTAATTTCTTTCTTTTGTTTTTTAGAATACTAATCAATTAACACCAGCGATACAAAGTAAAGCATTACGATACTTGGAAATCGGTTATCAACAAGAATTAACGTATCGTCATAACGATGGATCATTCAGCGCATTCGGAATGTCTGATGCAAGTGGAAGTACTTGGCTCACAGCCTTTGTAGCGAGATCATTCAAACAAGCAACTGATTATATCACTATTGAAGATCGAATAATAGATGATGCTTTATTGTGGCTATCGAATGTTCAAGCTCCAAATGGAAGCTTTCCAGAAGTAGGACATATTAGTCATCGAGATATGCAGGGTGGTGCTTCTAAAGGACTTGCTCTGACAGCTTTTACTTTGATTGCTTTCCTTGAAAATTCTGTAAGATTATTGATGTTATAATAACAAAAAAAAAACATTTAAATATGTAATGAAATACTAATTTTAATTCTCTTTCAGGATGCTATCGTCAAATATAAAAATACAATTAATAAAGGAGTGGATTATATCGTTAAAAACATGGAAGATCTAGATGATCTTTATGCTCTAAGTGTATGTACGTATGTACTAAATTTGGCTCGACATCCATATGAAGATTCTGCATTTAACCGTTTAGAATCTAAAGCTATGGTTAAGGAAGATATGAAATGGTGGAGTAAACCAGTACCAAAAGATGATAAAAATCCTTGGTTTAATAGTTTACCAAGATCTGTAAATGTTGAAATGACTTCTTACACGCTATTAACTTATCTCAGGAGAAATTTAGTATCTGATTCAATGGCTTTGATGAAGTGGCTCGTGAAGCAGAGAAATCCTGAAGGTGGATTCTCGTCTACTCAGGTATGCCAAAGACTTTTGACTTGAATACTAACATCATGAGGCATAAAAATTACTGAATCGAACATTCTTATTTCAGGACACCGTAGTTGGATTGTTCGCGCTTTCTAAACTTGCGGAAAAATTATCTACAAAAAGTAATAATTTAGCTATTAAAATCAATTACGAAGGCGGTGGTCAAAGCCAAATAAACATTAATTCAGAAAATGGCATGATTCTTCAAAAATATACTTTACCACGTAAAACAAGAATTGTGAATGTCACAGCCACTGGTACAGGTTTCGCTATTGTACAATTATCTTCACGTTATAATTTAAATGTTACTGGAGCCTGGCCTCTGTTCACTCTTGATCCTCAAGTAGACAGGAACTCTAATGAAAATCATTTACAACTTTCTGTATGTTCCGGTTTTGTGCCAACAAAAGAAGCTAATGAGAGTAATATGGCTGTTATGGAAGTAAGTTTGCCTTCAGGATTTACGGTGGATATGGATACACTTCCAAGCTTAGAAGTTTCACAAAATGTAAAGCGTGTTGAAACTAAAAATGGTAATACCATGGTGGTATTATATTTTGATAAGGTGAATATTTCAATAATATTTACACAAATTTATACTTTAGCTTCAAGATATAAATTTATATAATAATTTCAGTGTATATATGAAAATATTAATCAATCACTTATTTTCCTCTAGATGGTGAAGAAAGAATATTGTCCTACAATCTCAGCTTACAGAACTCATAAAGTAGCAGAACAAAAACCAGTGCCTGTATCTATTTATGACTATTATGATTCGTGTAAGTATCTTTAATGTGCTTAAATTTGATTGCATTAACCACAATATAAATTTTTTTATTTTTTATTTTTAGCGAGAAGAGCTAGGGTATTTTATGAACCACGAGTCACAAACCTTTGTGATATTTGTGAAGATGAAGATTGCGAAAATCTTTGCGTTGGATCGCCAGGGAAACAGAAATATAATATTGCAGCTTCTGCTCCACAATCATTTTGTACAAACGTATATTTTTTATTGCTTTCCAATATTTTATGTTTTACAAGTATTTTTAGTTATTTCTATTAATATTTAATTACATTTTTCTTTTATTGTTAGATTTTAAAAATACATATGTTGAAAAAAATAAATAAATATAAACAACGATAATCAAAGTGATATGTATATGTTTACACAGAAAAATTTAATTAAATTATCATAAAATAATTTTAAAAAACGTTTTCTAAAGAGATTGATATTATAATTTTTTTAAATTTACATTAATAAATATTGTGATTTAAAAAATTGTGTAATTGAAATTATTTAATCAACAATTATTCTACAATTTAAAAATAAGCGCGCACAAAACTTAAGTACCAGGTAGCGCCACTTGTATGTTATGCGTGCGCAGGTTATAAAAGAAATGTGAGCGTTTCGTTTCTCAAGCAATTATTAGTTTACTGATTTACGGAAGGAGTGTTAAACCGAAAAATTTTGTGATTAGCGTCTTAAAATAATTTGTCAAAGAATAATTATTTGAATAGGCGAGAATTAGACAATAAACATATTATTAAAGTTAATATACTTCTACAAGTAAGTATAAATGTAGTTTTCATATATATATATTATACTACATACGTAATCGCATTAATATTTCTCAACTATAACTTTCAATTCACAACACACCACGGTATATTTGAGTATCGATACGATAGATATTCACCGCTCAGTTATTTATGTTTTTAACCTAATTGTTCGTCATCAAGAGGTATTAATATTTCATTTAGAAATCTTTCAAAATTTTATTTATAACAATACTTGTTATATGTGCATACATCAAATTGGTACTTTATGTTTAGTTTTTGGGTGTATATATCCATTCAAACAATTGAATGTTCAATACAAATATCCAGATAAAGATCATAAATTTTAACAATACGTTAATTGATGTTTACAGAAATGAGGCGTAAGAGTGAAAGAAATAAAGCAAAAGCATCGCCAGAGAAGAAAGTAGAAAAACCAACTCGAAAATCAACGCGTCGTCGAGCTAAAAAATCGCCTTCAACATCACCAGAACGTGAAAATAGTAATGATGCTGATACAGTGCAAGGGAATGAAAAAGAATCATTATTATACAAAATACAAACTCGATTACATAGTAAAGAATCAGAAAATGTAGTTGATGAACCAGAAACTAAAGTGTCATCAACCGAAACAATAACTAAACAACAAGAGGTTGATGATGATAGTGGTTCAGTGTGGAAAGCAGCAAGAGCAGATGCGTCGCCGGGTGAAATACCGAAACTTAAGTTATGTAGGCAGCGAAATTTATCAGAAACATCGGATGTATCACTTAGCAGGAAGAGAACGAACAAATGGCAGGAGGGTGGCGAAGGTATCGCAGAGGAAGCTGACTCGGCTGATGAGAAACCAGCGACGTCTTTGTCGACGGACGTAGGTGATGAACCGGCTGATAATCCTTCCTCAACGATTCCAGGTCGGGACTCCGGCGAAGAGGTAAGTGATAGCAAGGAGTTCCCGCCCGAAAATGCTTCAGCCGACTTGTCTGACGATAAACCAAACATAGATCAACAAGATGACACGAATGAGACATCCAATTGTACCACTTCGATTGTTGATAACCAACCGAATACACCGGAACCACTTGAATCTACTGAAACGAAGACAATCGTCGATGCTGATGATGCTAAAGGACAACAGACGGAGAACGAGTCAAACGACAGACCGACAGAAGAAAATGTTAAATCGCCGGTGGAAAATATTCAAGAAGAACAAAAAGAACCGGAAGTCACGAAGAAAGATGCTACTAGCAGTGAAGATGAACAAGATAATAATAAAAGTGTACCACAATCAGGCTCGTCAGAAAATTCTAACGATGAATCTAACGAAAAAAAGAAAGAAAAAGAAACAGTAAGAGTTCCAGTCAGAACAACTCGTAGAAAACACAGGGATAAATATCAAGATTCCTCCAATTCTGATTCAGCTGATTCAGACGATGAGCCAACGATAACTAAAGAAAAACCAATGGATATTGAAACACCAACTGAACAAAAGTCACCAATAGAACAGGAAATCCCTGAAACGGCTGATAGATCTTCTGAAACAGAACTAGTTTTGTCACATCAGACTGATATCACAGAAACGGATAATGATGAAGCTCAAAATAAGTCGCAAAAATCGATTCTAACAGAGAAGATTGATCAAACAGCTGCGGATCAGATTCAGCCATCAAAGCCTACAAAAATTAGTTTAAAAAGATCATTGTAAGTTTTATCTTTGTTAACAAAAATAATTTATTTAGCTGATAAGTTTACATCACTTATTAAAATATTATTTATATTTTTAGTACATCACGGATTTCTGCGGATACTGTAGAGAAACGGACAAATGCTAATGAAAATGATACTAATCAAGAAAAAGTATATAAATATTTATTTAATGTTTTTATTAAATGAAGAAATCGATAATAATTGATTGATGTAACTTTCTTTTGACTTATATAGGAAAATCATGTTAGCAGTGATCAAGTTGATCCTACAACCATTCCAAAGAAACGACGCTGGGGAACAGTAACTAGTACAGATACCACTCCAGCTTATTCAATTTCTACTGATTCTCTTAAGGTATATTTTTCTATCATTAATAATAGATTATTTAATGAAATAAAATATAAAAAAATGTTCTTCTTTTTAATTGAAGGTTTTAGTACCAGGAGCAAAACCATTGTCTATTAGTGAAGTGCGTTTATCGAAAGATGACGAGGATGATCGTGAACGTCGTAAAGACCGAGATAAACGTTACAGTGCTGCAAGCATACCTGAAGACAAGGGAAAGGATGATAATGATTCCATGAAAACGGAAAGTACGAAAACAATAATTGTATAAATTAGATTGGATAATGTCATTCTATGTAGTATATAATGACATAATTACATAACATTTATTGTCAATTTTTTTTCTCGTTTATTAGCGACAAGAAGGAAGATATCAATTGTCAAAGATACACCAACAAAATCTCCTAGTCCAGTACCAGCTCAACCCACCAATATACTTTTGATAAAAAATTTAGTTCGACCGTTTACATTAAATCAAATAAAAGAATTATTATCACGTACGGGTGTGATTGTAGAAAATGGTTTTTGGATGGATAGGATCAAATCTAAATGTTATGTAGAGGTTTGTACCCAGAGTCTATTTATAATGCAGCCAAGATTCATTAGAAAGCAGAATTAAAAAATTCAATAATTCTATTTTAGTATTCTAATGAAGATCAAGCTTTTGAAACGAGACAAGCACTTCACGGAATTTCTTGGCCATTATCTAATCCTAAAAAGCTACAAGTCGAGTATGCTACAAAAGAAGATATGGAGCAAGCACGAGAATTGTCTAAAGATCAAATATCTTCACGTAAAACAGAAGCTATGGCTTCAGCGGACAACATGTGGCAGCAAGAATGGATACGAGATGAAAAGGTTAATTCTAATACAAAGGTAAATATGAATGATTTATTAGCTTTATTCAAACAGAAAACTCATTTCATTATTATATTAATTTTTTTATTTATTATAAAGGTTACAATTGTACGAGAATGGGACCTAGGGAAAGAAGATGGACAGCATTTATTGAGGGATAAAGAACGTGAAAAGAAGGATATCGATAAAAAAAGGCGGCAACGAAGTCGTAGTCCCGCATTAGATACACACCTTCCTGCACCAGCACGAAAATTCAAAAAAAAAGAAGATGAACCACCGCCAGCCAAACTTTTAGACGATCTTTTTAGGAAGACCAAGGCTACGCCGTGCATTTATTGGCTACCGCTCACTAATGAGCAGGTTAGTTGATATTCTTTTTATTAAAATATTTTTAACTTCCTAGTGGAAAGTTATTGTAAAGGATTCGATTTTGGAAATTCCAAATTTTGACGTATCTTCATATTTCAATGTATGTTGTTATCAAATTTCGTCTCGTGTATCTTAAGAGAAAATGATGATTTTAACATGGGACTTCAATGCATAATTTTGTAGCTCAAAACTGATAAAAATTGGAGCAAAATCGGTCTAGCTATTTTTTGTGAAAAATAAAAAAATTAAAAAGAGGCAAACTAGCCGAATTTTATCATACATAAATGATTTTTTTTCCGATAATTAAGTGATACTCCAATATTTTTGTTACTTTCCACCGGGAAGTTAGTCGTGTAGACCTCTCAAATCGCATCTAAGCTATATTTTTTAGAATTCAAGTGTTGAGTAGTTTATTACGATAAATATTTTTTATTTATAGATTGTTGTGAAGGAAGAGATGCGGCGACAACATATGGCTGAACATGCGCGACAACTAGAAGAAATGAGACGTGCTGAAAGAAATCGTGATAATCGCCGTCGACGCAGTCCAAGAAAATAAATATACCCTTTCCTATCTTAATTTTCCTCTGTTTTCTTCTAATTTCTCATTTTCACAATGATCATCGATATACGTCGCGTGTCAACTTTTTATCACAAAAGTTAACGAACGAAGCAATTTGAATAATAATTTTAAAATCAATTTAATAAATATAATCAGTGAAAATAATATTTGCATTACAGTTATGAAAGACGTTCTGTAGAAGAAGCACGTTTTCTACTTGCCAAATTAATTTTTTATATTCAATGGCTCAATTATTAAATTATACATAATTATACATTTTCGTTTAAAATTTTTCATTAAAAAAAAATTGATTAACTACTGTTGAATATAATTCTTTTAACATTATTATTCGTGAAATTTACAGTTAAAAGTTTACAATTTTTTTCAAAATAATTTTTCTATCTAACAAAACTAACAGAAATTTTTCGAGGGAAATTCATGCATGTTGGAGATCCTTGGTTCAATCCTGTCCTTGTCCTTAATTTCACCAACTTTAAAACATGCTTCTTACAGGTCATCAGCCTATAGGCACGTATTGGACGTAGAAATGTGATTCTATTTAATCCGTAATGGTATGCAGATAAACGGATTTTGATTTCGGTGGATTACTGCCGTAGACATCAGGATACAACGTGGGATTTTAGCAATTTAATGTGCATACTCAATAAAATATGTATAATAATATTGATAGGAAGTTTTTTTATCAAAGATAGTCATAAAATTTGAGATATTGGACTAATTCTTGAGCTTTACTACTTTGAAATAATATTAATCGTATGAAAAATTGTTCAAGAAAATCCAAAATAAACATAGCTGTTTATTTATGATTTATTTAAAAAATAGCATTCATTACTACTTCTATTAATAATAATAATAATACACTGTTTAATACAAATATGAAAACACACAGCAGGCATTTTGAATGCAGTAGTAAACAAATGTTTCGTTTTATCTAGCATAAGTTTTGTTCTATCTTTTATGATTGTAAGTAAACTAAAAAAATAGAAATTTAATAATTGGTAAAAGAAATGAAATTACATCAATTATGTAATTTAATAGAAGTTTGAATAGTACTTTTTTAGTCATTGTCACCTTACGAGCAAATTTTCTTGTAAATTAAACATTACCAAGCAATACCCAATATAATATCATTTATTAAAAATGTCATGAAAGATTTGGAATAAAAACCTACTGTATATAAATGTTTATTACTATGACATCTACATAAATGTAGAACGAATAAATGCGACAAAATAACTTATTTCATAATTTTATTTATGTTATTCAACACTCTTAATCCAAAAAACTACGCAATGGGTTAATTTACAAAATTATAATTACATTATCATAAAGTGTGCAGTTGCCTATCCAAAAATTCTTAATGAATACCATGATCATGTTTAATTATAGAAATAAAGCATTATGAGAATAATATTTTTTTTTGTAATTTACTTTGACTTACTGACCAATTTGTACACTTCATTATTTATTTTATACAGTTATTCTTATGAATACTACTTCTCATCACTTTGGTGAGAGAAAAGTATTGAACTTGGTTTGAAAATAACTCTTATGATTGATTAGATGGCTGGTTTGAGAGTAAGTAGTAGATGTTTTATAGCCATGTTTCAAAAGAAACAAGTCAGTCCATTAATCTTAGTTTAGTCATATATAATTTATAGCTGTTAGTGACAATTTTTTTTTAATTATAATAAAAGGATGAATCTATAAACTATACAAAGGTAATTATTATTATGATTTTGACTAGCTTTTAATAATGAATAAATTTCAAAGAATTAATACATCATTAAAATTATAATATGAAAATACAATTTATAATATTTTTTTGGTTGATGTTAATTTTAATTACAAATTATAGGTATTACAATATATTGAATTTTTTTTTGTATAACAATGACAAATCATAGCCTTATTATCAATAAACATATATTAAAATATAAATGAAAATATTGAATCGTTATTAGAATGTTTTACACTCAACTTTTTCAAACGCAAGTAATACTTTTCTAATTAATAATCTAGAAGTGATGAAAAGTTCTCGAATAAGGCTTGTCATTTCTTATTTTAAAATCAATGAAATCAATATAATAATTAATAAAAGCCTTTAGATTATTTAAGTCCCACTCCTTTTCCGGTAACTATTCACCTATTATTATCAAACTTTTCAAATAATGTCTGACGTCATAAGAAAAAATATGTGATTTAGAAGAAGAATACTCTCATTATTCGTTACCAAAATATTTATAAAAACAAATATAATTAAATTAAATTATATATTTAAAATATCAATATATAAATTCCAATGTATAAAAGTTTTATAATATTTATTGACCACATAATTAACTTATTATTTTTTACACTGTAAACTACAATAAATGACGTCACAGTATGTTATATTTACAAGAAATTTCATTTTTACTCTCATGACGTCATACTTAATTAAATTTGTTGACAAAAGGTAAACAATTTTCTGATTTTAATTTTATGCGTCCCACGAGAATTTGTGCGTTCTCGCGGTTGACACCAGTCAATAGATTTATTAATGATAATAAATACTAATTATCAAATTTTTTATTCACCTTTTGACTTTCTTCTATATTATAAAACAAGCAGAAAATAATTTAACTCGGTGTCAACTTCAAAAACAGCGTACAGATAATTTTATTATTAATTTTTTGAGGACAAGTTTTGTATTTGTAATTAATTATTAAACTTCAAAAAGTTTTTTTCACTTACCACTGACATTGCACACGTAAACATGTTCAATCAACCTTGACAACACTATAGATTTTTCGCACAAACCAGAAACACGCAAAGAATCCAATTGAGCCTAAAAATAAGATATTTATGTTATGTCATTCAATCACTAAAGTGATTGTTATAAAAATTTATTCCTTATTACTTACCCGTTAATAGGAAGAACAGAAATACCATGATGATTGTATATCCGAAGTATAACAATGTTGAAGTTGCATCCTCAATATTGAGTTTTTTAACAAAAAAGTGAATACAATAAATTAAAAGATAAGCCGCTGTAAATCCGGAAGTAAGAAAACTTCGCCACCACCAGTGATAATCCTGTAAATAAAAATATTTATAATACCAAAGATATTTTAGCATGTTATTATATAATTGTATAATAATAATAATTACTTCTGCACATAAATGGAAGTAACAAAGAAGAATTGTAGTCTCAGAGCATGTGATTATTAATATCAAAAAAACCAAGAATAAGAATCCAAACATATAGTACATTTGGTTTGACCAAATTGAGTTGAGAATAAAAAATAATTGAATAAATATACATCCAAATGGTAAAACACCACCCATCACCACGCCAGGAATTGCTTGAGTATAAAAACTTTGCTCAGGAATTTGCCGTGGTATTTGATTTGTTCGTACAGGATGTTCAAATGCCTATAAAAACAAATGTTTATGATATAATATTATAAAAAAATTATTTTACAATATAAACATTTATACTATTGTAAAATAAACTAAAACATACTATAAAAAACAAACTTACCCGTTTTCTAAAGCCAAAGTATGCTCCAACAAATGTAAGGGGAACAGAAACACCAAACCAAAGTGCTAAGAGAGCAATGAGCGTGCTAAAAGGTACAGCAGCTGAGCTTCCTTTACTCCAAAAAATAAGATTCATGATGAAAAATAAGCAAAAAATAATCCTGAAAATAATAAAGTATATTTTTTTTAAATCAGTTTTTAAATAAATAAATTAAAATTAAAAATGAGATTATGCGTTTTACCCTGGACATAACATAGCAGTTAATAAAACATTTGATTTCCATTTTTCTCCACCAAAGCTTTTGTAAATTCTTGCTGAAACGTATCCAGCTGGAGTACCAAGACAGACATATAAAACCATAGCACAAGTCATCAAGGCCCCTCGATCTGCCGGTGAGAGGAAACCCAAACACGCGAACGCTATCAATTAGAAGAATAATATGTGTTAAATACTGTAATTTTATATATAATCAATTAGTACATTTTATTTTAGTGATAGCTATTTAATGAAACTTAAGTATTAATATAAATTTGTTTTACCTAATGTTACTAATGTCATGAAAAATACTTGTACTCCAGAACCAAGCAACACTGCAAGAAGCATTCCTTTTCTTGGTGGTCTGAATACATCACCATGAACAAGTTTCCAACCAAATTCTTCTTGAGCATCTTCTCCAGAATCAATCTAAAAACAAATCTGCGTTATTTCATAATTGACTTACTTATGTTATAAATTTAATACAAAATTTGAAGTTTATCAACCAACTTTTAAAAGTCAAAAATAAAGCTTGAATAGTAAAATTTTATTAATATTGAATATTCTTCTAACATGAATAATAAAAGTTCAATGCAAAAAATGAACAGTACAGTTATTGGAACATTAGAATCGATTATTAGCACTTATTTAGTCTCATTAGTTTGATATTGAAGTTATTATTAAGTATACTATTGTTACAAACTATTTTCAACTTTTATCAACGTTTAAAAGACTTTAAATAATTTTATTACGTATTTCTTTAATAACACTTAGTCATTTTCGAATGACTAACTTGACATTTATATGTATAAAACTGTATGAAAAATGAGTGTTTGTAATCTTTACGTATGGTTAAACAGGTGTCAATGTATTATCTTATAATTTAACAATGAGTTTTAAACAATACAAAAAATAGAATAAAATAAATATGAATAAAAATTTAATTATACGATGAATATACAACTACAATAGTTGTGGAATTTGTATCAATGTTTTGAAAATAACATAAAAAAACACATCGTTCTTAATAAAATTTATCTACAATGACACTACTCTTTAATTTTTAAATAAAACATCGATAAATTTTATACGATATTGAATTTTTCAATGTAATCAACTAAAATTTGTTGAAATAAAAAAAAATAAGTTTATCTTAAAGCAGAATTCATAAACTTCAGATTAGATATCCATAAATAAGGAAGTATGAAGTAGAAATAAATAAAAGATAAATGTAATTTACCTGATTGTATCGTGCAATATCTTTATGCAGTGTTCGCAGCATAATCATTGCCACCATTCCAGAAAGAAATAGAACAATTACCAAAGAATTAAGAATACTAAACCATTGGATATTTGTAGGTGGCATAGATTCCAGAATATAATCCCATCGAGAAGACCATTTGATTGTATTGTTCTTAATATATGCAACAGAATATGTATATGTAATAGCTATTTTTTGATCATGAGTTAACTTTCCAGTTGGAATATCGAGTGGTGTTTTTAATCCACAATCAGGAGCATCTTGTGGATGTTTGATACTTCGAGGCACTACTTTAATAGAAATTATTCTTCCACCGTTTTCTTTAAAATTATTTCCCCATTCTTCAGCTTCTCCACTATGATAAGTTATTGTTAAGTCAACATGATTGAATAGGTAATATGTATTTGGTTTCCCATACTAAAAATGTAAACACATTTTCAGCTAATTTGTATCAATCTATTCCAAAAAAAAAACATTCATTAAGTATAACATGTATGTTTTTACTTACATTAGAATTACAAATATCTTGAGATGTTTGGCTTTCTTTTGAATAACAGCCCATGGGGAAGCCTGTACTACAATACTGTCGGTCAGTATCGTCATTGAAATGATAGCACCATGTTACTGGCATATTATCTAGAGAAAGTGATAAGAAAAGAAAAACGATAATTTATTTAATTAATATTATATTTTTATAAAACAAAGATAAAATTTAATTACACACTCGTTAAACTTCCCTGTTATGTTATAATTTTATTACACGTTTCATTAAAGTAATATTAAAATTCAATTCATTACATAGAAAATTCAAATTTTTTTCAAATATGTATATTAAAATTAAATAAATAGGTTTATGTATTGAGATAACAAGTGAAAATCTATTCAATTGGTTAACAATAAATTACTTGAAAGGAGATGTGAAAAATGAGATCTATTCGAACCAAAAAACACAAATGAATAAAGTAGCACATCTTTTTAATAAAAAATTGTTTTCATTAAGTGCTTTCTGTCATGATAGTTATTTAATAAGTATAGTTCAATAGAATGTACTAATACTTACCAACTATCCAATGATGTTGATAATTCAAAGCCATTCCATTTTTTAAAATTTCTAGTTTCTCTTCATCTTCTTTATTTCCAGCAACATACGTTTTTGTGCAAACTTTTTCACATTGCATATTTTGCATGAATTTCAATTTGTAAGGAGACGGTCTTATTCTTTCTCCAAAGACTACTTGACCCAAGTTTTCGACCGGTGATGGTTTGTCTGCTGTAGTTGTGCAAAAATCAAAGCTAAGAAGAAGAAAAGACATGTCATTATTAATGATCATTGAAACTGACATAAGATTATTAAGTCAGGAAATAATTTTATTATGATACTTACTGCTGATATTCATATGGTATGACAGATTCTTGAGTGTTTAATCGATTTACATATAGTTCTATGTCTGACTGCAATCAAATAAAAAATGATTCATCGAATATAGTTATCAAAATGTTATTAGATAAATTGAAAAATATTATTGGCTACTTAAAACACACATCATCAATTGAAAAAAAAAATAGTTTTACACACAATGATCTTGTGTTAAAAATCGATTTAACTGACAAAGTATTTGATTAAAAAATGACAAATAACATAAGTACCTTGCATGTTTCTACATTGTCTCCGGCTTTACAATAGTTGACGGGTGCTAGACCGGGTAAATAAAAAGTCCAAGCACTTTGAATCGTACAAAAAGCACACAATAGACCCAAATATGTAACGTAAACCATGATATAAATATAATGTTGATGAAATCAAATGTGTAGTTTATAAATTTTATAGTACTTCGTAAATTACATAAAAAAATTTATCTTTATTATTTAGCTGTGTGTTATTGGTATAATGAACAATTACACGTTCTTTAGAACTACGAAAATGTTTCACAGCAACACGACGACATATCATCACTATACTCTATTCACCACATATACATATCAATTTTTATACACATGAATATGTAGAACGAATTAGTATTGGTAGTGACACGTCACAAACTATACAGTAATGAAGTAAGAAATAAAATAACTCCAAAAATTGTCATTTGAATTTGCCGCTTCATTTATATGCATATAAATTCATGTTCTTTACACTCTGAAGTTATACGCTATCACATAATATACCTTATATCGAGGATAATTTAAATTTTCAATTTACGTAAATAATAAAATATGAGTAACTATCATGTAGGCGTGGATGAAGCAAAACCAAAAGGATGGAAGAAAAAGTTTCAGGGCTATTTTGATCCAAAAAAGAAGAAAACTTCTGCTTTTCCTGAAAATTGTGAATATGTCATTGAAAAATTAGCTGTTAAATGCCTTCGTTCGTCTGTTATTGCTATTTCTACTGAAGATTTATCAGAACCTCCGGAGCCTCAAGTTTTAATACCATCTGAAACATCATCTTCTTCTGTCGAACAGCCACCAAAAAGCTTTTCAAAAAGTATTAAGAAGCTTTCTTCTTTGCCAAAAAAATTTTCAATTAAGCAAAGCAAAAATATTAATATTCAAGAACTTAATTCAATACCATCTTCGTCATCAAAACCATCAAAAAAGATTCAAAGAAAAACTGAAATTATTAATCGATTTACTGCTTTTCATCCTGATCTTAAAGAAAGTGAAAGGCCACCGAAAGAACCTTTAATTTTCAAATTAAAAAAAAATAAAAGATTTTTTGCAGAAGAATTATCAGAAATAGCATCTAGGAATGATAAAATGATAAATACTAATTCAGAGTTAGAAAATGAGACAATATTAGGAGATATAGCACCAAGTACTTCAGATCAACTTTCCACATAAAGTAATGCATTGTGTTTAATAACAGATTAATTTATTATATTATTTTTTTATTTTTTTTATAAACTTAAAAAATATATTTTAATTTCAACTAATTTTTGATCTATTCGATGTGATACGATGATGTCATTTCGATTCTGAAACATAATTATTAATAAAGAAATTATTATAATAAGGCATTGAGAAATAAAAGATAAATATTCCAAAACTTACCATTCTTTTTAAATAGAATTATTTTCAGTTGAATTCAAGCTTGGTGTTTTATTAATAATGTCATCAAAATACAATCGACTCGTTATGCTTTTATTTTGACAAATTTCAGCATTGCAAGAGCAATTACTGCTGCATGCCTCTGAATTTTTCTTACATGAACACAGTCGAGTGGAACATTTACTTTTGCATGCGCATTTGATTATTTCATTAGAAGAACGCTTCTTTGAAGGTCGTTTTTCCTTTTTATCTTTATTTAGATCACTGTTTTCATTATTATTTATTGTCGTTCGAGCTCTTTTATTAAGCGGTTCCTCCTTCCAGTCAGGATCTTTCTTTGTGTCGTCAACTTCTTCACCTATCATTATACTATCCTCCAGTTCTACATATTCATACAAATCAACCGAATGCGTTCGTTTTGAATTACTGGATCTTGAAAATGATTTTTGTTCAAGAGATTGAAGTTTTTCTTTATATGTCGCCAATTCTTGTTCTATTTTTTTAATATATTCAGATTCAGAAGAATTATTTGACTGCAATGCAACTTTTTTTTCAATTACCTGTAATTTTAATTCACATTGTCTCTTAGCCATACATATTTGATCATACTTTTCCATCAAGTCGTTGAAATCTTGACATTTGTTAAAGTATTTTTTTTCGTTCTCAGCACTGGTCTTAAATAACATGCTTAAAGCTGTTTTAGCATCACCCATCGACTGAATCATCTGCCACCGTGAATTTGGTTTAGTATCTTGCTCTGATTCTAAAAGTTTTTGTTGAAAATCTGATATTTGAGCGTTTCTAAGATCTAAATGTTCTTTCCATGCTGTCATTTGTTTTTCTATTTCAGGAGTTGAATTTTGAGAATATTCAGTTTCTAATTTTTTTAATTGAGAAACTATGACTTCTCGATCTTTGATTAATTTATCTACTGAACATTCAGCATCTGCAATACTATGTAAAACATTTAGCTCATGTTGTAACCAATTTCGTATTTCCTCTTTAGAATTAGTAGCTTTTTCACGCCTTTGTCTTGATTTTTTTTGCATTTCTAGAGCTTCTTTCAGACGCTTATTGACAACGTGTGCCTCTTCTAACTTTCTTTTGAAAACATTTTGTTGATTATCATGCTGGATCTTCATCTTTACCATTTCATGTTGTCGTTTTCTATCCTGGTTTTTCAACTTATAAAGTTCTCGTTCTCTTTGAGCTTTGTATTGATTGAAATTTTCAGCTTCTTTTCGCATTTCACGCACTAGTTTAACTCTAAGTTGTTTCATCTGTAAAATTTCAGCAGTAAGGTTTTTAATTTGTTGACTGTCTTTTTGTTTATTTTCTAATGCACGATTTTGTTCTGCACATTTTTTCATCAATTCACTTATTTTCTTCTCTAATTCCTGGACTTTTTTTCGTCGAGATTCAGAAATTTTTACCGATGCATTATTAATTTGAGCGTTATCTAAAGCTTTTAAAAGCTCTTCTTTTTCTGCTTGAAGTTTTTTAATTTCGTTTTCCATTTCTTGAATTTCTTCTGTATAACTAGCAAAATGAGCAGCACTATTACGAAGTTTCAAAATCAATTCTTCTTTTATGGCCAAAGCACGATTAATACCTTGAACTTCATCATTACGTTCAGCTTGACGAAGAGTATGTTCAGTATGTTTATCATCATAACAGATTTCAGCAAAACTGTCATTTTCGTCTGTTTCCACATTTTTATCACTCGTATAAGATTTCGTAACTTGAGAAGTTGAAGAAAGTGACATTTGAAGAATTTCTGAATTAATTTTCTTTTCTTCATCAAGTAATTCAGCAATTTGACACCGTATATTTTTGAGTAATTCAAGCCATTCATTATACTTGGGATCTTCACTTTTTTCAATATTTTCTTTAATTACATTGTCCAAATGTTCTAAAATTTTTTGTAGACCATTACAAATTTTTTCTCGAGAATTTTCAGCAAACTCTGCCCTTTCATTCATAGAAAGGATATCATTTATATTATTATGAAGTGTTTCGGCTAGTTGGACACATTTTTTCTTCAACAAATTATTTTTTTCTATCAGCTCAGTATGTTCAGGTGGACAAGAAAAAGCTGTTCCATTGCCTAACATTTGTAATCGAAGATCATTAATGATTTTATTTAAACGATTTATTTCAGCTGTCTTTGGATCTTGATTAATTATTGGTTTATTCTTGATTTTTTTCGCTCGATCAGCATATCTTAAAGTACTTAGAGTTTCTTCAAGATTATAATCTGCTGGACTTATACAAGCAATCATTAAAGTTATGGAATTACCCCCTAGAGAATCTTGAAGGAGGCGAGTTAATTTACTGTCACGATAATTAACAAAAGTGTTCGTATTTCCGTCACCTAATTGAGAAATAACATTTCCAAGTGCTAGTAAGCCTTTATTTATATTTACACCTTCTTTGAATCTTTCCCCTGTCGCTTGAGTTTTTTTACTTCTCTCTGAACCAGCCAGATCGACGAGGTGAAATTTTGCTGTAGTTGAATTATTCAGGTCATCACGTTGTTGTTGATGAATTGTTAAAGTGAATATAGCATGACTTCTACTGCTTTGATGATTCATTGCAGTCGCCCCTGTAGCTCTATTGTCTGATCCTTGAACCAGCAGTTCTAGTGCTGCTTCTGAATTTTTTACTTCTTTTTCTGTAATTCCAATGATTTTGATTTCTTTATTTTCTTCACGAATATCGATCATGCAGTCTTTACGTTGTTTATCAAACGCTAGAAGATCGTATAGCTGTTCTTGATAGAGTTCCATAAAAGATACAGTAACTTTAAAAATCCAGTCATTGTTTTTTGTTTCAATAATATTAAATATGTCATTCACAGCCCTCGGTATAACTCCCATTGAATTATCGGAACCATAATTTGTGCCCATAGAATGCGTTTTTCCACTTCCAGTTTGTCCATAAGCCAATATTGTAACATTATATCCTAAAATAGAAAATTTTAATTAGCATTAACATATATTTATAACTAAATTTATACAGTAATTAATATTAACTATAATTTATTACTTTCATAACTATTAATTAATATTTTTTTTGTACCTTTGAATAAACTATTTATCATTTTTCTTATAGCTGAGTTATAAAATTCTTCCTGTTCAGTCGATGGATCAAATACGTAATTGAAAGTAAAAGCTTTTTCCGTATTTCTGATCTGAACTTGATTTTGCTCAGGTATCACATTAATTATATTTTGACAACCACGTTCCTTCTCTGAATTTACTAATGGTCTAACTCGAAGGGCTACTCGTACTGAATCATCCATGATTATTACTTGTCAAAAAATTAAAATGTAACTCCAAATCAAGAAACTTTATTTATAACTAACACTGAGGTTATAAAAATTGGAAAAATGTCAATTCTACTAAGAATCAATTAAAAATTCCACAAAAACTGTCTTTTTTAAAACAGAATCCATGAAAGATACAGGATTTCATAAGATAAAAAATATTAATTTTACGAACTACTGGAATAAGTGGTGAAGTCGCGTGTAAACAGTTTATAAATGACAGTTGCAGTTGCTAAGAGTCTGTATTCGCCGGTGCAACGGTTAACCCGAAGTACCAACCAAATATCACTAAAAAAAGACTTGACATTTAGCGCCACTGTTTGCTTAATCTTACAACAGTCGATAATACTTCAATATGGTGTCGCTATATGACGTAGCTGATGGTCTTTTGACCAGAGAAGAGAGACCCAGTGATAACCAGAGAAAAAAGACCAAAAGAAAGGTGATAACAGAGAAAAGAGATAATATCCATAAAAAAAAGAAAAAAATTCCTTCACACTTAAAATCGCAAAAAAAAAAAGAGTCACACTTTTTTAGGGTTTTTGCTAAGTACTTTAATGATTTTAAGTGTGAAGGAATTTTTTAATTTTTTTTTCATGGATATGTATCTTTAGCTTAGATTCTGAAGTTTCTAAATACTCCTCAACAATCACTGTCACACAATTTCTTCACGAGCTATAGGGGTTAACAGACAGAAAAGGGGGCAAAAAATCATCCACCCCTTGCCTTTAGACCGCAATTACTCGCGTAGAGATCGACTAATAACGATTTTGAGGAGGTATTTAGAAACTTTGGAATCTAAGCTAAAGATACATATCCATGAGAAAAAAATAAAAAAAGCAAGTAAAGTCAACTTCGGGAAATTTTCTGTGTTTAGCCTAGCTTTTAGCATGTAAAGAACACATGGACAACGAATAACTGATATTTTATTTTATAAGTAAAAATATGTATGTAAATATTCACATGTGAACTACCAGATGATAATTAAACTAACTTAAAATTAAGCTATAATTTTCTATGACTTGATTGAAACAGATATCTCAAATTTTGAGTCTTATTCATCGATACAAAATGATTGACACTGTGTAAATTAGACCATCCATCATTGAATTCTTCAAAGCATTCCCTCTGCTATATTATTTATTCATACATTTTAGCTTTATAAAGGACAGGTTTTTACGCAGATCATCGGTAATTCCATCATGTCCAATGAAAATACATCATTTGTAGAAAATAGTCCTTCCAGTGCTTTTTGGAGTACTACTTCTTCTGTGCGTCCATTAAGTTGAAAACTCATAGTTCTTAGGATAGAATTTGGATGAAGATTCTATTTGAATTAGTTGTATCATCTGCATTTAATTTTATAAGTTTTACAGTTTAGCGATATCTAGCCTATGAAATATTTTATAGGAACCCTTAAATATTTTCTCACATGATGTAACATTAATTTTATTAATTCTACTGCATCATGCTGATAAAAGTCCAAGGAATTTTTTTTTGCATTTTTGTGCAATAATTTAAAAACATGGTACAATTCTACTTCTCATCTTGGCTTTATCTGTGTTTTATCAATTTCTCTTTTCTACCTGCAGACATTTTAGGTAACGTATCAAAATTAGTAATTTTTTATAGTTAGTTAATATTTTAAGTCATTAAAAAAATAATTCTAAAATTAATTAATTGCAAATGAATCCAAATCGGCTGTTATCTTTTTATCTTATAATTTTTACAGGCTGTTTATTGGGTGGATTATTCCATATGAAAAAATACAATGTCAACTATAGACTAAATAACTATAACTAACTCGATTTAGTATAATAACAAAAATTGTCAATATCTATAGCATGTCGTAGAAAAAAATCACTATCTTTACTATCAATAAGAAGATAAGATTTTTCTCAATAATGACAAACTACATTCATGTCGAGGATCAATGCAGTAGTAGAGAATGTAATGACTGAATATTTTTTAAGCAATGTCATTTAAAAGAGAACAACTTATTTTAATCAAGTGCAGTGCGGTGATTTCTTTGATGTCTGCCATCATAGTAACAACATCATTAAGTTCTGATTATTGGATAACGGGAAATGCAACTGCAAAAAATGGTTCAGTTGAAGGAAAATCATTGATAAATTATGGCTTGTTCAAGGGATTTTTACAGAAGAGATTTTTCGAAAGCCCTTGGGAATATAATATTTATCGTAAGTAGATAAAATAAAGAAGTTCATTTATATAATTAACATAGAAATAAGATTCATAATACAATAGTTCATGTTTTATAGTTACTTGTATATGGGATAGAAATGTATGTATTTGGAGCTGTCAAAATAATGAGGGTCTCAGAAAGAAAGAAGTTATACAATTGTTAAATAACGAAGAAACATCGCCATGTACGATTTTACGTTCAATAAGAAGCTCATCTACAACTCCTTTAAATGAAACAATTGGTAAAAATTTTTTATTACATTTCTATTAGAAGATTCAATTATTCTTTTGTTAAAAATAGAGAAACAATGAAAGAATTTATGTTTCTATAATTTAGCTTGTCCTTTTTTTTTAGATAACAGCACAAAACAATTTTTAAACAGTGGAATGTTTTTAACTTCAATTATATTTGTTGTTTTGACAATGATTTCACTTTATATGAGTTCGATTCTGGCACTTGTTAATTGCTACATCAGTCCAGTAATAACCATGCTGAATATAAATGTATTTGTTTAAAATTAATGAGTGAACATAATTAGTCCATCGAAAACTTACATTCACGTTTTTAGGGTATTATGATCAGTTCTGGTTTGGCTTTTGTTTTTAATTTCATTGGTCTTATAATTTTTGGATACAACTATCATAATTGGATTAAAGAAAACATAGGCATTGTTGATACTATCGTTGGATATTACGAATCATCAGCTGACTTGGGATATTCTTACTGGTAAACAAATTATTTTATGAAATTGTATATTAGTGTGTTCAAATTTATTTCTGTTTTAGGATTTATTTATTTACCTGTATATTAAGTCCAATTCCAATTGTACTTTTACATGCTAGAAACATGATATTGATGCAGAGCCGGGCTGAAACAACGATTGTTGTTGCTAAAACAAATGACCCCACTACTGCACTTTATTAATGACATATTTATTTACTTCAAATTTATAATATTCTAAATTGTAGTAATGATGTCTTGAAACATATTAAAATTTTTTATAACAAATTACAAATAGTTAACATTAAAATTAATTTAAATTTTACTCTTACATTTAGCGCCAACAAAGTACACACCGATGATTGGATAACAATTTGAATTTTTCAACCAATTAGGAATCAGTCATTTAATTTTCGATATGTAATTCCGATTATTGAATAACTTCATATGTTCATATAATTTTATATAAATAGGATTTCTAAAGTGGATCAAGTCGATCATTTACTTCCAATTGAAAATGTAGGAATATCAAAATCAAGAAATGTAATCTTAGTTTTGGTTCTTTAACTTGAAGATATTTATTATTTATTCCATTAGATTAGTTTTTAAATTTATTAATTGATGATAATTTTTTGAATTTTTTAAACTTTTAAGTGTATAATTATCCTTTTATCTAGAATCGTCTGTACCAAAACTACATTCTCCAGCAGTGACTAAAATGTTCCAGACAGTGCAATTCTGGTACAGATGTCGTTTTGGCACAAAAATATATGGCATAAAAATACTCCTGCTAATTTTTTGCATTCAGACTATTTCATGGCATCCAATCGAATCTAATAAACGTAATATTATTCAAATATATAACGTCTATAATGTTCTATAGTCTGTTCATATTAATTTTGACATATAACTGAAGTCATAGTAATAAAAAATCAATTGATTTAAATTACTTTTTATAAAAAATATCTATTTGAGAATGACTAGTAGCCAGTATTACTTTTTTTAATTAAACTTTCATTCCGATGTTAAATAAAATTTTATTAATAAGCCATCGGCATCAAAAATGTGAGTGAATGTAGCAAATTAATCGGCGTGTATACTTTTATTATATATGTTCATATACGCATATGACCGCGCGTTAGTACTAGTAAGTACGTTAAAACAATGTTGAGAAATAGTAGTATTGAATGTGATTTATAATTCCAACTCATTCAAAAGCATATTTGTATCTTTTTAACAATATAATGACTATTTCGGCCAGAGAAAAATTAAGTGTTTTTTATTAAGAAATCATTAGAAAACATACTCATGTTGCTGTGAGAAATAATATCTGTACATACTTTGTTTACTTTGGAGTTAACTGTATATCGCAAACTACATAACACAATCTAAATTTTCATCTTGCACAAATTGGAAAAATAATATTGTTAGTAAATTCGCGGATTGTATGCATTTTACTATATCGTATGCACAATCACGCGAATTTGATAAGTTTATATGAGTTGTAATGGAAATGCTAAAACAATTACAAATGGGGATGAGAGCTTTCCTTCTAATGGCTTCACGTGTATGGACCTGTATCTGCTTTCTACTCAAGAAGCAGGTTAGAGCCGTAAGTAGGTGCACGATTGCACCTCTTTTAACAATTAAAAATAGCTTTTTATGATTCATTATTTTTCGTATGCCATTACTGATTACTGATACATTTTAATTAATGACACATCAATTTTTTTTTCATGAATTTCCATCTATAAATCGTTACCAAAGATTTCACAGATGCAACCAGTAAAATATGAAATTTTTCCATTGTCACCTTTATCAAAGCACAGACTCAGTAAGTATTGTTTCTGTTATTTAATATCTTCATTGAAATATTACAGAAATTATTGATCAATGATCTTTATCTCTGAATTGACATATTTTAGGTATAGTTAAGAGAAAAATTCTAGTATTAGATTTAGATGAAACATTGATACATTCGCATCATGATGGAGTAGCCCGGCCCACAGTGAGACCTGGAACACCTCCTGATTTTGTCCTTAAGGTTACAATAGACCGGCATCCTGTAAGATTTTTCGTTCATAAAAGACCTCATGTTGACTTTTTCTTGGATATTGTAAGTCAATGGTGAGCCGGCTAATTAATTGTAATATTTTTTAATTAAGTTCATCAACCTCATTAAAATTAATCCTTTTTGCATAAAATATGAATAAATAATTATATATTTTCCCTTATTAATGATTAACTTGAAGCGTTACATAATTTTTCTTAAATATAGTTTATTGGTTAATAATAGATTGCTGAGTGTATAATATAAAACTGCTTGTTTCCAGGTACGAGTTGGTGGTGTTTACTGCATCAATGGAGATTTATGGAGCGGCAGTGGCTGATAAGTTAGATAATAATAGAGGTATTTTAAGACGCAGGTATTACAGACAACACTGCACTCCTGAAATGGGTTCCTATACAAAAGATCTTGCAGCTATATGTTCTGATTTAACATCAGTTTTTATACTTGATAATAGTCCTGGTGCTTACCGAGCTTACCCACGTAAGCAATTCTTTACATGGATACATTTCTGATATTTTTTCACCTGTTACTGTCGATCACTTTAAATAAGATTACTTTTTATTTACAGACAATGCAATCCCCATTAAATCATGGTTCAGTGATGCGGGAGATACGGCATTGTTAAGCTTACTTCCAGTTCTTGATGCGTTACGATTCACACAAGATGTTCGCTCTGTATTATCAAGAAATTTACATTTACCTCACAGCAGTAGTTGGTAGCGACCGCGCGATACAAGTTTCATTTTGCTCCAGTGACATTTCAAAATAAGTAAATTTCATCTTTATTATCATTAACCTTCAGGCAATGTGGGTATGTGCATACGTGATAGATTGAAAAGACTACAAGAAAATTAAGTATTGTTATTTCGTATAACAAAATGTTTGTGAAGAATGATAATAATAATAGTTAAAATCCAATGTAAAAGACGAAAAAATCAGAAATTTCAATACCTAGGTCAGATGTAATTAGATAAAAGTTTTGTCAGCTATTAAAACAATTGTTTAATTGAATTGTAAATAATGTAAAGAGTAATAATACATATATTGAAATGTGCGAATTAACCAAAGAGCATAAAACCACCAATCATAACTGCGTATACATATACATATACAATCAAGTTGATGTGATAAAACTGAACACTAGCTAGTGCTGAGTTTTATTATATTACTTTGTATATGTATATATTTCTTATGAATGTATATATAATAAATATATATTTTCGTTGTAGAGTTTTTTAACAAAAATAGTGTGAAGAGTGATTTTACGTTATTGAGAAATGTTACTTTTTCCTTTGCTGACTTATGAATAATAGTTTTAAGTACAGAGATTGTGTGAATTACAGCAATGACATTGTATACGTGAAGATGAGCGAATGATTAGAACCTGTATACATTGAAATGACAAAGAAGTATAACTGAGCTTCAATTAATCATGACCATAAACGGTTTGTTGTATCAGCCAGCTACAAAAATTAAGATAAAATAAAATTTCAAATAATTATAAACATAAAAATGATGTTAGTAATAGTTAATAATGATAATAAAGAAAATGAATAGTAGCGTAAAACTAAACTGTTAGTAGTGATATCTTATACATTTCATTAATACATTACATTGTGATTATCGATGGCTCATAATGCCGAGTTAATATGATAACAGCACATAAAATATTCTTTTATGTGACTCACTGTATCAGTGAATTATTAATTTGACTATAAAATAAAGCAGTAATCTTATAAAAATATAATAATTGGTATAATGATAATAATTAAAGCTGTATATACTATGTATTTAAAAACCAACAGAAATAAACAAAAAAAAACAGTATATTGGAACGATCATTTAAATTATATAAGAAACTTTTAATGCCATTTACAAAATTATCATTATTTTGGAGGATCTTCTCGAATCATTTCTAATGAACTATCTGAATTATTTGTACTGCTACTACCACTCGCAGCATCATCTTCACGATCTGTAGTTTTTTCACGACTCTGAGCATTGTTAGAAGTCGTAGCTGACTCTAGCTGCCATGGAGGGATTGAAGGTGGTGCATTTGGAAATTGTTTTCTCGAGAGTAGCAAACCTTTTAAACTTGCCAGATCTTGTTTCAATTCTTGAACCAAATGAGGAATCGTAGGATCAGGTAAATAATGATTACATGCTAATTTTTTGACATTTTCTTCTACTATTGTAATAGAATCTTTCATTTCTTTGACAGAATTGAGAATCAATGTCTCATTATCAGTATTTGTTTCAGTAATACTTTCATCTTTTGATAAGTCTTTTTTTTTACGTCGAAAGAAGAACGGTTCAATGAATTTCTGTAATAGAAAATCAATACTTTTAATTAATAAGCCTGTCGCTAGTTTTTTTTATAAAAAAAATATTTATTACAGAAAAAATTAGTTATTTTATTTTATTTCTACTTATAATTTGCATACGTAATTCAGCAAAAATTAACATCTCTATTGGAAATCTAAGAAGTAAATAATTTGCATTGAAAAATGATGATATTAAAGAGAAAACCGGCAATATTTAACATAATGTTAGGAATATGTATAAGTAAAAAATAGTTGTTATTACATATTTATTATAATGACAATTCACCTTGTAAAACCAGTAGAGACAGTACAGAGTTGTACCAATGAAAGCTGTTAAGTTGAAAAATTCCTTAATTGCATAAAAATATTTATTTGTTGTTAGACTTCTATAATTCGTATGATTTTGAAAAACTCGAGGAGGAATAGTAACAGACGAAAATTCTACTTGATTCTCAACAGGAAATTGAGTGACTGCAGCTAACTCAAAAGCTTTTTTTACTTCATCATTTGTGAGCCCTTTTCTTAAAAGAAATTGTTGTTTTTGTTTGTATGGACTTGATGATACTTTAGGATTTTGTAGAAATTTTACAGCAGTATTTACCTATGAAATGTTAATATCAATTTTTATTTTTTTTATTATACTTTAATAGAAAAAAAAAATTATAACTTACTTACCAGGGTTTCACGCAACGGCTGATTGTCATTTATAATTATGTTATTATTACTATCATCTAACTTTTCAACAGTCATTTTTTTATCTACTTTAATTTTATAATTAAATACTTTTTTTTATTAATTAGCTTTTGTCATCTTCAATAATTAAATTGAATTGATAAGCAATGCGTACAGATGAAATGCTCTGAGATGCACAGCATGACACAGGAACTTTTTTAGTGAATTCATCAATATATATTGTGTGAATATATATTTTATTTATTCATATGCACTATGAACAACATTGAAATGGAAATAATACATAGATACTCCAATACTAAAGATTATTAATTTTTTATAGCATCATTAATACTGAAAGATGTTCTTTTTATATCTCCCCTCTTTTGTAATAAAAAAAATCCTTTCGCCATTACACCGGATGCCGCCATGTTGAATGAAACCACAAGAGGTAATTTTGAATCAACAGCTAATATAATGCAAATGTCAATCATTTTTTCTATGAATGCGAACGTAACATCTGTTCATTCTTTGCATAAATTTCTTTCAAAAGTGTTTCGTGTAATGATTAATTATTGTCAGATACTTAAAGCGGAAGGGTAGTATATTAAAAAGTATTCAGATTAAAAAAAAAAAAGGTTAGAAAATACTCCAATTTTTGCTATTGTTAAAAATGATAAGAATTTTTTATTTTATTAATTAAAATCTTCATAACTAGGTGATTGTTTTTCATAATAACTCATATAACTGATGACAATAAAAATATTTTTAATATTAATTTTAAAAAATATTGATTAAAAAAAATATTTCATTTATTAATTGTTTAAAAATAAGTGAATAAAATATTAAAAATTTCTAATTTATTTATTAATATGAAAAAATCGAAAGTGAATAGTTTAATTACATAAAAAAATTTATAAATAATATTTTGTTTATTAAATAGTTTTTATTTCAAATGTAAGTGAATTTTTCTTTTTAAAAGAAAGTGAAAAAAGCGTCGTTTCTGATCTCTATAACCTGTTTTTTCCCCTTATTGGGGTTCTAAATCTCTTGTCAAGTATTTTTATACTATTAATGGATGAAAAAGTTAACATCTTCCTGTATAAAAAAAGAAAAAGCCGTGATTTACTCCAATCCTGAAAAACAAACATTTTATGAATGTGAGTTCATGGTACCTTTGATCACGTGACTTTTTTATCGTTAAAAATGAGCGATGAGCGACGTATGGAAAGCCACCTTAAATGGAGTCTCGTCATTTCACAGCGTCTAGTAAGAGAGTGTTGACTACTGACTTTAAAGGGAAGACTACTCTCTTCATGTTCTGTACAGTGTGTCCAAAGATGTAGAATTACTAGTACATAGTTCGACGCACATTGACGCAGTTGTCTCTAGCATTGTGCAGCGTAATTATCACCGTTATCACATAATATAACATTCACATACATGTGAACACATACTAATAAATACATATTTAAGCGGTAGATCATGTAAATATATGTACGCCATTACATAGGAGGATTTTTTGTAACGCATCTGATGTTACAGCTTTAAAAAATGCTGTGGGAAAATGGAAGTGACATAATAAGTGAAATAATTATGGGGTTTTATCCGTTGTTTATGTGGAAGAATCGTTTTTTATTTCAAATTTGTTCATAGTATGAATATTAAAAAAATACATATATTAATATATGTATAAAAAAAAAGTTATTTTTTTAAAAAATGCAGTACGTATTAATTGTGTGTGGGTGTTATGAGAAGAATTAATTAATTTCATATTTTAACGAATCATTTTTATGAACGATTCAGATTTTTAAATATATATTTAAATTTTTAAATATTTAATAAATAAATCTATTATGAAATTAGAAAAAATTTGATGCCATAAGTCACTAGGGTATCACTGAAATATAATTATTGTGATATCTCTCAAGATGCCTTTTTGTTATGCATAAAAAATAAAAAATTTATATGCATAGACATACACACGTTTTAGAATGGATAAGAAATTTAATATATCGCTATACTTAAACGAACAAGGAGTCTTTTAATTGAAAGTAATGATATAACTCAAAAAAATTCGTCCAAGGTTATATTAATGTTTTAAGAGTATTTATTCTAAACTAATAAATGCAAGTTAAAAAGAACAAAAATGCCGTTTGTTCTTCGCAAAATAAATCCAGAATATATTGGCCGAGGGCATATTCCACAAGATAGAACTTGTGTGGAAACATGGCCCATTGGAGCAGAGTTAGACGTGATAATAAATGGAGCTTTGGTGAGCATTCTCAAACAATTGGCTTCAGTCTTGGATGCTGCGGAAGATATTTTCGAAGGACTTAATTCAGAGCTTGGAGATGTTGCCAATAGGAGTGGAAATTTACATCAACGAATCCATCAACTTGACTGCCGTTTGTCTTCCATCGATCCTAAGAAAATCCCAGTTCGTAAGTATTTTCTTTATATTTACTTCTTATTTATCATAATAATTCATAATTTAATTTACTTAGAGTGCTATTTAATCTTAGATAAATCTCATAATATACAGAAAACTGTTTTATAACTCCAATTTCGTTCTACCAATTTTAAAACACTAGGTCTTTATAAAAATAGCAAGCTATTATTAAAAATTAATTAATGAGACTCATGAAATTTTTTCTTTCAGAGAATAACATTCTTTTCTTCGCTAATTTAAAACTCTGAAGAGTTTATTATTAAATTATCTGATTCTCAGAAAGTTTTACTGTGAAAACTTATGTTTTTTGTATCATTTTTTTATTCAACTCATTGTCCATCTACTGAACAATTGCTTTTTTACGTTTAGCAAGTTTATTCACCATACAACGGGTCAGTAATTTTACAATTGGACAAAAAAGAAAGTAAAAGTCAATGATAAAAGAGAAGAGTCCTTGCTAATGCAAAAACGGCATAAAATACACGTTTGAATGTTTATTATAATAGACAGAGGTTATGAAAGGGTTAATTGCAAGTAAAGAGTCTTATCACTAGAAATCAATCATAAAATATTTATAAAATAATTGTTTTTCGACGATGTGAATGACCGCGACAGTAGAGGATCATTGATCTTAGTTCTTGGAATCTTGTGAAAAACTGCCTGAACGAGCACATGAAACGTGTATTACCAGGGGATATAGAGTATATAGTTTCATTCTACCTAAGATTATCGGTATAGTTTTTTCCCATAAGTATTAACCAGCGATTAATTGTTGAATAAATAAAAATCCCTGAATAAACATATTGGTAACAATCATACCTTCTTGTTCATGAATAGCTTCTTTATATCTTTGCTTTTTTTATTTTTTAATATCAAGTACACTTTATTATTCAAGAATACAAAAATAAAGAAGTATTATTTGATAAAATTCCATCACGAAAGTACTTGAAAGTAATAAAATAAATAAAAAAACATCATGAATAGGAATATTGAAAAGGACATAATGCAAAAATGTATTTACTACCTCATTAGTTTAAAAGTGTAGGAGGAGTTGCCCATAAAATAAGCACTTAAGGATCAATTTTTTTGACTTTTCACGTCTATGATCTTTCTAAAATTGAGAAAAATATTTAATAACTGTAATTCATGAATTAACTGACACTAATTAGTCAGACAACTCTACTTAAATCATCATAAAAGTAATAATTATTTTCTCCTTTATTTCAGTAAAAGAATTTTCAAGATATATTCAATGCTTTTTTAAATAAATTCTTTATAGTTTAATTTAAATTTCTTTTAGTGATATTAATATTTCACTTGAGTTTTAAAATACTTTATTGTTTAATCATACATTTAATAACGAACGATATCACGAGTATAAATGTCTAACATTAAACGGAGCCCACTTGGAATTTAGGCAGTCATCCAGAAAATTATAAAAAGGAAATACAAAGAAGACTTATGAGAATAAAAAAAAAACATTTCCTATATGTGTATACATGTGTGTCAAATATCCGATCCAGTGTCCTAAGGTGAAGACCTAGATGTATATCAAGTGCTTCGTCTACTCGTGAATATTTATTTCATATTATTTTCGACACGTAGCATATGTGATGGATAATAAAAGATAATTTAATCTTAATAGTAGATATTATTTATTCAATTATTTTCATTCATAATAATTTATTTATCTTTTATATTTTTGTTACAGCTGAATCTGATATATGTAGTTTCGCAGCTAGAACTGAACATTTCAAGGCTGTACAGACACCGACGACTAATCTTTTCGTTATAAATACCAGACCAAGAGCTTTGAAAAAAATGTATGAGGCTACTACTGTAATTAGTGTAAGGAAATGGGATAAATTCAAGAAGGAAACTGTTAATAAAGAAGACATGGAGATGTTTTTGTATTCATCATTATCTGAGGCTAAAAAGAGACTCAATCAGACTTTGGATATTGAATCTAGAGTTGTAAGTTTTAAACCAAATTATTTTAAATTACATTAAAAATCAATTGATCGTTGAAAATTTAACTCATGAATTATATTTTATTTCATTATAATATCTTTATAATTGTAAATTAATTATATTATTATTTAATTTATTATGTTTTAGCCGGCAATAATTAATAACTTACGAAAATGGACATCAACTGAAGTACTTGGCGACATTACCGTTTCACCAGACTGTCTACCGAGAATACTGCAAAAAAGCAATAGCTCCAATGACATTATTGATCATAAATTACCAAGTCCTGAGGAACGAGTCCAAGCTATCGCATTAAAGTAAGTTTTATATGATCATATAAAATGCATAAATTATATCAAATACTGATGCAAAATTTTCTTGGCACAGATTCCCGGCAGAAGTCATAGCAGTAGACGTGAGTGGAATAAGATTTGCCCGAATGTCTATGAGAAAGAAATTGCTGATTTGTCAAGCACATCAACAGCAGCAACAACAATTAAATGGTGGCAATGGTGTAGTTATTGTAAAACGAAGACCTTCAAGAACACGTGCATCAAGGAGTAAAAGACGAAATACGATAGCTGGCACAAACGGAAAGGATATTCAGCAACAAAAGAAAAAAGAACTAATTGTCGACGAATCTTTGGCTAATGGGTCTACTATTACAGATTATCATATAACAAGGGTGGAGGATGAAACACAAGACATTCTCCTATCTGCTAATTCGTCTAATAAAAAAGAATACCGACGATCAATAAGTACTGATGTATTGGAGCATAGAAAAGACACGTCGATGGAATTAACAAAGTGGAACTTTGAAGCATTTAAAGCCTGGGGTAAATTACAGTTAAAACGAATAACGCCAAAATTGGAGCTTGATAATCATGTAAATGATAAAACGGCTATCAAGTCAATTACAAATGATAATAATAGTAGCATTGAAGAAGTAATGGCTACACCAACATCTAAATTCCACAGTAAACATCGTAGCGCCCATGAACGCAAACCAAGTCTGTCAAGTTTAAGTGCGCGAAGTACAACATCTAATAATACCCTGTCTACACAAAATAGTAACACTTTGGAGAACACACAATGTCATGATATTATTAGGCTGAGAGAAAATGCAGATCCACGACGTGAACGAAGGAAAGGGCATAAAATTAGCAGCCGGGATGAACCAATGCATTCAAGTTCAGGTAACTGGAGTGCATCATCAGATAGCGATAGAACTAGTAGTATTGGAAGTAATGAAACCACCGCAGCAGCTAATTATTCAAGGTATATTTAGATATTATCAGTTGTTAATTAAATTATGAGGTTGTTGCTAAAATGTTTGCAGATCAACATAACGGTAAATTTAGTTTTAACTATTTAGGGTTTAATTTATTCAGTTTCTTCTTGTGAATAAATTAACGCAACTGTAATTATCGAAGTAGAAAATTAATTTGAAATCAAATTAATACTGTAAAATAATGTAACAACCTTATAATTAGCATTCAATTATTGATAACAATGTATATTAATTATTTAATTATTTTCTTACAGACCAGCGTCTACAGTTCCTACTACCACCATCCTCATGAATCGAGATGGTTCACCAATAAAGCTCTCTCATACTTATATAACGAGATTTAGAGATAAGGATATGTCAACGTCGTCTTCCGTTACTTCTGAGGGTACTTTAACGCCTGACATCATTCATGATATCAGTACTACTTCATTTTCTGATGAAATTGAAGTAGAAGGAGAAACTTCATCAGTATATTCATGCGATACCGAAGGATATTATACATCATTTCATATGGATTCAGGTTTAAAGACCCTAAGAGAAGAAGAAGTAACTGCGCCGGTATCTCAAAATAATTCAACTGTCGAAAATGATTATGAGTTGTTTGGACGTGGCTCAACATCAACCACAACTAGCTCTGCCGGAACAGTATGCACCGCATTGATGGCGCCAATGCCACCAGAAAGAAAATCTAGTTTAACTGTTGTAGCCATGGTAATTATATTATATAATGAACATATTTCTTCATAATTCGTTTTCTGTCTTAAATTATTTTTTGATTCTAATATTGACATTTAATTTCAATAAATAGGTACATGGCCATAATGATGGGAGAAATTCTCCAGATAACAGACAGAATACTTATTCATCAACAGATGAATCAACGTCTCATTCTGCCGTGATCACCAGCAATGCTAGTGATATTTTTTCGTCTGCTAGGTCATATTCTGAATTAGAATACTCTGAATCTAGTGATCTCGAAGGTTCTGATAGAATTGAACGTATTCGTTCAAAGACTGCAATAAATACTAATCGTATTCCGTCCATGTGTATTATAACACCGTCAGGTTCTGACGATGAGCAACACCAAAATAATAGCCCGCATGATATTACAGCTGCTACCTTATCTGCTGTCCTATCTGCTGTTGGTGAAGCGAACAACAACCGTAATAGTAATAATAATGATACTAGTAATAATAGTCATAAAAATGAAACAGAAAAGATTAATAATGAACAAAATAAAAATATTTATGCTAAAGTACAGAAAGCAGTAGAGGCAAATACAGCTGGTTCAGTATTAAAAGATATACAATCAGCAAAATCAAGTCAAATAAATGGAATCATTTCAGCTGATTCTGAAACTTCAGTATTGAAAAACTATCAAAATATTGATAATTCTGGCGACTATGTAACAATAGTTAGGAAAAACAATGGTAAGGCTAATCAATCAGATTATAGCCACTTGAATCGTTCATTGTATGCGAATCTTAATCCTCTCAAGAAGAATCAAGAACATCAAGATTCCGAATATGTCAGTCTGGCTGAATTGCCTAAGAAATGTGACAATTCACCGGAGAAAAAACAGCAAAAGCAACGTCAAGGTGCACGAGTCATTCTTGATTACGAAGGTCGAGTCATTTATTCATCAAATAGTCTCAAACGAAACAAAGGACATACAACTTTCAATCCAGGTTTGATATTACATACGGAATATTTTTTAGTTTTACATTCACAGTAAAATAATAATACTTTTTTGTTTCACTCCTTCAGGGCCATTTATTAAAGATACATTATCATCACCACCTGCCGTCCAATCAAGAAAAATACGAACGATAACCACCGATAAAGATAAACAGCAAAAGGAAATGAGTGTAAAATCATCTTCATTATCGTTATCATCAAGAGCTTCATCATCATCCTCGTCTTCTTCATCAACAGTTTCAGTCAAAGAAAGAAATATAGAAAATTATTGCAGTGATAATAGTAGTGATGGTGATAAAAATAAAAGTGATGTGACAAAATCAGAAAGTAATAGTAATAATAACATAAGCAGTGACAAAATGGGGGCTTCTACTCAATCGAACAAAAACGTAATGAACAACAATAATAAACAATTATTGTCTCTTAAGATTGATGAAGAGAAAAAAAGTCGAAGAGCTTATGTCAACATTCAATCTGAAAATAATAATGAAGGTAAGATGAACAGGAATATTAAAAGTTATTGCACTGATCGCATCAAATTAAGCACTGACACTAATTGCAATCAGCATCAACAACAGAATAGCCATTTGAATGAATTAATATCGCCTTCCTCCTCATTTTGTCATTTCAATAACATAGACAAGTTTAAATTGACTACTACTTCCTCTGTAAATACAAAAAGTAATGATCCTTGTTCACAAACCATATCAATTAAAAATAGCGATCATAGCATTGATGAAGTTGACAAAAGTAAGAACAGCAGCAATAATGTTCACGGTAATGATATTCAAATTGAAAAAAAATTATCTGATTCAATCAACTCGAGTATACCGTCGTGTATTGATAATGACCATTCAAATAGCTCAGGAATCTCTTCAGAACTGAGTTTAAGTTCATTTGCTAGCTCATTAAATGATGGTAAAGAGGTAGATGTAAAATCAAATAACTTCACCCATTCGAACCAACAAAGAAAAATTAAACGTAGTGATAGTTACCGAATTGCAAACACCTCTATGCTAGTTAGCAAAGATTTAGTAGATAACTTTGATAAATTAAACTCTAAGAAAATACCTAGAACACCTTCAGAAGAATTAAGAGATGATCTGTTTAAAGAAAGAATTAATTATCCTGAAAGTGTAATTAATTCATCTATCATTGTTGAAACAAACAATAACCGAAATGTCTCACATAATTTAAATAATAATAACAGTAGTAGAAATAGTAGCAGTAGCAGCTGTCAAAATAATAGTAATTATAGTCATAGTAATAACGAATCATTAATTGTACCGCGACAAATATTGTGGTGGAAACGAAAAAGTACCGAATTAGCTAAGGTTCTTAAATATTCTGGTAATGATACGGAAATTTGGTAATAAAAAATTTTCTATTAAGAAAATTAATAAAAAGGTAATAAATACTCGAAACCAATTACTTTAGTACTTAATAATTAGATCGGTTATAAAAATTGTTACTAATATATTTTTATTATAATGAATATTGAATAAAAATTTTACCAAGATCGTAACTAACAATCCCTTATCGACTTATCATACAATTGATGGATTTAAATGCATAATAACTCTCACTCAATAATAGTTTGAATTGCATCAGTCAATGGTCTTTATTCGCGTTCTAATTAAAAATCCATAATATATATATATGCGATAATAAAATCATCAACTAATGGCATTTGTATCATTTTTGATTGTAGTATAGTCATTGGTTTTACACAATTGTTGTAAATAAAGTTTGAATTCATAATCCCGTCTAATACCTGGGTATCTTGGGCCAGGAATTATATTTATTTTTAATTATAAAATTTATGTAGGTTTATTTTGTAGTTAATTTACGCTGTAATTACATTTATATTATATTAATATCAAGTAATTAATAGCGTTTGAGTAATTTTATTTAATTAATTTATCTAAGTTTCTATACGTACAAATTGTGTTCTGAACATCTATTAGCAATGTTAGCTGAACATTTTCTTTACTTAGCCACATCGGGTCAATCTCGTAAGTGATTATGTTTTTTTTTTAATCCCTTAATTGTAAAATAACTTATTAATTAATATATATTTGTATTTTTATTTTTTTTATCGGAATATACTTTTTCTATGTAGATAAAAATTTTTTTTCATTTTGAATTTTTACCTTCATTTCATCGTACCTCTTTCATACACTTGGCCATCATTGATATTATTGTAGAATCCCGCATTGCCTTTATTACATTATTCCTTCCTGATGTACAGCACTTTTTTCATGTTTGTTTTATACTCATATTAATAGTATTCATTAATAAATTGCTTGCATATTTATATAAGCTTCTTTATAGCTTGGCAATGTAAATTAATTGATATTGTGTAAATTTTTGCATATGTGTATGTGTATGTATATTTTGTGTATATATGTTATACGGTATGTAATCATTTTTTTTCATTTTTTTAAATTAGTTATTAATTCATGCTTTTTAATTCAATTTCATTTGGCTTTTTTTAATTTAGGCTAAGATGACAAAAAAAAACTATCAATATTGAAAAGAGTTTCATGCATTTAATTTAAAAACCATTCAATAAATATATACGAGGCCCCAATTATATTTTTTTACTTCAATACAATAAACTTTATTGTTTAAATTAAAAAAAAAAATTCAGATAATGAGGCAAATTACCGTTTTGCAAGCTTTTAATCAATAATTATTTTATAATAAAGAACATGATTTATTACAAAATTACGTGTGGGAAACACTTGTTCTAGCATACTTTCTTTATTATAACTAATGATTGATAACCTTGAAAGCTATGAAGATAGGTCAAATAAACAATATCTTAAAAATTAAAATTTTTAAATAGATTGAGATGCCAACAAGGTCTATTATCAACTATTCTTCAATAAACATTTCTAGTAGAATACTGATTAGAGCATGTTTAATCAAAACATCACTTGATAATAGTTAATTAGTGAGTAATTGATCTAGAATCAAAGTGCAATTAAAGCCAAAAGGTCGTTCATTACTGAAGAAAAGCAATTTCCTGTAATGAAAAATGGTTAAAATCTATACTACCGTAAGATAAAAGAAAAAAATACTTATAAAAAAATTATTTTTGCAGATAATAGATTGCTAGGTAATGATGAACATGATCATGGAGGCAATAATCACTTCATTTATTCTGAACACACTCCAAAAACACATCAGGTAACAATAAAAAATTACTAACATAATTATTAATTTTTTGTAAATCTTTTACAGTAAAATTTTTGATTGTTTTACATTTCAAAAAGTAATATTAATATTTAATGAATATTAACAGAATAAATCAACTATCGAACAAAAATCTCGAAATTCTGCACCAGAACTTTTTAAAAATTCTCAAACTGATACCAAAGAATACACAAACGGTCACAATTCCAATTCTGATCATTTGGAGCAATCTAAAAAACAGCGGCTCAATAACAGTTACTCTACCACCGATTCTTTACCAAATAGGTATAATATTTTATTTAGTCTAACTCTTTATATTCTCCCACATTATTATATTAATATAGATATATATTTATATTGTGTTATATAACTACATGATAATCTAAATAAATGAAAGATAATTATCTTTTCTGAATTTCCTTTAGAACTATTACATCGAACGCTAATGAATCAATATCAACTGACAGAAGCTCCCACTTACCAATGAATAGTTTGATTTTATCACCATCACCTCTGATTCCACAAATTGCCAAATGTACGATGTCAAATGATGAACTATTTGCTGCCATTTACAAATCTAAAAGGAAATTAAACATTAAAAATGATGATGTTATCTCAGAGCGTCAAAGACCAACGAGTAATTTGAATATGAATTTTTATAATAATAATCATCACAACAATAATAATCATGACAATGAAGCTATTGAAAATGACAATAAGATATCTGCTCAGCGTAATTGGAGATATGAACATGAGAACTTAAGTCGACCAAAGGTAAGTATTATTATATTCAAACATTGATTTATTAACGCCTATATAAATATGTATTACAGATTACTTTCTATTTATTTTTTTCTTTAATGAAATTCCTTTGAGATATTTTTCTATCTGTATTAAACTTATTTATGGCATTAATAAATTGATTAAGAATATATTAAAATAAAAAATGATAAATTTCAAACTTAATAATAATTAATACATTGATTAATATAAAACAGATTGCATCACCCAAACGTACCTCATCTAATTTAACATCAACATCAGCTTGCCTTGACTTTAAGCGACTTCTACTGCAACAAAGTACAAAAGTAAGACCGAACAACTTATCAGCATCAGAACAATTAAAATTATCATCATCATTAAGCCGCAACCATCGTCATCAACAGCAACCACAGCCTTATGCTCTTTCTTCACACTCCAATAACCGAGTTTATAGAAGTCCTCGGTCCTTCTGGAAATTCCAGATTCCTCGAAGTGACATTTTGTCATCTATAATTATTGAAGACACTGCCGCTGAAGAGAAAGCAATAAATAATTACATGAATATTTCAACAGAAAATATATCAGTGCCAATGCAAAATAATAATAATAATAATAATAACAATAATAATATTGATAATATAAGCAATAAAAAAACAGATAAAACAAATGGATCTTTGGCAGCTAATTCTAGATATTTGCATTGTATTAATAATAATACTCCAAAATCTTATAGTACGTCAGACATCTCACCTACAGATAAAGAAAATGCAGGATTAGATTTAAAAAATGTTACTAACTATCGGCAAATTCAAAATTATAGATTAAATAATAAATATTCAGACAGTACCATTTCATCTTCATCATATGCTAATAATAATCAGCTGCTACACAGATATGAATTTAGAGCTCGTTCAGCATCGCCAAGCCAACTGCCTTTGTTACCATCATCTACGCCGAAAGATAATAAAAAAGTCGTTTCACGAAGTATCAGTGCGCCTACGTTAGAAACAGCTCTTTAATTTCGACAATAAATATGGAATAAAATAGTATGTTACCTGAAGAAAAAGCAAATGAATTTTTTTAATTATGAATTGCTTGAATATGAATAAAAATAGAATTAATTCAATATTAATAATGATAAAGAAAGATATAGAATAGTTTTTTACTAAATTATTAGATGCTTGCGGAGATTAAATTATTTTTAATAGTGTGTATTATATATATATATATAATATTAAATTAAGTTGTGTAAAATTTAGAATGTCTTCAAGTGTCAGTACAATTTATGCTTTTTATTCTATGGAATTGTTAAATTTTGTATTCATTGTATGATTGCAATTTTATAATAATAAAAGTTTGATATTTTATATTGAAATAATGTTTTTTATTTTATTTGAAATAATAGATTTACTTTTTGATAAATATTTTTAAACGGCTTACTGTAGAACAAGCTCATAAAAAGCTCAACTGGTTGGTAAAGATATCAAACGTATTTTAATTAGGTATATAAAGTCTATGTAGAAAATGATTTTAAAATATTAAAAGAATCATGGAAAATTATTAGTTAAGAAAAGCTTGTCAAAGCTACTTTATTCATTGCAGAAATAGATAAAAGTAGCTTAAGCACGTGAACCAAGTACTTCTATTTTTAAGAGTAATCTTTAATGAATAAGTCACGTTGACTTTTATCCTTAGAATATTGAAAGTCAACTTGGAACTTTTGTTATCTCTTTCACACTAACTTATTATTAAAATCAATACAGTATTTATCTTCACCATTAAAATATTTAATGAGAGATAATAAGCAAAAAGTTGTCCATTTTTTAAAAAAGAAGTTTCTTTAGTAAAAAATAAAATGATTTTTTAAAATTATCATATGAAAGGAAGTGTAAGTAATAAAAATATATACTTATTTGATATTAATTAATTAATTTATTTATTTATTTAATATATATTTATATATAAGTGTATATTAATTCCACTCTAATTATTTTTATGATGCAAAACTATTGTAAATATATAACAACAACTACATATCTATATTGACCCTTTTACAATTCCATATTATTCATTCATAAACGACAAAGACAATAAATAAAAACTATAGAAGATAAAAATAATCTCATTCCGAGGGAAGATGTAATTCGTTGATAGTCTGAGCACGTTTTAGTCAATAATACATATATATTTACAGGATTAAACATAATGAATTATAACGGGATAATTTCTGAAATTTATTAGAAATATAATACATTTACTAGTCTGAACTGCGATAAAACAATGAAATAGGCAAAGATTGTTTTATCTTTCTAATTTAAAAATTCCCTTCGATAACAAAATCGTACCATTGGATACTGGTCCTCAAACATTCGATTAATAATTAAATTACTATCTCTCTCATTTGTAATTGTTTGTTTCACCTCGACAAAAAATGCCGGAAGCCGTGCCCAACCTAATTAGGCTTTTTATCTAAAATATTATCTTGTAATATAATAATTGTATATATTATAATTTATAATCATCATAATTGTGTGTACATATTATAACAATGCAATTGACTAACACGCTAAATACTTCAACACAGTGATTATAACGACAACCAACTATCAACCGAAGCTAAGCATTTAGCGCTTTCATATTTTCATTCCTTACACATAATTATTTCAACTAATAATAATCATTATCATCAAAATATTAATAATAACAATAATTATGATAATTTTAATATGAATCTACGAAAGTATCCACTGCGCGATCCTTATAATCGCTCATTCCATCATCCTTTTTTATCTCAGTCACTCAATAATGGTTCCACGGGGACTTAATTACACCAAAAACGCTTGAATAATCTATTTCATTTTTAAACACACATCTTGAATCATCAGTTAAATTTTTTTGATAATCAAATTAAGTGAAAATATATTAAAATCATTGCAATAATAGTTATGAACATAAAAATTAATGATGTTTGGTCTGGTGTGTATTCTCATTGGTACGTGGCACCGGCCAAATGAATCTATTAAAGTCTCCAGGATACCAGGGTGATCTGTCAACAGTCTTGCCAATATTTCTGGTCGAAAGATCAAAGGATCCTGCAGCGGATGTTTGAATTGTAAATACTTTCATTAGATAAGGCTGTTTCAATTATTGTCTTTCTTGTTTTGTTCATCCCTGCGGTCGCTATGATCTCTCTTTCTCTCTTTTTTTCTCTAAATAATCTTCTTACTTATTCTCACCCTTCTTTCATCTTTACTTGAATCATTATTATTTCATAGCCTTTCTTCTTATTACTTTCCCGGCCTCTTTCTCACAGTTTTATACTAGAATATTTGGTGTGGGTGTTCATTTGGAGTAAGATGCTTTTTTCAAACAAGTATCCACATTCTGAATCACTCACGCTAACGAGGAATCTCTTTGATCTCGCGAAGTTTCTTTAAGCGGCCGTGCCAACGCAAGTCTATAATGATCATAATAATAATAATAGTTTATATTTGTTCTTTACGTATTTATATTATATATAGGTTGTATATAGAATATACTTATTATATAATTTAATTATAAAGTTATAATGATAATCAACAACGACATAGTGTAGGTATGCTGTTTTATAAGAAGAGAAGAATATAGAGGAAGAAACACTTACTTAGGAAGAATGTACATTTTTGTCTTTGTAACATTAATTGGTATGAATTAGGAAGAAGCAAATTTTATAACTTTTGTAATAATTATTGTTATTTTTAGTGCACGCATCATTCATCATATCTTTTACGAACAACTAATAGCATTTATCTTTGTTATAATATTATAAATTGTACATAATCTTCATTAAGTCTGAACTCACGCATTTTAGGCCTATGTATTTCGTGAATATTAAATAACAAACAAGAAACAATAATACAAAATCAACTCTATGAAGCTTTTAATAATTACTTAGAGTGAAATTTTGTTATAATGTTCGATGTTTTTCATTCTTTTAATGTGAGTTATTATTTTGGTGTCATGATTATGGCTATACAACTATTAAATATCTTTTTTAAATTAGCTATTCATAACCATGGTAAGACAATGCATTGACTATGATTTCATTATTAATAATATTAAACATTTGTCCTCCATTATAGGCTTTGTATTAATTAACAAGGACAACTTAATACTGATACAATACTATTTTCATAGTATGTTTTTAGCGCTTTTTAATGTACGATTTTCCATCTCCATCTTCGCATTATCATCTTCAATTCCATGGCACTTGATTTAAACTTTCATTATCTCTTTAACGATGAGATGGTTTTAGATGTCATTGCCAATAGATTTAATATACGCTAGTGCATGCTGGTGGATTCATTTCACCAAACACATTGAGCTCATATAGTGAAGCGAATGTTATGAATATAAGGTACCAAACCATCAATACTGCTCCGTATTTTCGGTCAAGTTTCCAACCATTTAAATGAGTCGTCAAAACGAGAAAGACAACAGTGGAAAGCAGTGATATAGTTGAATACGTCAAGCCTAATTAGAAGAAAAAAAATAAAATCAAAAAGATGTATTTAATTAACTAATGAATAATTTTTATAATTAACTTGATGAAAAGAATAATATTAATATGCAACTTTGAAAATGTCAATAGAGAGGAAATGAGAAAAGGAAAAAGCATGGGTAAAGTTTGAAGAGTTTTAGAAGTTTGTTGGTTTAAGTAGTGTAAGACGGAAATAAATTTACCTCTACTAGTGACGTTCACATGAGATCCAGGTTGAATCATGGCAGTTTGAATGAACCAAGGAAGGCCAAGACACACCAGAATATCAAAAACATTGCTACCAACGGCATTACTAACTGCCATGTCTCCTAGACCTTCTTTGATAACAGCTAAAGAGGACAGAGCATCTGGAACACTCACACCAGCAGCGACGAACGTTAGTCCCATCACGGTATCAGGAATGCCCAGAGTACTCCCTGTTGATTCATTAAATTGATTAATTATCATAATAATTAAAAAAATTTATGTGGTAAATTTAAGCAGAAAATAGTGAAATATATCAAAATAAATGTTGATGAAACTTTATCAAGTATGACAAATTCATGTAGATAATACTAAATGTATTTTAGAGAATTTTTTGTAGAGCTTTTATGAGTGTCATTCTTATAAAATCAACCGTAAGAACCTTCTCACCAAGGTTTAAAAATCTCGGATTTAAAACTCTTATCTTCTTCCGGGTTCTTCTAATTCATATTTATATCTCTACCTTTACTCCAGATTTATGTTTAAATACTAGCAAACTTCAATCCAACAAATCAATAAAACCTAGCAGATTTTAATGAATTATTTTTTTTTTTAAATTTAATTTTACATAACTTTATGTTTATTCAACAATGTTTTCTTATATAATGAAAAAAATGATCCAACAATGAACTTTTGTATAAAAAATAAATTATTTACTTCAACTTTTCATTGTACACATGCTAATGAATTTATTAATTATTTCTTACCAATAATTGTAATCATCCAGACCATGATATAACTATAAAAACTGATCCAGATCATGGAAATACAGAACGTAAATGGATACCAACTTCGCCACTTTTCTTGTCGACAGTCAGGCATTGTCGCACGGCATGTATAGTGGATTGGATAAACTAAACCCCACTTGAATAATGCCCACTGTCCACCTTCTGTAGGTCTTTCTAATGGTGACACTTCATTTGGATCTGCTTCTTTAGCTTTGTAATACTCTGGTTGCTTTGGAGGTGGAGGCTGCTGTGGTTGTTGTTGAATTGGTTCATCTCCTGGCATTCCTAGATTATGTAAAAGAGTTTTTATTATTAAATGTTTCCAGTTACAAATATAACAAAAGTTTATCTCGATATCATATAAGCTGTCAAATAGTTTTAATTAGAAAAATGAAGTTTCAGTGGGAATAAATATGCTGTAAACAACATGTTGAAATGAAATATCAATTATTGGAATAATTTCAGTAGAAAAGTTAATTTCAATTAATATTGAATATCATACTATATTTATGTTACATAGTCTCAATGAAAATCTGTATAATTAAAAGAAATATACGGTTAATTGTACGTTAAAATAATTTTCCTCATTTTAAAGATATCAATTTATGCTAATGAAACTTCATTCCGCAACATGAGATTGATTAATGAAGAAATTTTTTAAAATACATTAATTATTGAACAGTATGGAAGCTTGATGAGTAAATAATTATGAAGAATAAAAATAAATCTTTATGCACTTGGAGTAGTGTGAGAAATTATAATTTGAAACTTTGGTATTCATTAAAACTTCATCTTTACTATAATTATTAAAAAAAAAGATTGAATTTCTCTGAGCATGATATTATATTTGTTGAACATGATCATAAAATTTAAGATTTTCCAGCAGTAATTTTTTTTATTTCACCTTTATTTTTATCGAGAAAGCACTAAAAAAATATAAACTTTGAATCTCTGTAGCAAAATAGAAAAATATACGTTCTTAAATATATTTCTCACATAAATTGAAATATCTTTTTCAAGATCTATATTTTTCATCGTGAATTTCTCTAACTTAAGACTATTTTTTTAGCAGTAAAAATGAAAACTCATTCCGTAAAGAAATAGTTATAAAGATTTCCGTTTATTATTTATTTTTCTTCAATTTTTTTTTAAACAAAAATTTTTTTTATTTATGTAGTTTAGAATTATTATTTTCCAATAATTTCAATTATTGATAAATTTAACTAGAAAATTAATTCCAAGCTTTTTTTCTTTGTAAAATTTTTGAGATAAAAGAATATAAGTTGATAAAAAATAGTTCTAATTAGTAGCTTTTATATCATGATGTTGATTCTGTTCAAAGTAAAGTATAAATGGAATTTTTTATTAAAAAATCTACATTCTATGAACGAAGATGTGGGTGTATCTGAGTAGGTGTATCTCAATATTACTTAATATGAATGCACGAAAATTAAAAATAAACAATGCAACAAATTACGTTTTAATATTAAAAAATGAATTATTAAATATTAAATTCTTAACAATCATAATTAATAAGTTATTTGAACTATATATTTATATTGAATATTTATCATGTTTTAAAGACATTGATTATTTTTAATTCATGATATCTGAGCACTTTTCAACCATGTAATCATAATAATTAATATTTTTTTTAAATATAACAAAAGGTCAGCTTGCGATAATTTTTTAAACATTTTCTTAGAAATTCTTTTAATAATAGAATAAATAAAACTGAAAAAATTTCCATGTTCTTTTAAAGGAATCTGATTATACCTGGAACCTTCATTTGATCAGTAATTGGTGAATTAGGCCCGGTATAAGACGTTCTATCCTCCTGAAGTGATCTATAGCTCACAAGAGCACTTTCTTCAGCAGGTTCATCATCTTTCGGAAGAAAAGGAATATTGTAAGACTTAGCCCAACGTTCTAGACGACTATTGTAAGACAAAACGACGCAGTAGACTGCGTACATGATCAGCATTAGAAGTGACTCTGCCCTATGAAAGAAGAAAAAACTGGTTATTATTGAGCTGTGGTGGTAGTAAGAATGTCTATAAGAGTATGTACTTTACCAGGATATTATTTCATTGTAGATCGTGCCAAGCATGACAAGAATTGATATAAAGTAAAAGAAACTGTCGCGACATAGCGGCCACCAGTTGAGCTTTGATACCGTTGTCGTGCACAAACCGCATACTGCGATAACAAACATTATATTAAACACGGCACTTCCAATTACTCCACTCACTCCAATATCATCTTTGGCAAAAAATACTCCAATAATGACTGTCGCTAATTCTGGAGCTGATGATCCAGCAGCCATAAATGTGGCTCCAGCTACGTCTGGAGTTAATCTTAGCTCTTCACAAATTCTGTCTAGACTCGAGACAAAGTAATCATCGCAAACAATTGCCAAACCCAAAAATGTATAAACAGCTACCAAAATATGGATGATAAGACCTCCATGCTTTCTAGCACTTGGACCCATTAATGGTCGAGGGAATTGTTCAATTGCTGGTGCTGAGCAATTCTCTCTTCTGGGACGCCATGTTGGATGAGCTGCCTTTGGTGATGCTGTTGTTGGTTTTACAGTCTGGAAAAATAGAATACCGCTCAATTTAAGAAGTTGAAATGTTATATTTACTTTAGTTTTTATTCAGAACACGTTTTTCCGCAATTCCTTCGTTATTTTTTACTACCAGCAGTGAAAACTAAATTGTCGTTTTTCAAGCAAGAAAACTTGGTAAAATAAAACTCTTTCTTTTTCTACTAGTCTTTTGTTAGTAGATTTTTTCTGGGTAGTTTGCGTGTTACTAATTAATGTTAATATAAAGCAAAGGTCAAATATTTGTTCATTATAAAAATCTCGAGAGTATAGCAAAAAATATATACTTGAATTGTGAGAAAAGATGTAAGCTGAAATTTTTATTAATTTTTCAGTTAAGATGTTGTAATTTGAAATCAGGTATTCAAATATCTGCTGAGTTTTATAAAATACAATAGTCATATATTTTTTGCACTTAACAATTTAGATATTTTAGAAAGCAGAATTTGACACGTTCTTGAATTACTCATGTGAATAAAGTATCAAGAGTATTTCTAAAAATAACTAAAATATTATCTTTATAATATTATTTCGGTTGTTGAAAATTTTTATCATTTTTTTTAAATACTAAATAGTCAATAAAAATCGTTGATGAAGTTTCAAATTATTCTAAATTGTTTGAAGTTACATGTTTTTTTATGCTTTCTAAAGTTTTTGAAAGTAAAACTATGATGTGCAATTGATAAGATTTTATATAATTTATACAAAAATTTTAATTCTTGTAAATACCAGAATATAAATTCGAATAGCCTAATAAAAAGCCCTTAAAAGGCACGTATAATTAAATCATTAAATATCTTTAATTAAAAAACTACAGAAAACAATTACTTTTAATTATTATATTAAAATCCAATAAGAGTTTTTATCTTAGACTACTAACTATTACCAACGAACGTTTTATCATTTGAATCTTTTTTTCACTTTTAAGCTTTATAAAATAAGGGAGAGAAACCCAAATTAGATAATTAAATTAATTTCCTCAGAATTCTGTGGTTATTCAAATGAAGTCGACTATTTATTTTTCTAGAGCTCTAAAGCCTACATGAAGTTTTTTGTTTCACTAAATTTTTCAAATGAAACGATTTGCTTTCAACTTAAAAACGAATTACTCTAAATGCAAAGAGAAGTATGCATTATCTATCATCAAAAATAATTTAAAATGTAAATGTCGATATATTTTAGCTTAGTATTGTACATATCTAATGAAGTAATAAAAAATAATTACAGTATTAACTATTCGATTATCATTTTCCTTCTTCACTGTCAGCGTTTCTTGACTTTTTGCTTTGGAAACTGGTGTCGTTGTTTCATCTTGAGGTTTCTCCTTTACCTGTTCTCTAGGTTTAGGAACTTGTGTATTTGCTTCTTCTTTCTTTTGTGCTATTGTTGACACAATTGGCTTCAATGTCGTAACTTCTGATGTCGTAACAGATTGTGTTGATGCTGTAGCTGACTGTGGAGGTAATGTTGAGGAAGAAACTATGGAAGAAGCCAATTGGATAAGAATGTAGACCAAGAAGAGAGTTAAATGTAATGGCCATTTTTGCCGTCGTGTCAGATGTCTCCTCATCATCGCTGGGTTCTATAAAAGAGATGAGAAAAAATAAATAAAATAAAAATGCCACATAAAAAGCCGTCAATATTATCAGTAAATCTCATTGTAACATAAAGGGGAAAGTGTCACGCGCGGATCGATACCATGGGTCGTTGAAGAGGGATGCCTAGAACATGAATAGTAGTTTTCAGCGGAGGAAAGCAAATGAGAACATTCTACAAATCATCGGAAAAGCGTCTTTATATGTACGTCAAATATATCGGATTCCTATTAAATAAACTGGTCGTTCTCGTCATTGTTTCTCTCTAAAGCCCGTTATAATTGTTTTATCAGTAATTACCAGTCAATCATACATAATTCCAAATAATGAATTCATTTAATAAGATTCACTTGAAGAATTATATATTTCGTTTTGTGGATTTAGTTGATATTTATTATTGTAGATTTTTTAGTATTTATTTAATTGAGATTTTTTTCTTGCTATTTACATTCAATCGTTGAGATTAAAAAATATTGTATCATTGAATAGATTGAAAAAATGTTTTGGCATTTCATTTTATCTGTACTGTTATATTTTGATTATATTTGATCTGTATTTACATGATAAATAGTAGAATATTTTTCATTCTTTAACACAAAAAATACGAATTAAATTTAATAAAATTTTTCTAAAATATTTTATAGCAATTTGTCATTACAGCTAAATCAGAAAACTAACTTGAAGTAATGAAAAACAATAATAAAACTTGTTCTAAAGACTTTTTGTCGTTGAACTTAATTGAAACTTAGTGATTACTTTAAAGTAGATGTTAAATTTGAATCATAATTAAAACAAGCCTACCTTTAATATATGTGTAATAAAAGAATCAATTTATTCATTATTTATGGATTTGCTCCAAATAAACGTCTTTTTGCTACTTTGAGCTTTGGCCAAACTACGATCGATTTTGCCCCTCCTAATAAACTCTCTTTCTTTACTTAGATTTCCAACTCTTTTATTCTTTTCGCTATATATTACTATTTTTTCACTGACGCCACGAATTGTAATTAAAAAATTCATGAACAACTTTTATTCAAACTCATATACTCTAACCTTCTGCATGGATTTTTTCAATGAAGCTATCTTTGGGTTCTAAATTTATGAAGGGAAAAAATGGAACGAGGGATAAAACCTTATAGAGAGGAGTGAGCTTGTGAAAACGAGCAACTCTCAACTACCCTCGTTTATCTAAGAAACGTTACAAAGCATTTTGATGTCAGAGGGGTGAAATTCAATTGTAAAAATTACATAAAGAAGTAGTTAACTCAATCTATGATAACTTCATATTTCATTTAATTGATTTCCTGTGGACGTTTCAAAGTAATCAAAACCATCTTTTATTAAATTGACAATGAAATAATTATAATTACATAATTTACAGCAATTATACATTGTTTGTTGCGTAACAACATCGATACTATTTTCATTCAAATGCAAAGATTCAATGTTTCTAACCCTGAAATATGGTCAACAGAAGAATTATACCAATAAATCATTTCTCACTTTTTTATATTAATAGACGTAAAGGAGAACAGATATCTCTTGAATTAAGAGCATCGATTTATATTTGAATTGAATCTCACTTATAGAAAAACGCTCAAGTATGTCGATAAATGTATTAAAAATGAGAAGAGACTCATATAAAAAATAATCTATAGGCTTAATGTCATGATTCAAAAGACTTTAATCCTGGTGATAATTAAATTACGTCAAGCTGAGCGAGGGCGAATGTTTTGAATCTTCTTTAGTAGTAGGTATGGTAATGACAAGCACCGAGTGACTGTTGAAATTAATTGGCAAGTGGTTCAACCAAAATTAGGTAATTTCAAAATCACATAAAGTTGGTGGTAAAACGGTGAAATTATTGATTTACATAAAGCCCATCCCGGGCCATTTTAATCAGTGCCTGAGACCTCTCAAGAATATAGGCCACTCACCTTAGTTAACGTTGGTGTCATTTTTTCTAGTGAATGTTTTCACTTTTGCTCTATTATTTTCCTTATTTTTACATCCAACGCTCACATGTCACTTGCTTTTATTACGTTAATTCTGCTTGTATGTCACTCGCTTTTTTTCTTTTAAACCCAACGTTCTGTACACCTGAATGTCGCGTGTCTTTCGGTGAACGTCAAACAATCTTGATACAACTGCTTTCTCACTGATTGCATTCATTCACGTATGCACAATTTAACACCGAAAAATATAAAATAAAACAAATAAATTAATGCGCACGCATATTTGTTTTTTTTTTGTTTTACTTGAAAATTTGTCAACTACTAAAATTTATTCACTTTTTAGTAATCAAATGAAAAGCCTGTCCTGGAGAATTCACTAACCGCCTGAGCTCGTAGCCGGTTCTCATACGCCTACGCTTTTCACGAAATATAATGCAGCTTTTCAAACTATCAGCACGCTTGCGCATTCATGGAATGGGGTGAAGTTGAGATACTAGTAAACGTTGGTTTTACCATCCCCTTTCTCCACCATTCTTCAACCAAGTCACAAACATTCTTTCTCTCTTGTATCTTCATTATAAACATATCTTTTATCTTCATAAAGTACTCCACGCTTTGCTACCCACCACGATTCTCATACGAAAGCCGACGTCAGCCAAATGACGCATGACATTTTGTATCCAACATCCGCCTCATGCTGGAGTCATTATCAATAATTATGCTTGATGTATTTCCATTATTACTGATAGGATTTTAACTTGTTATTTAGTCAATATTGGTCCCCTTTGGATCTACAAATATATCCAAATCGAAAAACTAAAACTTCAATGCGTTCAACTATACATTTAATGATTTGATAAAAATCTAAATAGAAAAAATTAGTTTTGTCTTTACCTACTATTTTATTTCAGTTCAATTTCAATCATGGATAGAAGTTGCGTGTGTATAAACTTGTAAAGTTAGGAGGTTATTGCATATATTTATCTAATGAAAAAAAAGAAATAACTAGTATTGAATAAACAATTAAAAGAAGCAAGTGTGGTAGTAAACATTGAGTTCATAATGAATAATTGATTCAACTACTATAGTATTTTTAAATAATTTATCACTAAATGATTGTAAATAATACAATATATTTTCACTCTTATTATTATTGTTCGTATAATATATTCATTCAAAATAACCTTATCATAAATGTTAATTTTAAATAATCATAGTTAAAGATTATTTTTACCTTAGGAATTAAATTAATAAACTAACTAGGGTTTTGATTAAATTTAACTGAATATCCACCACTATTAGGATCCTTTTCCATCTTAAAGTTTTCTGTAGATAAACCAAAAGGCTTAAGTATCATATTTCCTAAATCTTTCAGCTTTCCAAGCATTTCTTCTTTAAGTTTTTCATTCTTTTGTTCGATCAATGGTGGTAGTCGCTATAAAATATTTCAAATCGTTACATAAAATTCAATAGAAAATTTTATTAATTGACTTTTATTCAATACTCACTCTAACAGCGTAATTTGCTTCTGAATGAGCAGGATCGAATTCCAATATTTTCTTATAGTCTGCTAACGATTCATCAAGCTTGTCAGTACGTTCATATAATTGTGCGCGTCTTAAATAAGCTTTAAAATAAGTAGAATTTAATTCTATGGCTTTTGTGCAGTCTTCAATGGCAGAGTTTTCATCCTAGAAGGAAAGTTATTATTGAAATATTTGATTATAGATAAAAACCAATCAAGACTAAGAGTAATCTCAGTAATCCTTACGTTATTCTTTGTTTTTGCAGCTGCTCTATTGGCATATAAAATTGCTCTGTCGTTTGGATAAGCCAGAGGGCAGGTGAGAATAGCTTGAGTATAAATTTCAATAGCTTCCTTAAACTCTGAAGCAACAAAATGATCATTGCCTTTTTTCTTCAATTCTTCAGCTTCTTTTTTTAGTTTCTGAAAAAAAAATAGTTAAATAAATTTATTGATCATAATTGAAATCTACCATTTAAACCATAAAACTATCTTATCATTAAGAACTGAGTTAATTGAACTAATCAATAATAATTTTTACTTCTTTATCTTCATCACTCAGCTCCAACTCTCGATCCTTTAATCTTGCTTCAATTTCATCATTTTCGTTTCTAGGAGGTTTGGAGTTATTTTCTTCATTGCTTTCTTCATCAACTATCCTACATGATTCAGCGTTTGAATTTTTATCACAACTGGCACTAGAACTTTCTTTTTGTAGGTCTGATTCGCACTTAATAGCAGAATCTTTTAAATCTTTCGTTAATTCTTCAATGATTTCTTCATTTGAAGGTATTCCTTCTTTTTTATCCATTATTGTTGTGGTATAAAAAAAAATGAATGTTTTTGTACTAGCTGAAGAGGTTAACTTCTATTGCATTTAACTTGAAAAGTGAAAATATTTCTTATATAAATTGTTTTTGGATTCACTATTGAATACTTAGATTATAATTTCATTAATATGTAACTTAATATTTTAATAAAACAATTGTCTTTTATGGTAATAAATTTATTCTTTTGTGTAAATTTATCTATTTCACGCACGTAGTCATATGGTTTTGACAATTCTGTTTTACCGATTGAGTTCCATAAATCATGTCACTTCAGGTACATATTTTTTTTACTGCATAATACTAAAACGCTTTTGTTCTGCATAATACTAAGACATTTTTTCTGCCATTATAATAATCAATTTTATGTTGATTTAATAACATATCGATTTTAGTACCCTAACTGTTTTTTACATATTTGATTTCTAAAATATAAAGATTTCACTGGAAAAAAAGATTAACTGTTTGAATTTTAAAATTGTATTGCTTTTAACAGATATTGTAAAAAATTTTATAATTAAATACGAGAGGAAAATAAAATAAAAAATGATTTATTTCGGTTTTATACATTATTTTTATTAAATCGTTCAAACGACAGATTAGAACTTCATTCTATGAGGATATTGACTGCTACGTAATCCAAACATTGCAGTCAAATAACGGAAGAGCATCTTCTTATCTGGATGCTTCTTGATAACATCAATTACAAGTTTGTCGACAACTTTTTGATCAGATTTTTTTTGATCACTTGGTTTATAATCTTCCTTCTTTTTGCTGAAAATATCACCTTCTTCTTTCTTTGCACGTTTATCACGTTTCCTCTTGAAGTATTCGTCATCAATATGTTCGGGTAGTTTTACATCTTTAAGATCGAGTTTAGTTGATGTAGCAATAACATAATTTTGACTCACTCGTCGCATTGGGCAAGCGTTGATCAGGAATGGACCTAATAGAAATTTTTTTATCATTATAAATAAGTTTTTAATGTTATATTCAACATTACATGAACCTATTGAATATTTCATTAAATAGTCAATTGGCTATTTGTCAATAAATTAGCATACTGATCATTTAAAGAACTATCAAAGTCAGTAATTTAGAAAAAATTTTGAAGATTTTGCTATGGATAATAAATATATCTTTGAATAATACAAATTTTATTTGATTAGTAATTCAATTATTGAATGACACTCGAATTATTTAAAAAGAAATTCAATATCTACAGAAAAAAATAATGCTTGAAATTCTTTTTAAATTGCTGACTTTGATAATTTTGTTAATAATATCTACCAGTTACTAGAAGAAGACCACTCTTAAGTATTTTGAGGAGAACAACACGTTTTCCCTTATGACGGCCTGCTAATAAAATACAAATGGTTCCAGGAACCAATGATGGTCGGATGTATCGTGTATGATCACGGAAACATTTTTTCGAATGATGAACTGTCACTGGATCAATAGTAGGATAATTTGCACGCCTTTTCTTCAAACGTACAATTCTAGTACCACCATTTTTGTCACCGTTAATTTTTTTTTCAATTGTTATCGGTTTTTTAGGTTTAATCTGTAACATTTTATTTCAACAATGTTTTATTTGTTCATTTTGCAATTAAAAATGTTTTTTATAGTTAAACATTATCAAGGTTCAATATCTTATAATAACAACTTACGGTTTTTGGTGTTTTTTTATCGAGAAACTTGTAAATGGCTTTCTTATGGAACATACGAGTTCTGCTGAATCTGTAAACTCCATTGCCCAAGTCATAATTTCTTGGAGTACCTTTTTTCGGTGTAGCTGGAGTACTTGCAGCTTCCGCTTTTTGCGGAGCTTTTACTTTCGTGTCCACCATCTAAAACAATAAAATTATTATGGTTAACTCTAGTCGTTACACCTCAACACAGATGAGAGCAACAATTTGAGAGGTTATGTTATAAATTTATGTTTTAAATAAGTAAGTTAACACGTTTCACTAAAATAGCACATTAACATTAATAATAATGAACATTTAAAAAAATTATAATTTTTTGTATTTTTATTAAACACAAAAAAAAGTAAATGTCCAATGTGTCATTGTGTTGAATCAACAGTGTTGGGGTTATACCTATTTTTATATAAATAAACAATCAACGGATGACAAAAATATTGTTAGAAAGATAAGAAGAAACAATCAGTATTTCGATATGGATAATTATTTAAGCTTGATATTGTTTTATTTTGTAGGATTTATTGGATTTTATACGAGTATTCATCACGAGATTCACTTACCACGGATCAAACGACTTAAAAGAGATCACTAGATACTGAATTTCCCTATAGATTACTCTTCTAACAAGTAAAAAAATCCCTAGTTAGTGAATGAATTTTCAACGGATGGTAAAGAAGGGTTTTCTTATATCAATAATTTCAGGCGCGTCATTTTTTGGAGCCACGCATTTTTTAATTTCGTGCGGCGGCAACACTGATACGATTCCAATATGGCGAATGTGAGGGACAGTGATACGTCGTTGTGGCTTCATAACAAATTAGGAACGTCAAACGATAGTTGGACTGGAAGTTCTATTTGTTCACAATTAAACGCCGAAGTTCTACGAAACATTAAGGATTGTTTTCCGGACTTACAAACACAAGTTAAGCTCAAATTATTGCTTTCATTTTTTCACATACCCAGGCGCAATGTTGAAGAGGTAAGAGATTAACGTTATTTAATTAGAGCTGTAAATTATTTACTAATGATAGTTAAAATAATTTCAAAATAAATATATTATTTTTATTAGTGTTATTTATTAAACCAGTGATAGATAAAAAACGAGTATTTATGTATGCTCATAATAAAATTACTTCAAAAATACTGATCATTTTTAGCGCCATCTGTTTTGCTGGCGGGCTTTCTTTGATATAATACTTATTATGATTTCAGTGGCGTAGCGAATTGGAGGAAATTATTGAAGTGGCATCGTTGGATAGCGAATTATGGGTTTCGATGTTATCCGAAGCGATGAAAACATTTCCAGCAACTGGATCTCTTAATACAGACATTACAGATTTGGATGAACATCGTCCTATTTTTAGTGAGCTTGTCAATGACCTAAGAAAGCTATTGAAGAAACAAAATGACCCAGCGATGCTACCACTGGAGTGTCATTATCTAAATAAAACAGCTCTCATTTCAGTGGTCGGTCAACAACCTACACCTACTAAGCACTTTACACTGAAACGAAAACCTAAAAGTGCTGTTTTAAGAGCAGAATTACTCCAAAAAAGCGCCGATGCAGCAAACAACCTAAAAAAGAGTACAGCATTAACTGTTCCTGTAAGAAGTAGAGGGATGCCAAGAAAAATGACAGATACAACACCTCTCAAAGGTATTCCTAGCAGAGTACCAACGGGAGGCTTTAGATCGCCAGCACTTACACCATCCTCGATATACACCAGAACACCAATTAGTAATAGAATTCGCAAGGACGGTGGTATCAAACTTTTAGAGATTGATGAACAACCTCTAGGTTATGCTCAAGCAAAAAAACGAAAGCGAATGCTAGAATTGGAAGAACAACAGAAGAAAGTTGCAGAATCACAAAATGCTACTGCTACCACACCAACCCCAGCACCTACGGAAACTCCTGCGACACCGGAATATGCTCAAGGTCTTGCTCCTATCAACCCGCCAGCTACTCCAACTGCATCAACACCAACAACCCAATCTTATGTGCCACCAACAACACCCGGTATTCCATTACCAGCTACACCTCCGACTCGTAAGTTAATGTTCAATCAATAGATGAGAAATTATTTTTAGAATATTTAATTAATAAAACAATAATATTTTCATAGCAACTACACCTACAACTCCTACGACATCAGCTACGAGTGTTCCCGTACCTACATCTCCAACAATTGTACCTACAGAAACTACTACACCTGTTGGAGTGCAAACAGTGAGACCAGCGCAAACAGTAACGCAAATCAGAATTCAAACAACAGCACAGCCTGCCAACGCTGCAGCCAATACCAGAAAGGGCTTATCTCTTACGGTAAGAATCAATAAAAATAATTATGATTCATTTCAAATAACTTGTATTAAAATTGTCTGACACAATGTTTACCTTGGGTTTATTTTCAGAGAGAACAAATGTTGGAGGCTCAAGAAATGTTTAGAACTGCTAACAAAGTGACTAGGCCAGAAAAAGCACTTATTTTAGGATTTATGGCTGGTGCAAGGCAGAATCCTTGTCCGAAATTAGGTAATATCGTAACTGTGATGTTGTCAGAAAATATTGAAGATGTAGTGCAACCAGATGGAACAACAGTGTCAATGCTTGTTGAAACACATTTTCAAATGAATTACACGAATGGGGAGTGGAAGAGGATAAAAAAAAATCGACGAGTTGTTACAGAAGACAGTGTAAATGCAAGTGCACCAGCTCCTACTGCAACAGCTACTGCTTCAAATTAATTGGAAGATGCCAAGCGCTTTATGTATCCGTTATTTTCGGTTTCCTCTGATAGTGGAGCTACGCACATGTCACTATAAAAACGTCGAATTTTTTTTTTATATATATATATATACATATTAAATAACATTAGAATTATATTGTGGCCTAAGTGCCTATGGAATCGTGTTGTTGATAATTTATAAAAATCTGTCTCAAACACGAACCCATCAGTAACAAAGGTAGGTAAATAACTGAGACTGGATTAATAATTGAATTTAGAGATAATTTATATCTTGAAAGGTGATAATCGCTCTTGAATATATCACAGTGATTATTGTATTGATTCTATTACGACACATATTATATATATTATATATTTACATAATTAACAGAATTTAAATTTAAAAAAAAATTAAGAGTAAGACTTATAATATTGTTACGCGATCAAAAAATATACTTATATTGACTAAATTACGTGATGAATAATAATACAAATACTTAATGTAACAAAAGATGGCAGATAAAGATTTGCTTCACTTCGTGAAAATTTCGTATTGAAATTTTTATCATTTAGATATCGCGTTCCACATTGCCTATGCCCTAAAGTTCTTTTACGTTTCGGTGCAACATAACCAGGAATTGAAATGCTTGGTTCATCTAATTTTCCTGCTGTAATTAACTTGTTAAAGTCTTGCTCAATTTTATTAGCATATGGTCCCCGAAAATGCAAGAAAAATTGTATACAAGTTCCATCATGAAGAATTTTTGTCTTTCTACTGTCTATGGATATCATCCATTCTGGAATACCCATAACGTGTCTTACATCTTCTAAAAACTGAGCTCTAAAAAAGAAATTAAATATTGTAATATTGTTTAATAATTAATTAAGTTGTTCAACTTACGTAACAAATTTTGGAGGCTTCTGAATGTTAGCATATTTTACAATGTCATAGTCAGGTTCAATAGTGGCACAGGCAAATTTTCGCGAGCTAAAATCGTGATCCATAATGACAATAGATTTGCCTATAGCTGATACTGCACCTTCTAATGGAAAGTTTGCATCTGCAAAAACTCGACGCTCTAAGCCAATATCTATAGGACCAAGTCGTGCAGAGAGATCACCGACATGGCAACGAAGAGGTTGATCAGGACCACATTCTTGTTTATAAAGATCTTCCTACAATGGATAAAATTTTTATATTTAGATTTATTAGTAAAATTATTGATTTACTATTTAAGTGTTATTAATATAAAAAAAATATTTACATTTAATGGATCTGCTAATTGCGTAAAATAAGGATTCCAAATATATCCTCCCGCAACACAACGAGTATCTTGAGTTTTTACTATTGCATCTACTCCTACAGGATTAACGAAAATCGCCCAGTTATGATTCCTAGTCTAAATGTAGGTTATTATTAATTATAAAATAAAATCAGTAATATTATATTTTGTTTTCATTAGTTAATCTTACTTACTATATTTCGATCATGATCACCTGGATGTCGTAGCTTTACTTCAATTATTGTGTCACTTGGGCTACCATCTTTGTATATTAATTGTGTCTAGAAGTTAGAACAAAATCATAAATAATTTCTATAATGTACGTAACTTAATACTTACAAAATAACGATTTTCTTTTTCATTTTTAGTAATTAAAAAAAATTTACCATTCTTATATACCCATAAGCAAAACCTTGAGGATGATGAAAAGAAGCAATAGCTCTTAATTCTCTAGCTTCTGATGGTGCATATCCTCTTTCTATCGTTGAACAAGCCCATCTGATATTTCTATGTTTTTTCTGAATTACAACACTCCTTCCAATAATGCTTTGATACCCAAATAACGGAAGTGAAGTGTCATTAAACGTAGCTAAGTATCTTTTCCGGTTATCTAAAGTACCAAACTTTCCACTTAAATTACCTACTTCATATTGATCAACTGTGCCTTCTCCTGATGGAGGTAAAGTAGTCTTTGTAACATTTGTTGGATTGAATATATCATACAGAGACGTTGCTTCACACGGAAACTCCAAATCCATTTCAATTGGCGTCATATGAATGTGATAGGTACTAGCTTGACCATTTAATCCCTCCATCATTACTTCAATATCAGTTACATCATACTCATTCTGTTGAATGAACTCTAATTTGCCTCTAACACCTGTTTCTTCACTATTTCCAAACCAGTCTTTGGCAACGGCTTTTCTACGGTAGACTCTGCCAATTCTAGATAGAGTAAATAATCCGAAAATAAATAAAATGACATAATAAAATTGAAATTCACAAATTAATCAATTTGTATATAATTCAATGATATTGAATGAAAAATTACATTGTACAAGCCAATCTTTCTCCTCGAGCTACTGGTCCATGATCATCATAAATAACTAAACTTTTTCCCAAGATGCTAAAAGGGCCAGACAAAGGTAAAAATGGATCTGTAAAGAGCTTTCGCGTTAATCTGGATCCATTTAGTTTTTGTCCAGCAATATTGAGTGTTCCATGTCTCATTAGATCACCAAGACGACAGAGACTGATTTCGTTACTCGAACACGGCGTAGGATGGGCAGGATTCCATTCGATCTTGTGAGGGTTGTATGGACTTCCAGCACTTAAACATCTTCCTGTCCAATTATAGTAATCCTTACCAGGTGGCTGATCATGTATCATCCATCTGAAATCCGAGCAAAAATTTTAATTAAAGAAATATTCAGGAATAGAAAATACAATGAGGAATGGAGTATTGATGTTACCGATGATCAGCAGAATTATTGAGAGCACTTCCATCCGAATGAATTAAGTTCTCAATAATAATCGTTGTATCCATGTCGGGTTCATTTTGAGGCTGACGAAAAATAATTTTGCCAACGATTGGATACCTAAAAACTGCTTGGGCTGTCAACATTGGCATTCGTCCAGCAGTTTGTGATATTTGATGAGCTATCGTTCCGCATACCCACGGAATTATGCCTTTATTGTCAGTCTCATTATACCTAGAACAATTTGAAATATAATAAGAAATGATGAAAAAACATTTTTTAGTTATTTTTGTTTATTTTACAAGGCGACGAAAAACAAACTACTCTCAAGCTATTTTGAAATATTATTTTTTGGTTTCTAATGTTATAAACAAAATATTTTGATAAAGTTGTTTCCTATTCCTCGTCTTTTTGCCAAAATTACTCAATCACAATTTTAGTATCATGAATACTTGAATTAACTTACTTGTGTAGTACCAAAGATCTATGTAATATAGAATAAACTCCAGATAGTGGCAAAAATGTATCCCAATAAATTCCACTTAGCTTAGCACTACCCGGAAGAATATCATTATGATGAGATCCCTCTTTACGACCTTGAAGCTTTCCGGACAAATCACCTATTGCATACTGATCTTGAGTACCTAATCCAGATGGAGGTGTAGTTTTTTCATCAATGTTAGCAGGATTGTACAAGTTTTTAGTAGTCTGACACTCTGCTCCTGATTCTAAATTAAAATTCTGTGGTTCTCGAGGCAATTCATGAATTTTATATGCTGCAACTTTTGTTTCATATCGAAGTCTGGTTTCTAGATCATTTACAGGGCTAAGTGAGACGTTGACCCAAGTGACATGGAATGGTGTTTCTTGAGAGAATGTTACTTCTCCTTTTATTCCTCGTGAGTTAAATAGACTCCTTTAAAGAAAAATAAGTTATCACAAAAGCTTGATAAGAAATTTTTTAAAAATCTTTTACTTACTTTGCAAGAGCTACTTTTTGGTGTTTGATTTTTGCACAAGCAAGGACAGAGTCTGTATGAGTTGGATGAAAAATAACCAAATACAAAGATCTGTAAGATCCCAGAAGATCTGCTGGTAAAAGAGATATCACTGGATCTCTGTAAACAGCTTTAAATTTGTTTTTTGTGTCTGTAGATACTTTTACTTTTCCTAATCGAGAATCAATGTCTCCTATGGATTTCCCAGTACCAGCATCATCTGGATCGAAAACTGTTTGAAGAATATTACAATTGCTTCTATCCTTAACAGTATCAAAGACATCAGTTACATATATCTTCCAATTATGATCAGTAAAATCAACACCACGAAGTTTTTCATTAGACGTGTGATACAGATCAGTATAGATCAAAGTGTCTGTTGTGGTATCTCCAGCATTCCCCCCTAGCCATCTAAACCAAACTGACCCTGCTATAGACCCATGAAAACGAGCTTCGGCATTTTTTTCAGCATTTTTTTCAAGGACTGTTATTGAAGCGCAAACTGTTCTAGATGAATAGGTGTCTTTGAGTAACAATCCTTTGTTCCAGAGTCCATTTTCACCAATCAAGCTGACATTTGGGACCTCGACAACTATTGATTCATTGCCAGGTAAACTTAGAGGACCTAGAAGGTCTGTGAAGTCAATCAGCCTGATAAAAAATATTTATTCATTAATTTAAAGAATGGAATTACCCTAGTTTTGGAGATGTAACTTTTTAAATCATTAATAAACTTAAAATACCCAAAGAAATTTTGTAAATATTTTTTCATAACAATTTTCCCTACAAAAATTACTCAAATGTAAAATCAGTGTCTAGAAAATTGCATCAACAATAATCAAGGTTATTAAATTTCACTCTATTTATAGTTATCATGATATTGTTCTAAATATAAAATATTAATAATTAAATTCTTTCGAGTTTTATAAATTTTTAAAATAAATTAATGTCTTACTGTTTGCCTAGATGTTGGTTAACACATCGATCTTCAATTTTTCTGTAATCTACTGGGAATTGAGTGACAGACCAAAGCCATTGCTGATCAGGAAATTGTAAAGTAGTATGTAAAGAAGTCCTGAGGATAATTGAATTTCCAGGACCTTGTTCAAAACGGATCTCTCCATGAAGTCCTCCATAAGAAATGTAAGCAGCAAGTCTTAAGGCATTTCCAGTGCTCACTAAATAATTGAAACAATTATTGTTAATTTTTACTACTACTTTCTTGATTTTATTTACATCTTAAGCAGGCATTCCTTCGCTTAATTTAACACCATTCTCCCAGTTACACTTATATTATTCAAAAATAAAAATATACTTTCTAAAAATAGTTCAACATTTTTTTGTTATTTTTAAATTTTAATTTAAAGATCTTTAAATATTTACCAAACATATAAATCAAAAACCACCACATATCCGTATGTTTACACTAAGTCATGATTAAAAGCCACAGGTAAATAACAGATTAGACACCTTCTAAGAGTATGAATATAATACATTCATCAATGATGGTTTCTTTACTTTCTCTCTTGGGCCTTCTAAGTCTGTCTCTGATAGTGGGGGAAGTTGGGACATTGGGAGTAGAAAATCCCGTTATTCACCGGACAGGATTCTTTTATAGATATATTGAAATAATTTTATATCACGTCAGCATATCGATAGTCAAATTTTTTCTCATATTTATTTTTTATTAGTTGATATTTTTTATAGGAGGTAAATAACCTCACTTATTTTATAAAATTGCTGTTTCTATCACCTTAAATATCTAATTATGACTCTCAGACAAATTGATTCGTTCGTTGATACCTTGAGATCTATGGTAACTCTTGATGGCGTGTCTCAAATTCCCCAAAAGACATTTGAGTTGATGACTAGTTTTAATGGATGGATGAGAAGAGTAGCGTAATGATTTAACCAGTTAAAAGTTGATGCTTAAGTTAAATTAAGAACAATATTTTTAAAGAACTAATTTCATAGGCATGTCAGTCGACAAGGTTGTATTAAAAGACTAGAAAAAAGGCATTTCCGAAGACATGAGATTAAGAAAGTCATTAAGAATCGTCGTCATAAATGTTGCTGTAGAAAGTGCAAGTAAGGTATCAATTTTAAGATGATATTTAAATAAATAAAACACTTTTTTTTTATTAATTAGAAGAAAGCTAGCTACAAAAAATGTAAAACCAGATCTTTTAGCCAACATGGCGTATGAGCTTCGAGTATCTCAAGAAAAGCCTTTAATAGTTGAAGAAACGATAAAAAAAGTATCAGAAGAACCTAAAATCCATCGAGAGGGTCTAGAAAAACCTCACGAATATACTTTACGTCATCGACGCCATCATCGTCATCAGCATCAGCCTAGGCCTCATGCTCTTCCTGTGATTCCTCACCAGGATGGCAGATATCTGTACTTAGCAATATTTTTCTTCTACATAATACTTACCTGCGTAACATTCTTAATGTTAAAATTTACTTTCAATATTGATTGGCTTTTTCAATGCCGATATACGAGTCTTTTACGAAGAACAAGAATAAAGTGTTGATTAATTTTTAACTAATGTCTCTTGTTCTTCCTCGATTAAAATATCTGAAGGATAGAAATAAATATTAAATGATTCAAAGGCAACAATCGGACTACGTTGGACAGGCCTGGTGGACTGACGAGAATTATCAAGTGTTTATGCCACCGCTGATTCAAAAGCTGTCACTTAAACCAACTCGATCTGAATGTTCATCGATATCTGAATTTCGTACTGGTAGTCCAGTGATTTCCAATCATATACCATCATTAGGGTGCACATCAGACTCTAAAAACTCTGACTATAAGTAAAAACAAAAATAAAGGAATATTGTAATACAAAAATAAACACTCGTTTTTTATTATTCCACGTTCTTTTTAGGTCATGCAGAGATGGTCCGCCTTCTTGCTATCATTTAAACTCTAAATCAGATGCCAAAATTCCATCAAGTCCAACACTTGGGTAAAATAAACAAACCTTATGATAATAGTTTAAAATAAGATTAATTGCTAAATCAATTAAATGTCATCGAGTAATGGTCTAAAGTCGTTTCAGTAGTTTGTGGTTTAATGAATCATAGTTTATAGTTCTAGTTAACGTTGATGTTGAACAAGTTGTCATAAATAAACACCTACACTACTAGAAAATAGTACTATGCTGATTTAATGTAAAATGCAATAGAGTTTTGTACTCAATTGTTATCAAAGAAACTTAGGTGGATCAAAATAGACTGGTGCTTAAAGAGGAACTGGAAGAGAGTGTAGGTTAAATAATCATGTTTGTCATTATTGTAGAAAGAAGCCAGTGGGAAGAAGCGCATCGATGCCACTGGGCCAAAAGCCAAGGGAATTGCAAGGATTGCAAATGGCAGCCAAGCGGAAGCTAGAAAAGAAACGACCTGTTCGATCTACTAGCCACACTACAGATAGCTTCAGCAACTGCGTCAAGTGTTCAAGGATTGTGTTTAGGAGTTTTAAAAAAATGACTTGCTAAATAGCCATTCATTCATGATACTCTTTTTAAATGAAAATAAATCATCAAGAAAATTTTCCAGTTTTAATTCACATTCAACCTCATTTCTATATGTATTTCCTTGTACAAACGAAAGAATTTTCTATTTTTATCCACCACGTGTTTGTTTGGGGGATTATTATAAAGTAGACTAGTGTTACAAGACCTTTAAAATATAATCATTAGTAGACAGTAGTTATTTATGGTTTAAGTGTAGTTAAGTAGACAGACGATATTCTTGATATGAGAGAGGAAGAAATGCTGCTCATCAGTTGACATGTTCCCTTGCAAGGGCACCCTTGACTTATATATCCGAGAAGTCAAATAAAATAAGAAAGAGCATGGGTAATCGTCAGAGTCCGGCCCTCATCGTCATTGCTCCAATGTCCCAGCATACCGTTTTAGTTGAAACGAAACGTCGTAAAGACGCTATTTTGAGTCGACTCGCACTAAATATGGTCAGATGGGTGCGTTCGGGTTGTAGTGAACCAGGCGGAGCATCCCCTGGTTGACTTGCACCACATAGTGGGGGTAGCACACCCGAAAGTTACTTAGATAAGTTCAGCTCTATGACTTGGACAGTTGGTTCGTTTGTAACCATCTCGTAACATCCACTTTAGATATCAACTAAATAATCATGGTAAGTAAATAGCAATCAGCACTAAGCTGAATAATAAAAGTGACATGAGCGATAGGATTCAATGTGCCAAGAGTGATGGTGAATGTGTTAAAGTGAATATTTGATTTGCTCTTCTTCATTAACTTCTTCTTCTTCTTGTTCAGACATTACACATTCATAATCTTATTAAAATACTTAAGTGATCGTGATATTTAAATAAGATAATTATTGTAAAAATAAATACTTTGAATTACGTAATACCGGTAACTCGAGAGGCTGTAGCGAGGCGGTCTATATACGTCCCGGTAGGTTTGATGATTACAGCAAACGGGATACTATAGAGACCTATTCTTAGGTCCTAGCTCAAAGACGCCCTCCTAATTTTCCGTAGCATCTTAGTGTATCCGTGTCGGTTCGTGTGACTCCAACGGTTCGCTCGCTTCTCCGTTGGCACTTGAATCAGATTGACTCGATCGCTCGTTGACACTAGTCTTCATTTTTAATTCGTTTACTTTTTTGATTTTAATCTTCAGTAAAGATGGTCAGTGAACATTGTTTTGATTTTAAACAGTGATAATATATTTATTATTCTATGGAATATGGATCAATTGTTTTTTTATTACTTTAGGCGGATAAAGAAAAGAAGAAGAAGACTAAAAAGAAGGAGGAAGCACCAGCAGCTGAAGCTGCTCCTCCTCCACCAGAACCTGAACCTCCAAAGGAAAAACCAAAGAGTCCTTCAGCAACCCCCACTGGATCTGCTAGAGCGAGCAGCCGTGGATCCAAACGCGCTAAGCGTGCTGGCTCCAGCGTATTTTCTATGTTCTCTCAAAAACAAGTTGCCGAATTTAAAGAGGTAATACTTGCATTTGATAATGTATTTATAAAGTTATTTTTATGCTGGCTATTAAACTATTTTTGATATTTTCAGGCCTTCCAAATGATGGATCACGACAAAGATGGTATCATCGGTAAAGAAGATCTTCGTCAGACCTTTGATTCAGTCGGTCGTCTTGCTACAGATAAAGAGTTGGATGATATGCTGGCTGAATGTCCTGGACCTATCAACTTCACGCAGCTTCTCACCCTCTTCGCCAACCGAATGTCGGGAGGTTCGTACGAGATAATCTTAGAGAATAACTCTACGTGACGGGTAAGGGTCACGCAGGCGTAAAGGAAGCTATAGATCTGAGGAGCCAGCACCCTTCGTGGTATCGGTAAAGTGAAGAAAAACATCGTCTAAAAAGAAGAAGACTAAATTATTTAGGCTATAATTAGATTTAAAATCTGTGTCGAATGTCAATGTTACCTTGATTTCGTGAATCCCTCGTGTTTTGGAATGTTCCAAAAATATTTATAAAGATCCGAAATCCTCTTGTCTCCCCTAATTGGATGTCAAAAATCTGTGTTAAATTATCATCCTTTGCATTTGAAGAAAATTTCATGTTTTTTCCCCCAAAATTTTGATCTTGATAAACAAATTGCATTGAATTCCTATTTGGATGAATCGAATGGTTAAAATCTCGTGACTTACTAGTGTTCAATTGGTGAAATACTGTGAATTAATCGAACGTAATTACTCCTCCCAATTGCGTGTGTGCGAACGTGTTTCGCCCTCGCCCCTGGCATTGCTCTATGTGTCTTCCAATACCTTCCTGTGTGGCCCTTACCCGTTCATTGAGACTCACTATGCCTCGTTGGCGATGTTACAGCAGGATCGGATGAGGACCAAGTAGTTATCGATGCTTTCGCCACCTTCGACAAAAATGGAAAAATCGATGGAGACAGGTGAACTTACAATACCAATACCATGAGTTAATTCAGTTGAATAAATTATTGAAAAAAATATATATTAATTGATTTTTCAATTTTGAACAGGTTGAGGCACGCTTTGATGACCTATGGCGATAAATTCACAGCTAAAGAAGTGAACGATGCTTTCGATAACATGTACATTGATGACAAAGGCATGATTGACACTCCCAGCCTTATTGCCATGCTCACTGGAGCCGGCGACGATGAAGACGATTAAGCTGAACCTAATCATTTCATCACTGTCAATTCATTGAAGCTGAACCTCGTTTCATGGCAGGCCTGCTCATGGACTCTTCTACATTTCCCCATCCTTACTATTACAATAAAATTATTTCGAAATAAAATAGTTGGAATTTTAAATCTATCCTAAAAGATAAATTTAAACAATTGACTTATGTAATGGTTTATTGCAAGATAAGAATATGTTGTTTTTCTATATTGGCATTACTCCAAATTGAAAATTTACTCTCAGATATTTGACGTTGTTAGGGAAATTATTAATCAATCTTCACTTGTATAACTGAGATATTGAATAACTTTAATGAAATATGCCTTTCTCTTACTTAACATCAATTATATTTTTTATAGAAATCTGTTAATGTTTAATTATAATAAAATTTAAATTAATCAATTATCTTTCGGTGGTCGCTTGCCAAATATTGCACTGCCTACTCGTACATTTGTACTCCCGAGTTCAATCTGAAAGGATAAACTTATTTTAATAAAATGATTATTTTATTTTTTATAGTTTATTCTTAACATATTGACTCTGTTGAGTGTTTAAAAGAAAATGTAGACACTGAATTAATTGTTTTTCTTGATGAATTTCAGTTTACTGGATTATTTTCAATCTAATGAATTTATTAAAATAAACAAAATGGAAATAAAATGCTGAATATTATTTTTGTTTCTTTACTTACTGCATGTTCATAGTCAGTAGACATACCCATTGACAACTCTACCTCATCTTTATTAATGTTCAATTCTTTACAAATATCTTCTCTGCATTTTACCAACGATAAAAAATCTGGATTAGGACCATTAGCAATATCATATCCATAAGCACCTATAGTCATAATTCCTACAAATTTGAGGTTTTTACAATTTTCTATGACATGCTTGATAAGAGCAGAAGCATGTTCAATATCACATCCACTCTTTTCTGTAACAAAATATACAATGACTTGCAGCTTAAAATTATCTCAAACCAATTGCTGTTGAAGATTAAATCAACAAATACCTTCTTCTTTACTGGTATTTATTTGTACCATAATATTGAGCTTAGAGCTGTCTTCTTTCCTAAACTTCTGCCAAGCAGTATCTACAGCTGATGCCAATTTATCTGTATCGATTGTTTCAATCATATAAAGATTTGGAACCGCTAAAACCTTGTTAACTTTGTTCCTTTGAAGATGACCGATAAAATGCCAATGGATATCTTTGGTAATTAATTCAGGATGAGAAGCTTTTTCTATCAGTTCGTTAACATAATTTTCTCCAAAGTGTTTTTGCCCAGCTTCATAAGCAGAAAGTACAGAACTTGCAGGCTTCGTTTTACTGACAGCGACAAGTCTTGGGATAATATTTTTAAATTCCTAAAACATTTGATAATGGTAGAATCAAAAAATAGTCAATAAAAAAATGTTTGAATATCATTAAATAAAATAACAACTGTTACTTACCGGCGAACGTCGAGCACAAGCTTGAGATATTTTCTCTTTAACAGCTTTTAAATTAACAGCAACATCCATCATTATTTTCATAACATTAATTATCAGAAAAATTTGATATGATAGCTAGTAAAAATTGTTGAGAAATATCAAATAAGCTTCAATGAATACTTCTTGTATACTTGACATTGACTGAACTGATTTATAGTAGTCAGTAAGCTTTAAATGATAACAATGAAATAAATGATGATGTATTGAGAATATCAGATAAATTGTTATGCTATATAAACATTATTGTTATTATCAACAATTGTAAATAGCGTCTGTAAGGATAGCTCACTTTAAGAAGAATAATTTGGCGTCATCTGACAATAAAAGCATAAACTTCGTCCAAGAAGTTTATGATAAATTTTTTTTGTAAATAGTTTAAAAAATATAAATAAAGAAACTATGAATATTGAAGTATTCTTATTAATAAATAAAAAAATAAAGAAAATACTCTGTTATGAAGTTCAATTATTGTTTAATTTTTTATACTAAAAGTAATATTTTATTTATTATCATTAATAATAAGCTAATAATTTTTAGATTTTTTTTTAATAAAGCTTAACTTTACTTATCTGGGTTATTAAAAGAAATGAACAATAAAAAAATTAATAGCATTTTCCAAAAAGTGTCGAGTCTTTATCAACTATCTTTATGCTGCCATTCGAGCTGATTGTTGTAGTTTATCTAATTTTTCTCGGTGCTTTTCTTGTTTAGTATCTAAATCGTTGATTAGATTATCAACCCTTTTCCTGAAAGCAAAAAAATACATAAATTTTTTCTGATAAATGAGCTAAATAAATAATAAAGACATAATTTGAATATTACAGTTCATTGGTGATAAACTCGATACGCTTGTTGACATTTTGTTTAGCCTCTTCTAAATCTTGTTTCATTAATACTGGACCGATTAACTTGTAAACTTCATTTCCAGGTTTTAATAAATATAATTCATCCTTTACTGCGGTTGTTTCGTTTAATTGTCCATCTAATTGTTGACGGTTAATCAATGCCTTGTGATACTCTGAAAACGTAAGAATTTTATGAATTAACTAGATTATGAAAGTTATATGATAGAATTTTTAGATTTTCGTTAATATTTAAATAAATATAATTTCATTTTTTACAATAAATTCAGTTTAATTCGAGAAAGTAAGGTTACCTTGTTGAATTTGTTTGAAAGCTTCGAATTCAGCTTGCATTTTCTTTTCAACTTCTTCCATTTTTAAATAAATCTACTTTTGTATATTGTTTATAATTTATTTGTTACAAAATCTTTCAGAAATTTTTTAATTTATTATTTATCTATTATTATTGAAAGACTATAAATGGTTGTGAGTAAAGTTAAAATAAATTTTTCTTTGTACTATTGGCTACACTGTCGACCGGTATAACTTGAAGTAACACAACAAAAGTGAATACTTACACGTTTCTAAAAAAATAAAAAAATATATTTATTTAGTTTTTAAAGTAATTAAATAATTATGTTCTGTGTAATTAAACTTTGAATGAACAATTAAAGGTTTGTTTAAAAAATATTTAATTATCTATAATAATAATTATGAACTTCTCTGTATTTTACAATAAAAATATATATTTTGTCTTTTTTCTTTAAATAAATGAAAATTTGATCGTAAAGAATAAATTGATCTTTTGCATAAGACATTTACAACATATCGTTTCTTACATTGATTAAAAAAATATTGAGTATTAAATACGAATTTCATTCTCACATTTTCACATACACAATATTCATAGCACACTTAAAACCATTTGTTCGAAGGTAGAATTACTAATTTTCATCGTTACACGATTGATACTATCAAATAAAATATTTGCTTGTAAATTATCGGGTAATTTAATAAGAAATTGAGCAGTATGAATAAAATCCATAGTTAACAATTGATCATGATAAAGATGCATAATTCCTAATGCTGTTCTAAATAAAAATTCATCACCATCACGAATAAAAATATCCCATATACGACTTGCAACATCTAATGGCATTGCTTTTGCATATATAGTAAATAACCAATCTAATAAATAAAAATCCGGTGTCAATCCATTGGATAAAAAATGAGAATGAATTTTTGGAAAATTCAATAATAACAATTCATTATAAACTCTGTAATAAATATTCATTCTGTCTTGATTCAATGAGTATGCAGCATTATGACATGGACTGTTTAATAAATTTGCTAAACAAATAAAAGCATCATTAGGCTCCATGTTGAGAATTAAAATAGCACCAATGAAACTCATGCCTTGAACATACCCTATATCGGGCTTAAAAACACAATATGCTCCTAAAATACTGTAAAGAGATTCAAAAAGAGGACCATCATCTTGAAAAACACGTAGAGTTGGGAATGTCCGTGATACATCAAGCTTTATGGCAATTAATTCATTGGGATTATCTTCTAATTTCTTAAGACACTCTTCATATACTTTTTGAGTAATGTTCAGATTATTATTTATTCCTAATCTCCAAACTCTGCCTCTGATAGCAGATGGCAAGCCTCGCCACCATAACTCATGAACTTCTCGAGTATTTCGGAGTATTTTAAAATTTGGTAAGATACGATTGCACCATATTTGTAGATCAGATGTCAGTTTCTCTTCCTCTTTACGTCTCAACTCTCTTTCTTTTTTAAGCTTCTGTAGTTCTCGTATTTCACGTCTTTTAATGGCCTCAACGATAGCTTCATGCTGCTTGCGATGTGAGTCTTCTTCAGTTGGATTTTTGGCCGGCAAATTTGATGGTCTTGATTCTTGAATTAGTCCTAAACTTCCACCAATTTTATCCGTTAATAAATTATTTCGACGTGGCGAAAATATACTTTTTATAAAATTTACACCTGATGAATTCTCATCATCTGACTTGTCAAACATAATTTCATATTTTCTCACGTTATTACACTGTCATTTGCTAATGTGAGCTTTCATAAATACGTTTAGTAATTTATGTTTACTTTAAAAATAGAAATTAAACTATTTACAGAAATTTTAAGTTGTGTATTCAAACTGTTTATGTATTGACTGTGATAAAGTTGAGGTTAATTTTAGTTTTCTTGGAGTTAGTGTTTATTGAATCTAGAAAAAATAAAAATTTATTACTCATCAGTAGAAATATAATTAGAAGTTATGTAAGAAAAAATAATTACGTGTCATTGTCGATGATAATTATTGTTATTAAATGGACAAAAAATTATAAAACAACATAACTGAAGTTGAAAACTATGTCAGATGACCTAATTTACCAGATTTACAGTTCACAGGCTCACATCCTATGTACGCAACAGTACGTAAGAGAAGAAACACACATTCTCTTTTATTACCACATGACGTTAACGCAATTACCATCTTCAGTAGATTAAAATAATGCAGGAAAAATTTATTAAACAATTGTAGAATCTTTCTTTCTGTGAATATTGATTATGTTTAATTGTTTTAAAAGAAAAAAAACAAAAGAAATTATCATTAAATACTGAAAAATCCTATATTCAATTTAAATTTCGATCAGAGATATTGATGTTTTATAACAAAATAATATTTTTAAACTATATAGAATTTATTTTACTGCAATATTTTAGTTTTTTAATATTCTTTTATTCTCATCAGAAATTCCATAATATTTTTATGGATTGTATTTCAAGTTTTTACAATCATCAAAGGAAAAAGAATTCATTTGTTAAGACTAGTCTTAAAATGGCACATTGTTTACGGTGGATTTATGTAATATGTTTTTTCATCAAAATATAATGAATTTAACTATTTTAAACAAAAATAAACAACATTATTGAGCAAATGATACATTATGTAAAAATTGAATATTACATAAGTCTTAGTTGGATATGATTGTAACTTGACATTTTTAACAATTATTTATCAAGTATATAATAATTTATATACGTCATACATATTTTTCAGTTGAAAAGTAGATATTTCTAAAAATACTCACATATTTCTGATATAAATCTTATGATAATATTATCGCAAGGAATTATTATCTTTGATTTGCAATTATATTGTCAATCAGATAATTCTGGTGTATTTGTATCGCAAATAATTAATTTAAAGATCAAGATTGCCAATGCATACGTATTTCATATCTATGTAATCATCAATGCCATGCTTGGAGCCTTCTCTACCTAAGCCTGATTCTTTGACACCACCAAAAGCTGCTTCTGCACAAGAAATTAATCCTTCATTGACTCCAATCATACCAACTTCCATTTTATGGGCAACTCGGAATATTTGAGATAAATCTTCAGAGAAGAAATATCCTGCTAATCCAACATTTGTACTATTGGCATCATCCAAAACTTGGTCTTCATGTTCGAATTGATGTATCACAGCAACTGGGCCAAATATTTCTTTATGATAAATATCCATGTCTTTAGTGACACCAGTCAATACTGTAGGAGCATAGAATAATGGTCCTAAAGTGTCTAATTTCTTCCCACCACAGTGTAATTTAGCTCCTTTCGCTACTGCATCTTCAACTAAATGTTCAACCATTTGTATTTGACTTGCTTTGATCAAAGGTCCATGAGTTATTCCTGTTTGCAGACCATCACCTAACTTAATATCACGGCTTATTTTCTCTATAAACTTATCTACGAATTCTTGGAAGACTTTATTTTGTACGTAAAATCTATTAGCGGATACACAAGTTTGTCCAGTATTACGGAACTTACAAACCATCGCTCCATTAATAGCTAAATCAATTTTAGCTGAGTTAAAAACGATGAAAGGTGCATTCCCGCCTAGCTCTAAACTTAATTTTTTCATAGTGGAAGCACATTGATTGTATAAAATTTTTCCAACTGCTGTAGAGCCTGTGAAAGATAACACCCGGACTCGAGCATCATCACAAATGGCTTTTCCAACAGATGGTGAATTTACTGTATTAGTAGTAATAACATTTAATACACCGGCCGGGAATCCTGCTTCTTCTGCTAGCTTAATCAATGCTAATGCTGTAAGTGGAGTATCCTCTGATGGTTTGATAACACAGGTGCATCCAGCAGCTATTGCTGCTCCGGCTTTACGAGTTATCATTGCATGAGGAAAATTCCATGGAGTTATTAAAGCAGAAACGCCGGCTGGTTGTTTCAAAATCATCAGTTTACGATTTGATAATGGAGCTGGAAGTATTTCTCCATTGATTCGTCTCGCTTCTTCAGAGAACCATTCAACAAATGAATTGCCATATTTTATTTCAGCTCTGGACTCTGCTAATGATTTTCCATTTTCTTTAGTAAGTATTTCTGCTAACTCTTCAGAATGTTTTACCATTAAATTATACCAAGAACGTAATAAATCACTCCGTTCTTTAGCTGTAGTCTTGCTGAATGTTTTAAAAGCTTTTGAAGCCGCATCTATGGCTAATTTTGTGTCTTCTACATTCATATCCGGTACTTGTGCTATTACTGACTGGTTTACAGGATTCAAAACATCGAACTTAACACCACTCATTGCTGGTACCCATTTACCATTTATATAACCCATATTTTTCAAAAGACTCATGTTGCGAATAATTTGTGCGTGTTTGAAATGTATTAAAAATCTCTTTGAAGTTAACATTTTATGACTAGTTGTTTCTGATTTTACTGATTTGTTTTGTTAGTAACCTGGAATAAAAACGATTGTTAGTTCATAAATATTGGGTAAATTGTTACGTTCAAGTTGATAAAACAATGTTTTTTTCTTAGTCAAAGCTTAAATAAATAAGTAGCGTATGAAGTATACATTTCAATGTTTAAACAATGATACAAGCAAGAGTCTTAGTCCATCATTACCAGTATTTTTAAAATAATTTAATTGAAAAATATTTATAACATAGACATGAATGTTTGCTTCAATAATAATAGGATTTGTGAACAAAATTGGTGCAATATTCAGATCAATATTCTAGTCTCTAGTATTTTAAGAGTGATGGCAGTTCAATAAAAGTATATTTGCATCGCAAACATTCATCCGGAAATTGAAAATTTTCTAGTGACTCGTTTTATAAATTGAAATTGATGGATTTTTTAACTGTTGATAATTTATATTAGTATCTATAAAGTAAATGATATTTTGTTGTATTATATTTAATACTACCAGCATATGGTTAATTTATTGCAATAAGTTAATTGAAGCTGTTAATTAATTTATGACTATGAAATAATTATGGGTGTGAAAAAAAATTTTAATAAATTTTTCAATTGTTAAGAAGTAAGTCATTAAAAAATTTTTTGTTTTTATTTGGAGTATTTCATTGATGAAGGTATTTAAAAATGGAGATTCTAACCTTTAACAATGCGGCAAAAATACGTTTGAAGAACAGCAATTCACACAGTACCCCTAGCTGTACTCTTTTCAGTTCACTTCTGTCGTTTGTAATGTTCCTGATAGTGTAATCATCAATTAAATAAAATCTCGGATACAAGGGGCAGAAGGAGAATAAAATCTTTACGCTGATTCTGACAGACTAACATTGTGTTGATGATTAAATTCTGTAATCGGTCATTTGTGTTGTGACACACAACGCTGTTGATGACATTGGTGCATGATTAAAAGTCAAATAAATTATCGTTACATTGTTATCAAACAATTTGTTTTAATTAATTAATTGTGAATATTATAAACAATCGAAATTATTAAGATGAATAACACAAAACGGACTATATATGTTGGTAATGTAGAAATTAAATTAAATTTGTTTACACTCCAAAAACATAACCTCCTATTTTGATCAAAATAATAAATAAAATTTTTTATCCGGTTATTTAAAATTGAAACTGCAATTATAAAGGTTATATATCTAAGTTTAACTTTAAACAATATTGAAATAATTTTCTAATATTTTGAAATCTTTACAAATATTATCATCAGTTTACAATTTTTTTTTTTGGAAATAACTTTTTTGTTTTAGTTGACTTTATTACTTTTAAGTAATTTTGTGGTGTTTTCAGCCTCATAATATGAACATCGTACAGTTGTAACTTTTGAGGAGCAGTGAAATCATTTCAAATTTGCTAACAATTTTTATAGACAGTTTTAAAACCCGGTTTACTTATTGTAGTATTTTGATAGCTTTTTTATATATATTATTCTTTTATACTGCTGCATTATTATTACTTACTCCCTTCGTAGCTTCATAAGAACAAAAATTTTATTTAACGACTCAACAATAGGAAAAAGCTATACTGTTATGACTTAACATAACGCGTAATCTGTACTCTTTCAGGTGGTTTAGCAGAGGAAGTTGATGAAAAAATTCTTCATGCTGCATTTATTCCATTTGGAGAAGTAATTGATGTTCAGATCCCTCTTGATTATGAATCGGAAAAGCATCGAGGGTTTGCCTTTATCGAGTTTGAGTTGGCTGAGGATGCATTGGCTGCTATTGATAATATGGTTCATTACACGTTTACTTATTATTTTAAATTCAAAAATGGATAATCGAAAAATAACTGAAATTTTTCTTTGTAGAATGATTCTGAGTTGTTTGGACGAACGATAAGAGTAAATATAGCAAAGCCTCAGAGGATTAAGGAAGGATCATCAAAACCTGTATGGGCTGATGATGCCTGGTTACAAGAGCATGCTGGAGAAACTTTAAATAAGGAAGATGGCAAGTCTGATATACCAGTGGTCGTAAAAGAAAAACGAAATCCACAAGTTTATTTTGATATTACGGTTGGTAAACACGAATTAGGACGCATTATTATGATGCTACGTGCTGATATCGTTCCTAAAACAGCAGAAAATTTTCGATGCCTGTGTACACATGAGAAAGGTTATGGATATAAAGGAAGCATATTTCATCGAATTATTCCAGATTTTGTATCCTTTATAAAATATCTCTTACATAGTAAGTAAACTTATTTAGGATCTTTCATCACTTTTTTTAAGAAAAAAGAAAATTAAAACTCACAACAAATAACAACTCGTAATAAAAAATTTTAATTTTCATTTACAACAAAAAATTACAGCGATCTTTGTACTGCTCTATTGGTATTATCATTTTTAATCTTAATTGTTTATTTATTTAATTGTTAAATAGATCTCACTTTTTTAGAGTTATTACATTTCTTTCAGTAATAGAAAAGGCTTTGGTTACTTTTTAGTAATTTATGCCTATGAATAAAATAACAAAAAGTAAGTTATCCTTGGTTCAGAAAAATTTCCTTACATATTTAATAACAGATGTGTCAAGGAGGAGACTTCACTAATCATAATGGAACTGGAGGTAAATCGATCTATGGTAATAAATTCGATGACGAGAATTTTGAGCTAAAACACACTGGACCCGGTATACTATCGATGGCTAATTCTGGACCAAACACAAATGGCTCACAATTCTTTTTGTGTACTGCACGAACTGATTGGTTAGACAATAAACATGTAGTGTTTGGTCATGTTTTAAGTGGTCTAGATATACTGAAGAAAATGGAAAAATTTGGAAGCAAAAGTGGACAAACTTCTCAAAAAGTTGTAATAAGTTCCTGTGGCGAATTAACATAATTTTGTATATTTTTTATAAATAGATAAAGTATTTATTCCATTTTAATATGAGCTATTCATTCTTTTTGTTCATCAGCATAATGTGAAAATATTGCTTAAATAATTTTGTCATGTACTGCTCTTGTTGAGTTGGCCAAAGACCTTCTAGAAACCCAATATGACCACCACGTTTTGTAATTACAAATGCAATATTTTCATATTTACTAGCTTCTTGAAGCGGTATTGCTAAAAAAAATATAAATGATTGATTATTTGATAAATTTTATTTCACTTTTTTGTATTCACCTTCAAGAGGTTGGAATGGATCATCGGCTGCGTTTAGGCAAAGTACTGGAACTTCAATAAGATGTAATTTGTTGTGCAACGTTGCATTTTCATAGTAATCGTAGACGTCTCGATATCCAAAGTGCTTCGTAGTAAATGCAGCATCAAATTCTCTTAGTGTTTTACTCTAGAAAATTAAATTAACGTTAACTTTTATATTTTTATAATTTTCTTGGCAACTTACTTTAAAAGCTTCCGTTAAATCTTTATCAAATACACCGGACTTTTTCGAATAATGCATTTTCTGAACAACTTTAGAAAGTTCTTCAGCTAAATAACGATTTAATAAAATATTTATTCCACTTTCAATATTCTCAAGACCTTTAAAAACATTCCATGGTGTGGAAAGAATAAATGCAGCTTTTAACTTTTGTGCAGCAATTTCGCCATTTTTGGCTAAATAATTTCCTAAAACTAATCTGAAAAAAAAGTTCATGGATTAAATTAATTTAATAGATTTAAAGTAACTTCAATCATACTTGAATAAAATTGCTTAATTATCTGAGTACATGAGTTTAGAATTAAAATTACTGCAGTGTCAGGTCAATGATAGACAACAATAGAAGATTATTTTTTTAAATTAAGACCTTTTGTCAAGGCAACTATTAATGAAAAGCAATAAACATAAAAATATGAATGTCGTTATACGACTAACTCAATAATACAGTTATACTAATACTATTAAAATTAACAGGGTCTTACATTACTTTGAATAAAATCAATGAATCTATTATATTTACAAATACTCTGAAAATTGTTGAAACAATTAAAAATTAGCATTTAATTCCACGCAGACCCTTTGTAATCAATTTTCAATTATTATCCAATTGACTTATGCAGAAATACTATTTTTGTATCAATAAATTTTGATAGAATAAAATTAAAAAAAAATTAGCAATCTAAACCAGCACAAAGCATTAATAATGACTATTTTTTTTTTACAAAATGAAATCATTTAGTAGGTCATCATACCCTCCCATAGAAATGCCTGTGGCACCGATTGGTACATTAGGATGTGATTTTCTAACATGATCTAATACTTCCGTAAAATCATCACAGTTAGCTGCACAATATGCACGTGGTGTCTGTAATAAATAAGTGGTCATTTTTTTAAATTATCATCAATAAAATTTTTTTCAGTTATAAAAGTATACCTTTAGAGCAACACCTCCAAGACCCCTATTGTTAAAAATCACGCATCTGATACCAATATCTCTGGCTCCAGAAACAAGACATTTTATGTAATCCGCTTGACTAGCTCCTGTTAATCCTGGTAAAATAATCACAATTGGAGATGATGAATTACAATGATCATCTGCCCAATCTAAAGCAACTTGCCCTCCATCAGCTAATGTTAGAAGCTCTCTAAAAAAATATTTTTATCATTTTTGCATTTTTTAATATGCACAGTAATACATAGGAAGTTGTATAATAATTATTTAGATATTTACCTACGATATTCTACGTCGGGAATTAGTTTTCCACGTAAAAAGCTTGCTATAATTGTTTGTGCACGCGATTCAAAGCACCACGGTGTTGGCCAATATTTTTTATTGATCATATCAATATTTTCTTCTATAAGTTTACGAAAATCACCCTGAGCACAAACCAACTGTGGAGCCTAAGACATAATTAATTTAATAAAATAAGCTAAATTAAGGACTAAAAACTATCAAGCCGTTTAGTATTAATAAATTAATGATATGTGAATTAAATTTACTGTTCTTTGATAAAAAAATAATAATTTTCAACTGATAGCGGAATTTTAAGTTATGAATATTAATTCCAGTTAAATACAAAAATGTTTCAGATGATGAAAATTCATGTGGTTCACTTATAAATACATTATTATTGATAATAAATTTTTTTTCTATGTATTTTGCACTTATTTTATTTTTCTATAATTATATTTATCATGAACCAAAATATACCTTTATGTAATATCGGTTTCAATCAATAGTTTTACCCTAATGCAGTATGAAAGACAAATTACCGGTTTTTCGAGCCAATTAATTTACCATTAACTTAAATTTAAAAAAATGAAAAGTAACAAATAAACTTTTGTCATTTCTGTGTGTGTGTGTGATTTTCAAGAAGTCAGTTTAAACGGTCGAGGTCAAATCGATCAGTTCACTAATAAAAGTAAAGTGTCAATTTTTATCTATCACATCAGAATAACCTAATACAATAAAAGTTAAAAAATAAATGAGAAATCAAATGTTACAATTTTATGTCATCGTTACTTTGTTGATAGATTATCCTTTTCAACGTGATTATTTTTTAATTCAAGCATGAATATTAATATTATTACAGCTTCACTTTATCAGGGTGAATCGTTGAACCTTAGGAGTGAACTCATTATTACCTTGACTACTTCGAAGATGTAATACATGTAGAAACCAATCATAAATAATACAAAGAAGTACATTTTGGGTAATTCAAAAGCATCAGCAAAATATGACAACATTTTTAACACTTTTATAATAAATAATTAATAATGATAACAATTTTATCCTAGATAAAAAAGAAAAACAATTCACTTTAGCTGATTCGGTATTAAATATCCGGCATCTCTACGATATCATGACTTCACCGGGCACGAGTCGTTCACCAACTAAAGCAAAAAATAACCAACTTATGATTGAATGGTCGATTAGAACGTGGGAGAGTACATAGGCCATGTTTATATAAAATCTCCCGACATTTAAAAGTTGAATACGTGTATACTACTATTCTCTGTATGCAGTTTGCAGTATGTATCTCTACCTCATTATACGCTATATGTATCGAATTGTAGAAATTATATAATCTTAGATATATAATACAACAAATGATAACAAATTGATAAGGTATAGAATGATTTTTCAAAAATAATACTATATTTTATTTTTATAGATTTTTATTCACCTTTTCCACAATGATAATGACATTGAATATTGAACGTGAACTTTCTCAAATAACATCCTGGTGTGTATATAAATAAATACTTTATAAGTACGTAAGATTATGAGTGATAAAATAATACAATATAAAACATTGTATGAACAAAAGAGAATGAAAAATTACATGAATTTATAATATTTTTGTGATTATTCATTGTTCATCATATACAAATATACTTTGGCATTAATAACTTTCATCTAGAGATATTTTTTTTATTCTTCGTTTGTTCATCATTTAATCTCATACATATATGAAGACATTAAGTAGCAAAAGTCTTTTACTAATCAGACCAATATTGATACTCGAATGAACGAGTACATTAATAATATTCTTAAGTACGATTTTCAAGAAGTAAAGTGTAAAAAATAAAGTTTACAAAATATCAACATGAGTTATTTTTCAACAACTGCCAATCAGCATCCAAAAATATCAAGACTAGAATAATGAAATTATTTAATCCGAAAATATAGATAGTAAATCAAAAAACTTAGCACAATTTAACAAAACTTATCTTTAATGAAAATGATTAGACATAGTTTTCCTAAAGTTCTGTTCGAATATTATCAAAACTGTCTTGATATTGTTGGAGTTCTTGATGCTGATTGGCATCCGCATATCATAATTTCTTATCGCAATTAGTTTCTCTTACGTACTTTGCCCAAGTACGATGTGGTGTACGATCATGTTTCCTTTGTAGTTTTTTGACGTCTAAATTATTCTCATCTAAAACTGCACTATGAACATCAGGTTGGTATAAGCAAGCAAGAGATTTTTTCAATTTAGTTGCACTCGTAGTAAAGTCAGATGTCTGGCTACCAACCAACAGCCCAAGATCATTCTTTTCACGTGCAGCCCAACTCCACATCTCAGCGATAGAACAATTACAGACAAATGGGTTTCCAGCGAGGTTCAGAGTAGTTAAATGTTTATTCTGTTCAAAGACTCCTTTGTGAATCGTTGTAAGATTGTTATTACTTAAATCTAAGCGTTGCAATCTTCGAAGTTTTTTCAGAAAAGCTAAATCTTCAACTCTGGATAATTTATTGCCAGAGAGATTTAATTGTGTAAGGTTTTTATTATTAGAAAAAATGTTTTCATTAAGTGTAGTAATGTTACAATTACTTAAATCAATCGTTTCAACACTCAATAATTGTTTAGGAAGTAAAGGACCTTCTTTCGGAATAGTTAAAGGATTTCCACTCAGCTTGAGTTCGATAATACTCGAATAAATTCTATCTGAACCAAATACTTTAGGATCCAATGGAGTGGTAAGATTGCAGTTGCTTAAATCCAAACTTTCCAACCTAGTTAAGTTCCTAAAGAGATTTTGCTCAAGATTATGAAGGTTGTTTCCACTTAATATGAGCTTTTTAAGGTCCGTCATTTGGGCAAGAGTGTTATTGCCAACATGACCTAAACTGCAGTAAGACATATCAAGGTATTCCAGTTGAGTGAGTGGTTTTAAAAGCTTAACAAACGCATCTGATAAGGGGTTATGCGAAATATCAAGCTCCTGAAGGTTTTCTAAAGCATCAAAAGCATCTGGAAGTCTTCGAAGACTACAATTACTCAGAGACAATTTCCTTAGTTGTGGAATATGTCTTAATACTGCTGTTAAATCACTAGCAAACATAGGATTTCCACTTAAATTTAATATTCTCAAATTACTGGCATTATTAAAAACATCTTCAGGCAAGCGATCTTGAAGGGCACAGTTTGATAAATCTAATGTATAAAGATTGTGAAGATTATGACCAAGAGTATTCGTTACATCTAGGTGATGAAGTTGATTATTGGCCAGTACCAGATGACGAAGATAATGATTATTAGCAAATGTGTCTCTTGGTAGATTTGTTGTTCCTGTATTTTCTATATCTAGATGATTCAGGCGAATTAACTGTGCTAAAATACTGGTCCAACTGATAGACTTGAGGTTATTATTAGCTAAGAATAGCGTACGCAAATTTTCCAGATTGGAAAATGTCTTGGGTGAAATATGGGTAATGTTACAGTTGTTTAGATTTAAGTGCTCCAAGTTCTTTAGATGTTGGAAAGGTCCGGGATCCAACGTCTCTAATGGATTGTAAGATAAATCCAAAGTTATCAACGTAGTTGTATTGGAGAAAAAATCCTCGTTCATATGACGAATACCACAACTACTTAAATTGAGGTACAATAGACCCCTACAGTTAAGAAACTGTCCTTGGACTTCATCCAGAGGATTATTCTGCAACTCTAGGGTGATTAAACCTCGACTGTCTCTGTATAAAGGGAACAAAAAATTAGTAAATGGACTGAATACTGAATTCTCTTAATTAATACTTACTTGAATGCTTCGGGATCTATTTTAGTGATATTATTAGACGAAAAATCAGCGTCTATGAGATGATATAATCCAGCAAAAGCCTCATAATTCAATTGATTAATTTTATTGTGAGCTATTTGGAGCCGTCGTAGCTTAATATCTTGTGGGAAGGTGCCTAAATTAATGACTTTGTTTCCATTCATGTCTAATGTATAGACCATCAGACTTAATTCATCATAAGGAATGCTAGTTAAATTACTCTCAGAACAATCCGTTACCCAATTAATACGAGAGTAATAGCATTCACAGTCAACTGGACAGGCTTGTTCTTCTAGTACCTCACCATTAAGACCAAGTAATATACTTGAGAATATCCAAATGATTTTTAACATGGTTAATCTAGAATTGAAAAATATTATTAATGGAATATTAATTATTGTAAATGTTTTTCTTTGGAATTAAATAAGGTAATGTATTTCTTTATGGTAATCCTATGTATACTGTACCAACAAAATTAATATTATCATTTAATCAGGTATTAGTACTGGTTGAATTTAACGCAAATTATTTGCAAATATTATAATTGAATTTTGAAGCCAAGATTTATGTGAATTTTAATTACTTTAAATTATAACAATATCATTACTTAATTTAAAGAGATAGAAAAATGTTGGAAAGTATTTATTTTAATTCATTTAGACAGTAGTAATTCAGACATGATAATTATTGAGCAAAATGTGAATAAAACATCATATTAATAAAATCATTTTCAAGATAAATGTATTCAATACATAATATTATGTAAATTTTTATCGATATCAAAAATAGTAGTGCATTGCTAGATTAATAATTTTTTATCAGTATGTAAAAAAGATAGTCATAAACGAAAAACTTTTTTGGCAATACATGCGTCTTTTTCAATTTGTTCTCGACTGTATTACACGCTTGACAGATTCGAGTGTTCGGTTATTGCCATCTACACTAGAAAATCTGAGAATCTCATATATCTCATACTATCTTTTTTGTTCCTTTACTTTTATTGTAGTCTACTCTACGGCTGTCGGCTCCGCCTTTGGCGCCATTTCTTCTATTCAGAATCTTCTTTCTATTTCCTAGAATTTCTAAGTTTACTCCGAATGGTAAATTTGCATTCCGTTTCAAATTTATTTCCGTGGTTAAAAAATTTATTATAATCGTTTTTTTTATAACTATTTTTTTATTTGATTTTCGCATTTGTTTTGTACTGATTTTTTCTCTTTATATGGAGAGAAAAAATCTCATGATCTCGACAACGTATAAGTTTGTAGGGGATGTAAAGACTCAATAGTGAGTGGAAGCCAGAGCGGAACAAATGACTTGACTTTAAGAATAGGCTTTTTGAACAGAGAAAAGAAAGAAAAAAAATTCTATTAATCTTTTTCTGGACGTAAGGACCAGTTGCTGTAGGCCTAAACATGACGTATGACACTTTAAAATGCCTTCTTAAGGTTTAGGTAAACAAAGAAAAACATTTTGAATTGATTTATAAGATTTCCTTAACAATACCTGCAAGCAACGTAGTTCCCTTGTTTATTTGTAACACAATAATTCGATAGTAAATTTTTATCGATTTTTTTTCTCAAATGAAATTGTCAATATTTGAATAGTTAAGCAATAAAATAAAATATATTACCGGAATTAAGGCCGACGACAAATAGTTGAAAATTCACAAACATCTTAACTTAATAATTCTAAATCACTCACAAAAGTTACACTTATTTTTCCGGATAAATAAATAATATAAAATATAAAGAAACAAATGTAAGATGTGTATTTTTACTCACATTGAAGTATGAATAATTAATATTTTCAGTACAATACTTTATTGCGTTGTATTAAAAAAAAAAAAAAAATAACTCTGAGTAATAATTTAAAAATAGCAATTAGTGGTGTAGGTAAGTATAATTAAATTAATAGATTATTCATTGACTTTTGAATATGATCCATCATGATAAAGGTCTAATTCTTGTAGATATTCATTGGATACAGGAAACTCCAAAAAAGATACCTGGTTTGATTTATAACTTTCTGACTGTTAATGCGTACTATTTAATACTTTGAAACGTTTTTTTGGAGGTAGTTTAATATTAAAAATAAATTTTTAAGAGTACAAAAAATAGAACTAAGTAGTTATAATATAGAGTTATTTTAATAACGCACTTTAATGTTAAGTAAAATACGCATGCACATTATCATAGAAAAATAGTGTCAACCTGATACAGCTTCAAACTAATTATGCTGTATTTTTTATTAAAATTGATTAACTTCATAAATTTCATACGGTCACTTTGAAAATACAAATGTATTTTTCAAATTAAAAAAGATCATACGATCAGAGTATTCTTATTAATATATTTATTTAAATTTTAACCTACGGTGGCTATGGAAATTTTTATAAAAATTTACAAAATTTAGCAATTCAAATGGCGAACTTTGATTTTTTAAAAATCAAATTATTATTCAATATTTTTTTACATATATAAATATTGATATAACATTTAAATAATTGTATTTTTGGCCAATTATATGTATGAATTCTTATTGAACAAAACTGCTACACTAAAATAGCAAATAAATTTAAAAAGCGCGCTCCAATTGCGAATACACTACGCTTGCGTATTGACATAAAAAAATTATGTCAACCAAAATAAAAGTTGTTTTATTTATTTATTTTCTTTTCTAATCAATCATTTTTTTAGAATTTGACTGGTACACTGAGACCTAAAAAACTTTTTTCATCATTCATCAATCGAATATTTGTTCATGGTAGACAATACCTGTCAAGAAAAATAAGAGCATAGATCATAATAAACACTAATTACATTAACGAGCTACTGTAAAACGAAAAAAATATTGGAATAAAAATAAGCCGAATAATCACAAGGTAATATTCTAGAAAAATAACCTCTATGAGACATAGGAATTCACAAGTTCAATCACACTTACGTGAATATCCTCTCATGTGTCAATTTGAAACCCGTTTAATCCACCAACACCTATGTTTCAAATTTATTTTTAAGGTAAAATAATTTCATTCAGTTTATCAAATAAGAAATTTTAAATTGCTTGCGTTTCCATCGATTCAACGATAACGCATTCATGTCACAACAAGGCAGAAACGCGATAGAATTTTTAGACAATGCACACACACACGCATCTCACTGGATAATCATCCACGCATGCGCTTAATCAATTACCAACTGCCGATAAATTTAAATTGCGTGGACTTTTTGAATAAATCTGTGCGGCCGATTTTGCCTGTTGTGTGAGTTATGTTTTATTCTTACTCCATATGTGTGCTAACACACGTTTGATGATGTATTGGCTTATGTCGGGTAGTTCGTTATACTCTTGGAGCTTGAAAAATGAAATACGATAGCAATTTATGCGATAATAACCTACGATTTATGTACAACAGTGTGAGCGGACTGAGAGATAGACTGAAATGTATATGGATGAGCTTTAGCACGCTATTCAAATTGTTATTAGAAACCTTCGATAATTATTGTCATTGTTCAAGGGTCCAATGTGATTTAACATCAAATAAAATATAGACATAATACAAATTTATTTCTGCCAAGTTGCCGGCTCATTTACTATTTAATCATCTTTATTAAATTTAAAATAGATTTTTTATTTATTAATTGATAAATTAGTTGCAAAAAAAAATGTTTTTCTATTCAACATTATTGATTTCAATTGTCAAAATTATCTGATAATATTTTACAGAATTCCAGTGTGTTTTAAATCGAACAATATTTCAAGTTCCTCATAAATTTTCCTGCATTTTTTCAAACGAATTCCCATTGTTGTAAATTGACATTTTTACTCGATTTTTCTTACAAGTTACTTGAACTCATTTGTAGTAAATGGTCTTGGCTGGTATCCAATCAACTGTTTATCTGAAGCCCACAAATATATTAATTCACTAATTTGGAGTATTTGTATTTTATTTACAATACCAATTCCATTAAAGCACTTGTAATTGTATTAAAATTTTTTTAGAAGTAGGGTGAATGTACTAATGGTTAATCAAATACTTAGAACTGGATAATGAGTATATAAACACTTGGAAAAAATTGTCAGCCTTTATTGAACCAATTAATGGCTATTTATTTGTCTTATTTGTTATAAAAGTTGCTTTTTTTTTACTTAATTAACTTTTCAAAAATTCTTACACTCACCTAAAATATTATTTTAGAATTTTTTTTTGATTCTCATTAGATTGAGTTTAACTATACATTGCATATTATTGAAAAAAAAAATGGTTTCTTTTAGAATAACGAAGCTTTGTTCAAAATTTATCCGCCAAAAACTGCGAAAAAATATTTACCTTTAGTATCTGATATTCAGTTCAGATTCTAGATTTTTTTTATCAATATATCGAGTCTTTTTTTAAACTCAATCAAAGAGCACGAAATGACGAGCTCAATATTTGAGATATCTCGACATTTTTTTAAGCTTGTCAATCTAGATAAGATGGCACTTCAATTTAGAATAAAGTTCACTTAGAAATTCAATCCATATTCAATGTTATTTAAATTAATTAAGTTCCATCAATGAGTTTATGCATTGCGCAGGTTTCAAGAGAATATTGTCATGCAATGAGTTAATTAATCGTAACTATCGGAGCGCATCGAAAGTGTGCAGGAGACACATAGCAGCAGAAAGTGCGTGAAAAACAAAACTGAAAAAAATCGATTGATTATCATGGGGCTGATCGTCAATCCGCCGACGTGTTTCCGTGTAATTACCGGCAGCTATACAACCTGAAACTCGTAATTCAGCAGATAAAACAACTAAACCATATTCTGTAAAGTAGTAAAAACATGCTGTGCAGTTTTATTATAAGTTATTATAACTTGAAAAAAAATGACAAAAAATGCAAACATTAATTTCAACTAAAATCAATTTTTTTTCTTGTTATTTCAAAGCGTGTGAAGGAAGTAAAGCGCTCAGGGGGTTGCAGGGTGTTGAACTATGAGTGGGGAATATAAGGGTAAAAGAGGTGGAATTGCGGCAGCCGGGACGGGAGCCAATCCCCCCCTTGAACAAGGGCGCCAACCGGCTCTTCTTTTCTCATCGTATAGTAGATGCGGTTGAAGATAGATTCGTGCCAAGCTTTTGGCGAGACGCGATATATCCAAAGTGGTCGAGAGACTCCTCGTGCATAATCTTTGGCGCCACCCTCTTCCTTTTCATATTTTCTTTCCTCTATTTTTCCTTCCTTTCATAACTATTATTATTTTATCTATATATAGGGTGATCGAGCTGCACGAACATTGAATACTCTATACTTCGAGCATAAAATGCCATTGTGTTTATATTGGGCAACTAAGAACTGCACTTTTGGAGTAAATCTGATTTATGCAAGCACCTATTTAGCAACCTACTACATCTTCAAATCCATGTTTCATTATGATAACTCAATTTTAGTTTGTTAATTATGTGCTATTATGTTGTGTTTATCGTCGAATATTAGATTTTAAACGACATTTATGAAAAATAAAATTGTTATTTGCCATTTTTATTTACCTGTGAAAAATTTCGCTAGCAAAAAATTGGTGATTTTTTTTTCTTTTTTTTATTTAAGTTAAAAGAGAATTTTTTTTCCAAACATTGAGAATTATTTGGACAAAGTATTTAATGAGAGGAAAAATTAGCTACCCCTTTGCGCAAGTGAAGTTGGTCATTATTGTTAAAAAATTCACATGTATGATACGTAAATTTTTTTTTTTTGTACACTTCTTCTTTTATGTAATAAAGTAAACGTACCAATTAGTCTCCCTGGTTCTATGAGCGATTGTTGAACAACTCGGTGAGAATGTCCCTATTAGTTTAGTGACTCTCTGTCTATAATGTATTCATAATAAATCGTGAATTTCCTTTTTAAAGTCTAAATAATAATCGAGAATAGATCAAAGCCATGTTAAGCCGCTAATTGGAAGACAGGCTTTTTTTTATTACTGAAAAAAAATTTTTTTCAATAGAATACTGTTGATAACAAAATTTTGAAATGTAAATTTGCAAAGCAGAAAATATTTTTATTTATAAATAGAAAAAAGGAGGGAAATATTTGAGAGTAGTGACGAATATTTAAAAAATATTTTTTTTTCAAGCTTGCTAGATATTTTTAGTATGGAAATGTAACTATTGTTTGTATTCAGAAAAATGTAGTGAGGCATGGTATTATATGACATAGAAAATTTATCAATAATGTCTATAAAGAATTATCTAGCTTTTTCATACTTTGTTACAATAAATTTGTAATCAATAAAAATATAAAAATAGTTTAATTTTTTTATTCAATTAATTTATTTTTGATTTATAGAAAAAAAAAATGACAAGAAAGTAAAAAAAGAAGATAAAAGAAATACTGATTTGCTGCATTTGAATAAGAAATTAACAGTTGGTGTAAATTAAGAAAAAGTCAAATGATCCCTCGATTTTCAATTTTTCCGCTGACATCTAAGCTTCTTCTTCTGCTCTTTTCTTACACATCACTGATCAATTTGTGGGTCGCGCTGAAGCTTGAAAATACTCTTTAAGTTTTATCTAAATAAAACATTTTTCTCCCTTTCTACTAGAGTAGAAAGAAAACTCCAAAAGAATTTTTCACATTTTTTTTAGCAATAAAAATACCGACATCATTAAATAACAATCTTCACAAATTAATTAAAAAAAAAAAATAGTCCATCTCTATCACTGCTTTCAAAATTTGTTCAATATTTCTGTGAATTAAAAATTAATTATTTCATTGATCATGATTTATCATCACTCCATTATGATTAAATTTGCACAAAGCAATAATAAAAATGAGCCAATGTACATCATGATAACTAATGAAAAAATTCTATTAATAATCAAAGACCTCAACACTTTAGAAAAAGTAGTTACATTTATAATCCGAAAAACAAGTCACAAAGCGGTCAAAAACCTTGACAAAAAAGTATTCCATATTCCATCAACTCACCCTGTATATAACTCATGTACACTCACGAATTTTTGATCAAGTATATAGAAGAATCTGAATCAATGGTGAGTGTTTTATTATACGTCTAATGTAAAAAACGGTTTTTTATTTCCAGTTTCTGAGTTTGAGTTATAATCTAATAACAGCAGGGGTTAAACGTTCAACTACAACCAGATTGACTTGGGTGACTCATTAGAATGGATCACGTATTCAGTCAAAGTCCAAGAGAAATAAAGTTTATGGTTACTTACATCGTTTTCAACTTATTCAAGTTTATACATGTGGCAAGCTATACTTGGAGTGGGCTAGAAGATAACGCAGGCGTTTCTTTGATTTATGAATTCAAATGAAGGTGATTCGTGATCGTGTTATTATGTATCTACACACTCTACTCTTTCAACTGGAGAGTTGGAAGCTAGAGTCGAGCTATTATATAGCTGAAAAAACTGAGCTGTCGTATATTCCACCAACTTCTATTCTATCTGTTGGATGTAATTTTTATCAAAATAAAAGATATAAGAGTTTAATATCTGAAAATAACACAATTAGACAAGTTGAAATATTTCACAGTAAAAATTTAATATTTCAATGGAAATAAAGTGGAGAATAATTAAAGAGTGGATACACCAGAGGTGATAAAACATACTATAAGGTTCCTATCTCCAATAAAAAGTCAATAATGTTAGACTTTTGCTATAAATATATCAAAACTAACACTTCCATGTCTGCATCAAGAGCTGTAAAAGAACATGATTTGACAGTTTAATCGATAGATTGATAGAAAAGTTATTCATTAGTTGGAGGGTTATAAATTATGGTATGTTTTATGGAACGTTGAATTTTTAAATTTATTGTCACCTGGCAAGGCAAAATGATACTAATGAAGGCAATCTGAATATGAAGAATAATAAGTTGATGGAAAAGTTTGACATGATAAGGATACTTAAAAACTACTCGTGCAAGATGGAAGATTAAAATTAGTGTTAGTATTTTGTGTGGGTTGGGGGAGGAGTAGAGAAGTGATGGCAGATGAAGACTAATGGCTTTTGTGAATTGGTCAATCATTTTAAAAAGATCTTCATACTATCGTTGATGTAATCAGCTAAATTACCACAGCTTAAGTATGCATCTGATTAGTAGAGTTTATATAAGTACTTTTTATTATTTATAATATATATTTTTTTTTATATTGTTGATTGCCTGAGAACTGAAAGTTGGTTTTAACATTAAACATTTTTTTAAATAATCATGGAAGAGTGATTTGTTTAATTTAATTAACAGTTGGATCATCTTATTTGTAAATACATCTAAAAAATATGATAGTTGTTGTTGTTTCGCCTAGACCATGATCAATTTAATATATTTTATTTGCAATGTTGAATAGTAAAAGATTTTTTTTTTGTCTATCACAAGTTATGGCAGAGATTTATTGATTATTTTATAGCAAAAATCTGTTCTTAATTTTATTGTAATGTTCATGATATTATATATAATAAGTAGTCTCTGATTGCTAAGACATTAGCATTTTCCATATGTAAATTCGAATTTTAATTAACCTTATTTTAAAAATGATTTAACTACGTCCACTATCCAAACCTTAATTAATGCATCTCCAATATGTCTTCAAATTGATTTGATTATAAGATAGATTAATTAAGCTTCCCATAAAAAAGTCAAATAAAAATTGTGATTTTCTTAAAAGCAATTTAATTAATGTTAATCGAAATTTTAATACTTTTATCAATTTATTTTGAGAAGAATTTTAAATTCAATTTCACTAAACCATCCTTCACATATCATTGATAGGAGAAAATGTTTTTGATAACAAAATTTGTTTGTCGATATTTCAAAATGATTCAACCGGTTAAAGTTGTTGAGAGGTCAATCGATGCTTTCCAAGGTCACCTCTTGCTGATAAAATTTTTAGCAAAGCGGTTGTAGTGTTCTCGAATCAAAGGACTTACAACTTTATTTTTTATTTTTATAGCCACAGTAAAAGGCTTGACGTTTGTGAGTGTACGTAGATAAATCATTATATTGAAATTTTTTTTTTTAAAACTAAACCAATATTCGCATGGACAAGCCCTTTTTATTCAATATAATAAAATTTTTATAGATTATCTTATAATCACATTGTTGCTGACAAAGTTTTCAATCATTTAACAATGATGTTTTAGTGAGAATAAAATAAAATCAATGCTTTATTCCACTTTATGGGAGGAATGTTTTATGCACACTTCTATGTATATAACAAATAATTTACTTAAATTTTTATATGTATTAAAATATTGAGTATGCAAATATTTGTGAATTTTTTAGAATATTAAAGATAGTTTCTTTATGATTTTTATTCAATTGATTGCAATTAATAATCATGATTGTTCATTGCTAAGTGATAATACAGTTAAAATAAAAATAATTTATGTTGAAGTGTTTTTATATATTTTATTGTAAATACAAAAGTTATAAAGTAAAATGAAATTAAATTACTCAATCTTTCTAAGAAATTCTTATTTTTAATGAACAATACTTTTAATTAAGACAATTTTAATTAAACAGGATAAAAAATGTAATTAATTAAATTCACATTTAATTGACAAATCCAGACATTTGTTTAATGTAGTCAAATAAGATGAGAATTAAAATGTAGAGACTCTTCCAATTATCTTCATTACAAGATCAGTAATTCTAACATCAGCCAAAAACTAAAACAAACAACATCTCTGAAACAAAGCTCATGATGAAATGTAACCCGTTGTACTAATGGAGTAAATGTAAATGACTGCTAATAAGTCGATAGAAAAGTTTGTAGAACAAGTTAAACATGATAAGGGCACTTTGTAACTGCTAACAGAACTCGAAAGATTAAAATTAGTATCACTACATTATATATCCATATTCGCCAGCTAAGCTGGTACATAAAGCACAAATTTATGTCTAAATTTGTATTTTTTCGCTGGAGAAGCTAACTAGAGCAAATGTTAGCCAATTGCTTCAGATGAATAATGTATGTTCCAAAATGATTATTGGAAAAGTAAAGAGACTTGTGCTCTGTTTACACAGAGAGAGTCGTAGAAACGATAAAGGCATAAGATAATTCGCAATTGGGATCGATGAACTATTACGGAATAATTCATAAGCACATATCTATATACGTATATATGTGAACACACGTGGTGATATATAGAGCAACGAATCTTGAAGCACATTAATAACTGTATTGCAAGTGGTGTGGAATCACTTTAGCATCACAATGGGCCAACAATCAATCTCACCCAATATATATTGGGGATCCTTATACACATTTTGTTATATTGTGGTGCAATGACGTTGTCCATGTTTTTTTTTCTGAAATCGAGGCCTTTGCTAATCACAGTTGGGGCTCTCTCTGTCAAGCCTGCTTGGGGTTGGTGTTGATGTACCAAGGAGGGGGCAAAAGCTTTAGAATGCTTATAGAATGGTATAACGGTAGTAGTGAGCATCAAGAGGTGGTGGAAACAGTCGTACGCCGACTCCACCAGTCTCTAGCCGACAGCCTGTGCTAAAGCACCTGGTTAGTTGGCTCTAGTCCTTTCTGCTTTATCTCAAGTACTCTCGGACTATTTTCTAACTCATGAAAAGTCTTGCATTTATCTTTTTTCAATGCTACCTTGGTTTGACTCCAAATATCTCGCTACCTGCATCAGTGACTAGAATTCTTTAAACGCGGGTGGTCAGATTTGGTACAGTGTAAAAAGGTGATCAGTCACGTGGAGTCAACATTCTCACTGGACTACCCTCTCTGTTCGAGCATATAACCACTGCTGGTCTGGTGTTAAAAAAAGTTTCGACTTTTTAGGAATGTCACGAGGCTTACAGGTAATTTTAACCATCATTTTGATTAAAATTGTTGTTATCATTGATAGTTTTTTTTTATGATGGGTGTGTAAAATTATGATAAACTCTGTTGTCACTAATTTTATACAGCGTTGGAAAGTTTAAAAAGTTTCACAAAGTCCATGACAACAATCATGAATGTATATAACAATTTTGTTTAATACTTTGAAAACTTTATCAATTTTTTTATTATTCTTTCCACGTTGCTTTTCATAACGTCCTCGTATTTTCAATTTATACGCTGTATGCATTCATAAAATTTTTGATTAGTTTCCTACTCTTCTCGTATACTAGAAATTAATAATAAAAGTTACGAAAGATTTTTTTGTTTACTACTATAAAATATTCTATTTAAAGACCAGAATAAGTAGTAAAAGTAATAGATGTTGATAATGATAATAGTTGCAAATGAGATGAAAGACTCAATGAATTGTTTAGACATTTATTTTTTAAGTTCAACAGTTTTTCCTTTGATTATGAGAAGTTTAGAATCTGGTAGCACTTAGAGACCAAAGAATTTAGAAAAGTTTCTCTGGGAATGTATCCAAACAATCGTGTCGTAAAAGTCGTGAGTTGTTTTATGTTTTATTTTATATAGAGATAGGTAGTTTTTTTATTAATCCAGTAAAAGAGTTTTTATGTTTCTTTCATCTAGTAACTAATGACTGAGATAATGTAGAAATGAGAGAATTAATAAAGTTAGAGCACTTTTAGTTGTTTTGAAAATAAAATGATGTCAGTAAATAATTTTGGTGATGGTAAATTGATGGCCGTTTATCGTAACACACGTCGCAAACATGATCACTAGTTGTCCCATGGAACCCCTGACGACACAAATATAGACAGAGCCAACGAGAACTCACAATGCGATACTATTTTGAGAGATACACATCGTCGTGTCATCCAAGTGAAGTTCCTTCGCTTACTCTTTCTTTTTATCCTTTTTTTTCTTACACGTTTTTTTACTTGCTCTCTTTCTCCGGCGTACTTAGCTGAGAATAAAAAAGAAAAGGTAGTGTTCTATCTGTATCCCCAAATCGTCAGACACGTGAAAACAGCAGCTGTTGTCTCCCTATAGTATGTACACCCTTTTTAAAAAATGTGCTGTCAGATGGAAACTTTTGGACGGGAAATCATACTATTTTGCTGGAATTATATGTTTGAATAAACGCTAGCAATATGTTCATGTAAATAAATTTTTACATTTTCTAGTAATAATATGAGGTGGAAAATTTATCGTTTTTCATATCATATTATTATCTGCACATATCGGAATGATAAAGTAACGGTCAAAATAGAAAAACTATTGTGAATTATTAACTTTTGTTTACACTTTAAATTTATTTGTTTTTATTTATCGTTGGAAAATGAAAAAATTTGATTTATTGGATTGTAATGATCGATTAAATACTTTCTATTCTTACGTGTGCGAAATTCAGAAATTTTATTCCAGAATATAATAACACCATTTGTTATTTAATAATATTTTTAGAAATTTTACTCCATTTATTAAAAAAAGTTTTTTTTTTTTTATTAGTATTTAAATAAGAAATTCAACTAAGAGTTTATGGGAAAAGCATCAAGCTTTATTGACAAAAAACTTAGATTAAATTCTCAATTAATAATTAAATTTTTATGTATATGTTTTCTTTCTGCCAAGATATTTCTTTGTGGTGAGATAGAAAAATGATTCTTAAATCAACAAAGTTTATTGATAGTTAAAAAATACTATTAATGCATAGATTTTTTTAACACTTCTTTTTCTGTCTATCATGAAACAAGTTTGAATTAATTATTATGGAGGAATGAATTATGCATTGGTGATGATGATATTAATGGCAGTGAAAATATTTTATCATAAATTGTTGATAAATTATTACATAAAAAAAGAGAAATTTATCAACTGTCATCAGAAAGTAAGGAAGCTAATAATATTTAAATTTATCGAATTATTAAGTAAAATTTATTCCATTTGATAGTAAAAAATATCTCTATTATCATTTGATAAATTTATTAACGGTGAATAAATATTTCTGGAAAAATTTCGAATGAATAAAAATTTATTTACTATGTAACTAAATTTGTCTTCTTGTACAAGAGATTAGTCACATGGTGACTAATATAAGAATTTATAATAAAAAGGTGTATAAATCTCGATCAGATTCTTTTGAGAAAATTTTTTTTTGTTTATTTATTTAAAGTCGTGTTTTAACAACACAGGTCAACAACAGTGACTTCATAGTCA